AGGGGCTTGCCTGGCATTGTTGAACTGGACCCGGGCAGTCTCAGGGAGCGCCTTGAAACCAAAACGCTTGTGCAGTTTTTCAACTAGCTCCCTATAACTCACCTCCCTGTCTCTTTCCGTAATGAGGGCATAATATTCACTTGCCTTTCCCTCAAGGCACCAGCAAAGTTGATCTTTGCATTCTTGTGGGCCCCACTCACAAACCTCTGCATACCTTGCAAATTTTGTGAAGAAAGCCTGCCAGTTGCTCTTCCCTTCATACTTAATATTTTTCGGGGCGTTGCTGATTTTTGAGGCGCTTCTTGAAACTCCTCGTGACCCACCTCTGCTGTCGGGTCCCCTTGTATTTTCCCTAGGCCTATCCTCATTATATGCTACTGGGTAGGCCTGCTGCCCATAGCTCCCCCTTATGGTGACCCCTTCTGGGGGCACGGGTGTGTACCCTTGATTACACCAACCCAGGGGTTGTCTATCTCCATAGGTATGGGCTGGGGTCTGCCTTGTGTCCTTGCCCCTATTGTCTTGCCACATGCCATAACTACTACGGGGTGTGTCATACAGTCCCCCACCGGTGTTCACCGGTTGGGTACCAGGTGCTGACCCCTGACTAGTATAATTGCTTGCAATACCCCTGGGATAAGAAGGTGTGCCCCCTTTCGTTGGGGCACTCTTGTCCCACGCATGGTCTTCGCCTGGCCAATACGGCTTGTACCCAATAATACTACTACCCTCGGGGTGAGGGTTGTTACCCTGGTTTGGGTCACCAGCGTTGTGGTGGCCCATCTCTTTTTGCGGCAACTGTTCCCCGTAAATCCCGCTCCAATTAGCTGTGGTCTCAGGCCTAGATCTGGCCTCCTCAGAATATGTTCTATACTCAAGGAAGGCAGAGTCCATCTGGCTGGGCCTTCCCCAAGCCCCAGGACTTTGCCCCTGGTGCCATCTTTCTTGATTAAATACAGACTGGCCATGTGTTTGGCATGGCATGCCTGGTGCGACAACCACTCCCCCATCTATAATAGTGTTTATCTTTGATTGATGTTTGCCTCGGGCCTCAGGTGGTGGCCCAATATTTTGGCCACCCCCATTGGTGCTGAAGTCCAGCCTAGCTATGAGGGCCATAGTGATTCTTAGGTGGGATATAGTGGCTAAATCAGCCTCAGTCACAAAGCCCTTGCCATCCCTTATGTCCATTATTTGCTCCCCAGTTTTGATGCCTATACCTGGGAGCTGGAGCAACTCTTGAAAACTGCACTGGTTAATGTTTACCAGTGACATGAGTAACTGTAAATTACTGACAACAATTGATAACAAAGTTTATTAATTTAAAGAATAAACAACAACAAACAACACACTTAGAATACCACAAGTTATTTATTTAATAACACAAAAACTTCTGGTCTGCGGTTAACAGAAGTAAACTAAACAATAACACAACGACTGGTAACCCGTCCTTCTGGTCTGCGGTTAACAGAATAAACAAAATAATAACAAGTCGACTGGTAACCCGTCCTTCTGGTCTGCGGTTACCGGTGACTGGTACCCAGCTGTCCCTTCTGGGTCAAGCAAGGTAATGACGTCGTCTCCTGCCACAATCTTTCCCCCTAAACTATCGTGAAGTATTCCTCCAGAATACTCCCAAAATGCCTGAAATGATTTATTCCCTCGCTGGAATAAACCAAAAACACCCTTTTCCCTCCTGTCTTACTATTTTTGCCGTCCACCACCGGCACGGCAAAAACATACAAAATATCCCTTAAAGTCCTTACACTGCCCGACAACACGACTGGTTCCCCGTTCCTCCCAGGTCACGTGATCCAAGTCGTCTTGAAAATACGAAAAAACAACAAATACTCAATACTACACAAAAAACAGGGGTTCTACCGCGCTGCAAAACCCCTGTGATGTTATGTAATATGCTCTCCCAGAGTATTACACAACAAAAAACGATCGGCAAAGGTTTCCCCCGAATCCTTTACCGCGGGAAATTCTGTTGAAGCGAACCTCGCCTCAACTCACAAAATGAGCCCTAAATTGCAAATCACCACGCAAATTAGTGCTCGCAGCGCCAATGTTGTGATTCCGAGTATATCTAAATACCAATAGATACCTTGGATGGTCGTTCCTGCAGTCAGGAACAGCCGGATTGCTCTTCAGTAGAATATCGTCTGTATAGCCATTTAGTTCATTACCGGAAGAGAGGGATTTCTGGGTAGTTCTTCGGAAATCTCTAGATGGTCTGTCTGATGACCTAAAACTAACCCTACGAATACTACATATACAAATATTTAAAAAATCTCGCTTGTAAAGGCTGTTCAAAGAAGACTTAGAAGTTGAACAAAGTGCGTCAACTTCGTATTTTTTTCGTCTATAGGTCCGCTTGATCTTCCTCAAAAAGATTCATCATATCGTAATTATCCGGATTTGATGTCATTATATTTTGCGTGCATGTGATCACATTTCGCATATTTGACAGCTAATACGCTACACGGTTGCCGAAAAGCCATGCTTGTTTATTTAAAATCTTGGTCCTTGAAACGCTTTACTTATCAATATTGGTCGTTATTATCAAACGCTTTTAAGATCTATAGTATTCTAAACGAATAATCGGATCCGGACAGACTGACAAATCCGGATTTTGAATATTTATATTATTTTTGTCAATAAAATGTTTAGGGTCGGCGTCGGAAACAGAGGTAGGGTCGGGAAACCGGAAACACACCATTTATTTATTTTGGCCTAAAATCTATATTCATTGATAAAAATGTGTTTCAATTTAAGAATGTTATAAAAATATTCGTAAAATGTTGATTTTTAATATAAAAAAAATAATATTTTTATAACAAGATATGATTGTTAATGAAAAGTGATATATCATATAACAAGATGTGATAATTATCAAAAAGAGAAGAAGATTGTTGTTCTAATCATTATAATAACAATAATCCCACTGATCATTTGTTAATTATCATTTCTTTGATATATCTAAAGTTTTCTTTATGTTTATGCTTTTGTCAAGTAATTGTTGAGAAAATACCAAACAAGATAAATATAAAACGCCAAGACCCAAGCTGAATTCAAGCTGATACAAACTTAAAAGTTATAGTTTGTGAATATATTCTTATAACAATACGATACAAGCTGTTTGAGTAAACCTTTGAAGTATTACAATTGCAACATAAATGGAACCAAAAATGCCTGATTGTTTTTTGTTAAGAAAAATTCTTTTTCAAAACAAACTTCTGTCAAACCATAAATGGCATAATGCATAAAAACAATATGAAAAAGTATGGCCCAATCGACTGTGGACGAACTGGTAGTGTGGCCGAAAACGTCCTGTGGATGAACTGGTAGCGAAACGTCTCCAAAGCATTTTTTTATATATAGAAGTAGGGCGATCGAAGGCGATACACCTTATCACGGAAGCAGGACAAATCGCCCCACTGGCAAATCGCCCCACACCTAATCGCCCCACTTTTTCACCAACTCGCCCCACTTTTAAAAAAATCGCCCCAACTGGTTTACCAACTCGCCCCACTTTTTAAAAAATCGCCCCACTTTTGAAAAGGGTTAAATCCCGTTAATTTTACTCCTGCCAACTCGCCCCACTTAACGTACAACGTAAAGGTAAACCCTTTTATTTTAAGACTTAAAATAGTAAATTTCTGTGACAAATTATCCCCAGGATAAAATATCACAGAGGAAGAAATAAACCGTTACAATATAATGTTATTGAGAATAAGAAATCTACATAAAAATAAGCAGATTGCTATAATTGCCAATGAGACAAGTATCCTTCAGAAACCAATATGATAATATTTAAATTCCAATTTATATTAAGCACTCCTAATGTAGTTGAATGTTAAAATGTCATGCAGGAAAAAAACGTCACATAATTGCTGATGCTACCTTCTTTCTGTTTTATTTCAACCAAAAGAAAAGAACCAAAAAAAAAGATGCATTTCTAACGTTTTCATAAGTGGGCAGAATTGGAAGGCCTACACTCATTACAGTTTAATCATTTTATTCATAAGTGGGGCTAGTTGGTAGCCATTAATTCTATTCATACTTTTATTTATCAGTTGGGTACGTTGGCAGACATAAATTCAACGGTATTACTTCCTTTTTCATAAGTGTAGAGAGTTGGCATGACTCAATATTAGGATTTTCCTATTTTTCATAAGTGGGGCGAGTTGGGATAACTCAATTCATCAGAATTTTTCTATTTTTCACAAGTGGGACGAGTTGACATTCACGTCACCGAAATACTGGTACTCACTTCTTACTGCTTTATTTAAACAAAAAGAAAAGAATTACAAAAGATGTTTATCTAAGGTTTTCATAGGTATTGATTTTATTTATAAGTGGCAGGAACATATACAACGGGATAGCATCTTTTTCCATAAGTGGGGCGAGTTGGCATTACTAAATTCATCGTGGTTTATCTATTTGTCATGAGTGGGGCGAGTTGGCAGACCTTATTTCAGCGGGATTTTAACCCTTTACATGAGTGGGGCATGTTATCCAACCTATTTTCAATGGGATTTTACTCTTTTCATAAGTGGGGCGAGTTGGTAAACAAGAGTGGGGCGATTTTTTTTAAAGTGGGGCGAGTTGGTGAAAAAGTGGGGCGATAAGTTTGGGGCGATTTGCCAGTGGGGCGATTTGTCATGGATTCCCTTATCACTATTTGTCCGCCATCACTGGACATCACAAAGGTTCCCGTAATATTTTGATGTCATAATAGAAAATATCTGACGCCACAATGGAAAAGTAATTGTTGTATGACGTCACTAGTTCAACCGGCGCAGATTCTCGGGGCAACCGTCGCAGATTTCCAAATAAGGTGTATACCTACAAAACGTATGGTTACTTTTTATGAGATATTGTAAATTTGGTACACTCTTACAAATGTAAACAAAATTAATCACAGTTTTAAAAGTCGTTGTAAGTGTGCGAATTTCGACAAAGTAACCAAATATCCCTTAATCAGTGTTAATTACCGTATCGTTTTCTAACAACATCTTGTACTTATGACAGTCGACTGCGTGGATAGATCTCCTTTTAAAGTTACAAAAGCTAGTCTTATGCCGGTGGCCAAATCGTCCATGTAAAATCAATTTTGATTGGACCAAATTCACGAAATTTGGAAAATTACCCAATCAAATTATATTTTTCTTGCATAAACCCGGTAAATTTGAGGCTGAAGAGACACATGAAAAATGACTGATCAAGAGAATATAACTGAAGATGAAGCTGCATTATATGATAGACAGATTCGCCTTTGGGGTTTAGATGCTCAAAAACGGTATTCAAAGTGCTTTCGTAGAAACTTAATTTGTGTCTTCCTTGAAGGCCACAGCACAGGGGTTTGTTACAATTTGCCGGGTTTACTATCCAAACGAACCATTTTTTTCGGGGTTCGTATGGATAGTAAACCCGAAAAATTGTAACAAACCATTTTTTCGGGGTTCGTATGGATAGTAAACCCGGCAAATTATAACAAACCCCTGTAGCCACAGACCACAATTAAATTCTCTATTAGTTCTTTATAATGTTTTGTTTCATTAAAAAAATTGCACCGATTCTTTTTGTCAAATATTTTGTGTGTGTAAAGTACAGTACTAGTCCAAACATATATCCAACATTCAGAAAGATTGCTCCCCAGTATCTTACAAATTTAGCCAATACACATCCATACCCCTATGGACAAGTCAAGAGATGTTCCAAAAACTGTAAATATCACCTTTTTGCACCTGTTCTTATCACTCTTTCCATATCAAAATCAGTTTAAAATCCAACATCCAAAAGTTTATTTCACCTCTCTTCTTTCATTTCCATCCAAAAAAAACAAAGAAATGAGTGAGGAAGTGAAAGAAAAAAAATTAAGAAAAAATACACTTTAATTAAAAGGAACTATATTCGTGGACAATGAAAAGCGGGATCATTAATTGTGGTCTGGGACCTGAAGGTTCCTCTGTTGCTTGCTTAACGTCCATACCAGTAGCAAATATTTCCTGCATATAATTTTATATTTAGGACGATCCCAACAAAAAATCAGATTTTCAAATATGCAGTTTGCTCTGTGAGTGGCCAATTTATAACAATCAGACGTGAAGTATCTGCAATGTAATTAATTTATGTCTGAATATAGACAATTTAAATGAAGGCACAAACTATTCCCTTTTTGGGGATTCTGGTAGACCAAATTCTTCATTCTTCTGTCCCTATAATGTATATATTTCTTAATTTCCATTTGTTTTTTATTGATTTTGCTATTTACTATTTTTTTTTTTTTTTTTTTTTTGCAATATAGAGACAGAAAGCAATGTCCATTCAAAACAGGAGATTCACATACAATTTGTTTGCGCTCAATTTTCGCTGATATTCAGCCATCTGTACCTATATACACTTATAGATATATGTTTTTTCTATATTTTCATGTGCCTTACAATGATCAACGACTTTTCTCAGTCTAGATAATCCACTTTTTTTTTAACGTTTATTACATTCTTCTTTCATTCTCAGCAAGCTAAAAAAAATGGATTTTCTAGACTCAGAATGATCGTTGATCATTGTAAGGCAAATAAAATTATAGAAAACCCATTTATCTATTAGTTTATATAGGTACAGATGGCTGAAAAATGTATAAAATCAGCGAAAATCGAACGCAAACAAATTGTATGCGAATCTCCTATTTTGAATGGACACTGCTTTCTGTCTCTATAAAAAAAAAAAAAAAAAATAGTAAATAGCGAAATCAATAAAAAGCAAATGGGAATTAAGAAATATATGCATTATAGGGACAGAAGAATTCGGTCTAGGATTCTGGGGACTTGTCATTTTTTACCTGGGAGGGGAGGGGAGCTGGTCATTTTGAAATCAAACATATAAAATTTTTCTTGATCCCCCCATAATATTTCACTGTTTTTAATTTATCCCCCCTTAAAAACATTAAAAAAATGTGATCCCCCTCTCTTAAACATGCCAAAAATTAAACATGCAAAACACTTAAACTTTGACACACATGATATGTAGGATATACTTGAAGATTCAAAAGTTCACAAATGTTTCAATAGAGATAACATTGATCCCCCCACTTTGAATTTATAAAAAAAACTTGATCCCCCTTACATTTTGACCAATCCCTTATCAAGCCCTATTTAGTCTATTCAGGGATATTTTTGCCAACTACATGTACATTTGTTTTTTTTTTACCTTGCATCGAAGTGGCACCTTTCGTCCGTCGTCATCCGTCCGGTGTAAACTATTTCAAACATCTTCTCCTCTGAAACTACTGAACGAATTCCAACCAAACTTAAGCTGAATGATCCTTAGGGTATCTAGTCTAGTAGAATAAAATTTATGTATTATTTTCTGTTTCTTCAAAAAACATGGCAGCCATGGCTAAAATAGAACATAGGGATAAAATGCAGTTTTTGGCTTATATCTCAAAAACTAAAGCATTTAGAGCAAATCTGACATGGGCAAAAATGTTCATTAGGTCAAGTTCTATCAGCCCTGAAATTTTCAGATGAATCTAACAACCCATTGTTGGGTTGCTGCCACTAAATTGGTAATTTTAAGGAAATTTTGCAGTTTTTGGTTATTATCTTGAATATTATTATAGATACAGATAAACTGTAAACAGCAAAAATGTTCAGCAAAGTAAGATCGACAAATAAGCTTATATGACCAAAATTGTCAATTGACCCCTTAAGGAGTTATTGTCCTTTAAAGACAATTTTTCACAATTTGTTCATCTACAATGTAGTTTGCTTACTTTAAAAAATCTTCTCCTTTGAAACTGCTGAATCAATTTCAGCCACACTTGGGGCTGGGCTGAATGAGTTTCAGAGTATCTAGTATAAATTTTGTATTTTATTTCCTTGTACGTCAAGAAACATAGCCACTATGGCTAAAATGGAACATAGGGGTAAAATGCATTTTTTTGCTTTTGAAGAAAATATGACAGATACAAAGAACATTTAGATGGCATTTTTAAGCCACTCATTAATATATATTGAAAAGCAAAAATAATCATTGATGAAAGATTTAAGCAAAATATTACAGGTGAGCGATTCAGGCTCTTGAGAGCCTCTTGTTCATTTAGTTTTTTTTTCAAATAAGAGAAAGGTTGCAGGTCAGAGAGAAAACAATATGGCTGTCTACAGACTGATAAAATAATTTTTTTTACAAAATGGATCTATAACTATTGTTTAAGGAAAGATATTTTCAAAATTTTGACAGATTTTAAAGGCTAATAAGTCCTTTAATCAATTCTTACCTGCTGCAGATGTACGAAATGGTGGTGTAGATGTGAAAGACGATGGTTCAAGGTGAGGTAGTTGGCAAAAACTTTCAGAAAAAGACTTTACAAGGCTTGATAAGGGATTCTGAGGCGGCCAAATCAGAAAATCATTCCAGACTAAGAATCTCAAAAGGCTTTACTTGAATTAAATGAAAAGTATATATATAATAGACCAACTGACTATAGATTTAAGATGTGAACAATTACAGGTCATTGTAGGGCCTTCAAAAATTCATATTCCTGGTCTGGTTGAAAAATAAATGACAAGACCTTACAAGAATATGAGAAGCAAAAGTAAATAAAAAAATAGAAACTGGACCTTTCCCTTAATAAATTAGTATTTCACAGGCAGTTTTTATCATATTGATATAAATAGAGATGTGATATGATTCCCAATGAGACAACTATCCACCAGACCTGCATATAAACAATTAAAGGTAACTGTACAGCCTCAGCGATGAGAGAAAAGTCAATACAACATAGTCTATAAGTCTAATAAAAGATTGATGGGAATGAGAAAAACCCATACTGCATAGCCAATAAGTGTAATAAAAGAGCAAATCATTAAAAATGCCCTGTTATTGAGAATATATCAGTAATTCAGTATACCATATTTTAGACAGATGAGTGATTAAAGATCCATGAAGTCTGTAGTTAAGTTTGATTTTGTATGTTTTGATGATTTATAAATCATCATGACATGTAATTGAATTTCTATAATTCTATGATATCTTTAACTTGAAGTATTAACCTAAGCATCCTTTATTATACAGACTGAGACACTCAAGAATTTTATTAATTGGATTGAGAGGTCTGGGAGCAGAAATAGCAAAGAATATTGTTCTAGCAGGAATAAAATCTTTAACATTGCTAGACCAAACAGAGGTTTGTGATTATAAGTGATAACCCAAGAAATTCATTTAATTTGTCATATCAACTTAAAATATTCAATTAGTGATCAGTGCAAAATAAACCTTTAATACTTAGGCTTATTTCACTGTGTTGCCAGGTCAGAAATAAGCCATCAGATCAAATTCTTGCATTCTACTTTTGAGTTAAACTTTTGTCAAGAATGTGTAGGATAATTCAGCATTAATCAAGTGTAATTCACATTAGTCTTTGTTTTGTTTTGTCAGATTTTAATGGATAAAGTTGAGGGTTACAAAATTTGAGGGACCTGAGATCCTGGCTAATTCATTGGCAGACACAATAATCTAAACTTATCAATTAACAACATTAAGCAACTTAAATTATGATTTGATTGATTTATTTACATTATTAGTACAATAAATTCAATCCTGATCTTTGCTGGAAGCTGGATAATTTTTCTATGCCTGGTCCTACTGACAGGAATGAATGGAGAATTTAGCCACAATTTTATTTAAAGAATTCACTTTCAGTGTTATTCACGACTGGAGTTTCTGTCCATGTGTAATTTTAAACAAAAAACTAAAAGTCACCATTTGAATCGAGAAGGTACATGACTTTTGAATATGTCGCAATTGTTAGATGAAAATGGGAATTACGATTTTATGAATTTTCTCTTAAACAAATGTGCTGACAGCATGTCATTTCCTCCCATATGTGAATGAATGGAGATGTGGGGTTTATACATCAACAAGACAGCAACCCAAGAACAAAAACAATCAAAAGACATCTAGTGGGCAACCAACTGTCTTTAACAATCATGACATAGACCGGTGTCCATATGATATGTCTTGAGCTCTTAGTTGTCAGGAAATTGATGTTGTCCCAGTGTGCCTCACATGCATTCTTACATTTAAAGTCGCAGTCTTGTTTGAAGTAGGAGGGAACGATTTAAAGTTTATGGACAAGTACTGGTTCCAAGAAATGTCCACTTTTTTCTTAAAGTTCATTAGAATTCCTGGTTGGTTAATTGATTGATTGTAGATATGTTTAACACCCCTTTCATCACTATTGGCTATGTCATGGTCAGTTTTTATTGGTGGAGGAAGCCAGATTACCTGTAGAGAACCAACACTTAAAGACTTGTTGTTTTTGTAACATTACTTTCTTTAAGTTGCAATTTGCAAAACTTCATGAATATGTATATAAAACCCTGTTCAATAAGCCTGACCAACCAACGCAATACTGTTAATTCAGAAATTGCCTGTATATATTATTGAGATTTTTGAAGAATGGACAAATAATTTCGGAATTTACAGCATATGGTTGCACAAAAATACATTTCATTTATTTGGTTTGACACAGACATTTGTATTAGATTAATTGATATAGGGACTTTTAAAACTGTTATACACAGCTTTTAATTTAAGAAGATAGACAGTCTAGACAGTATGCATGCATTTCAACTAACATGAGATTATGTCCATTATTAAAAAATTTTTATTAGGAGAAAGTTCAAACTTATATAATTTTCACAAACTTTGGGCGAAAATATCAGCAAACAGTTGTCAATATTACACAAAGATGCCAAGTAAGGTTTTACCAGCTCCTTAGGGACTCTTTAAGCTTGTTAAATTAATTATATTGTTAAAGGGGCATTAGCTACAAGAAATAAAAAAAATTGGAATATGATTTTTTTTGGTTCAATCATATATAAAAGTCAAATAGTGAAATAATAATTCGCTTTTATCAGCCAGTTTGGTTCAATTTTGTCAAAATAAGCTAAGAAACATCGCTGATGAATTATTCACTTGCAAGTGAATAATTTGACCTCATTCATCCATATTCATGTGACCTTCAATTTAACCCCTTAGCTAGATAAGGGTTACGCATGAACTAGGCCTGTTCAGCTATTAAAAAGAAATAGAATGTCAACATTGAAAGTGAAACAATGGTAAACCATTTGGTTGACTGATTCGACCTACAAAAGCTCATTCTTATACAGGTAAAAACGATGATTAACATATATTTTAACCTATAATATGAAATCAAACAGACCTAGAAAAAGTAAATTGCATGTGTTCACTATCTATTTATATCTATATTTATGTTTATATCGGGTTATGACCGTCAGCAGTCTTCGGAGGTCACCTCGATGGTTAATTAGACGGCGTCTAGACTAAAATACACACGAAATGCTGATACATATTACCGAGTACATGCATCGTAAATTGTTTATTTTAGACTCTTTATTTTTTATAATTTGGATACACGTTTTAGTATGTTATAAATCAAATATGAGAATCTGAGTCAAATCGGTGAACATGAATTTGACAGCTAATGCCCCTTTAACATAATATACTGTTTTTATTTAGGTTTCTATTTAAGAAAAAAAAAGCTAAATTGTTAATGAGGTTAAATTTTGGCATTAAACGATATTGATTGAGATGAGAGAGCTATTTTGTAGACCTATGATTGTATGCATGCTTATATATAAATATTGTAATGTTTTGACAGGTAACAGAGGAAGATACATGCTCACAGTTCTTGATTCCACAGTCTGAGATTGGCAAAAATGTAAGATATTGTTAATCTGTTTTATACTCCTATGTATGAACAGTTCAATGAGACAACCAAACATTTTTATGGTTTTCCTTATTGCCATTTTGCACCTCCTATTTTCAGTTGAAAGATTTGGACTTTTTATTTCCTTTCTATGATATTAAGGGGTTTTATAATCTGCCAGTCTGTCAGTTCTTTTATATCAAGTTAGTTTTTTGTAAAAGTAGTTTTCAATGAAATTTTTTGAAACTCGTTCACATGTTCATTATGGCTTCAACTTTATTAATATATATGCCAAATTATGGTTTTATTTAACAAGAATTTGCAGATGACTGAACATGAATATTTGATAGGATGAATGATATTTAAAAAAATTGGTTAAAAGGAAGTCTATTGTTAGTTGTTGTCTTTGTAACTTCAGAATTCGAACTGATTTTCATTATGGTAGGATCTTTTTAAGATATATGCCATGTTAGGGTTTGACCTAGATTTTGTAGTTCACTGAACATGGAAATGCAAGGTTTTTAGTATGGCATGGTCCGACCAGGGTATGGTGCCGTTTGCCCACATATTCTTGCTGACAGATCAAATTGTTTGAAAAAGATCTTATATTTCCCCTACAGCAGTGAATGGATTTTTAGTGAACCTTTCATATAAAGGTATTTAAATCGCAATGGAGGATTTGGATGTAAACAGCTATAGCATGTATAGTAATCGTCAACAATGAGCAAAACCTATACTATTCAGTAAATCATAAATGGCACTGTCATGACAAAATGTTTAGAAAGATTTTTATGCCCCCACCGTAGCGGAGGGGGCATTAAGTGTTTCCCATGGCCGTCCGTCCTGTCTGTCCTTCCCGAACATCCCCAAAATTGGTTTCCGTTCTCTAACTTTAGTTTGCCTCAACCAAATATTATAAAACTTATACATAATGCATATTACTACAAAACACAGATCAAGTTTGAAATTGGGTGGCGTCACTTTTACCGTTCATGCCCCTTTATAGATGGAAAAATTGCTAAATCTGTTTTTCTCTAACTTTAGTTTGCCTCAACCAAATGTTATGAAACATCACAAAACAGTCTTAATTAGGTGAATCCTGCACCTGTATGTGGACGTTGACTCATGCGTTTTTACAAGTGGGGGAATCTGTGGCCCATAGACACATTCTCCATTTATTTTTTTGAGAAATCCTTATAAGACTAGAACGAAAATTTTTTTGTTATCATATTCATTATAAACATTTAAGTATTAAGTTATTCACTGCGCTCTTTTAGAATATGATACATGTTTAAGGCAAGTAGTGCATTTCTGATAAATCCAAACAGCTTGATTATATAGTGGGCATGTACCAAATTTTTGCTAGAAGAAAAAATCAATAAAAATGCATCTGATAGCTATTTTTCTGAGTTTTTAATTGTATTAACTTTTGTGTTCTTTTTGTATGTTTCAGAGAGCCAAAAGTTCATTAGAAAGGACACAGCAGTTAAACCCTATGGTTGAAGTGACAGCAGACGACAGCGATCCTAAAGACAAACCAGACAGTTATTTCAGTGAATTTGATGTCATATGTGCAACATGTTGCACATCTTCATTATTGACAAGGATTGATAAAATTTGTGCTGATAAGAAAGTGAAATTTTTTGCTGGTGATGTTTTTGGTTACTATGGTTACATGTTTTCAGATCTTGGAGAACATGAATATGCACAGTAAGTGCCAGATTAAACAAGAGTCAAATGAAAGTTGAGCGCCATGATAATTACTGATGATAGATACACTGGTGCATAGAGATTACATGTTTGATTTCAATAGTGTTTGAAACAGTAATATGAATAGTACATAAAAAGGTTAACAGGTATCACAAAAAAAAATGGACAGTACATCAACACCTGACTCTGATGAAGAAAAAAAAAACATGTACGAACAACACAGAAATCATTTTCCTCTTCTAGAGTAAGTAGAAGAAATTTGACCCAATATTTCTCCTAAGGAAACCCCAAAACATCAAAATAGGAGGTGCTTGATACAAATTAATAGTTTTGGCTACAAACATCATCAGCATCTGTTTTAAGTCATCAGTTTTCAAATATTTGTGCCAAGTTCCTTGTATCCACCTCTTTTCAGACATGTGTTACATTTTGTTTTGACTTCATGTGAAGTTAGTTCATTGATATGACATACATGACATATCAATATTTAAATCAGTTTTTTTAAAAAAAAAGGTTTCCTTGCTCATCATTAACCATTAAAAAAGTCTTTCTAAATTTTGGTAGCAAGCACAACAAAACATCTATATAGATATAAGAAGATGTGGTATGAGTGCATGTTTGTTTACAAATATTACATGAAGTGATACCTTTTAACATGTTCAACCTTGAAAAAAATATACAAAACTATTTATTATTAGCTCATAGGAAGTTATTTTTTTATTATTTAATTTATCGGTTCCTCATGAAGCAAGTGAACTCTGAAAAAAATTCTGGCAATTGAAGGTATCTGGTTAAAAAATCCTCCTGCATTTCGTATAAAGTTTCTTTTTTACAAATTCATCCACATCTTACATATTTGAATTGTCCCACCTGTTTAAACTAGAAGTGGGTAAATGAGACAACTCTTATTACCTTAAAATCATATCAGAAAGAAGCCATTGTTAATTATCGTTTATTTTTTTTAATAATTTCACAGAATCCGATGAAGTGTAGAATTTTAAGAATAAACAAGGTCTAAATATATGATTTTAATGTCAAAAATTTTTGTATTATATAAAAGCTTTAATTTATTAATTGTATACAAGGTGTAAATTTAATGTATTTTAGAGAAGTCCCAAAACCAAAGGAAAAGAAATCTGACATAGATAGCGATGAACCCTCGCCTAAAAAAGCCAAAGTCAAAGATCACAAAACTGTTGTTGTGAAAAAAGTAGGTAACATAATAACCAGAAAATAAAGAGGTACTAGTCTTTCATCTGGTATTCATATCTTTCTGGCTGCATGTATTTTTATTGTAAAATATAGAAAATGTGAAAATGTCTTTTCTTTAAAGTATGTCTGATGCTCTATGTGATTTCTGTTAAATAACTGACATAATTTATAAGACAGCTTTCTGTTTTAACTGTGTTTCAGCCTTCCTATCAAAGAGCTGAGTAGGTTAAAATTTTGTATCAGTCTCAGTTTTGTTAACATACTTTAGATGAAAGTCATGTGGTATATTTATAATTTGCTCATGTAATATGAGTGCCGCTAACTATTTGTTGGTGTGGAATAGTAATCGCTCTGTCCATCAGCACTTCTATAGCATACTACAGATCAAGATGGCCTTAACCTATTTCTATAATATTCATGCACAGTTTATATTTATTTTTTAATGAAGGCACTTTTTGATTTTTATGAAAACTGGGGGGGAAATTCTGGTAAAAACTTATATTGTTAAAAAAATCACATATTTTTAGAAATGCCTTGATTGTTTTAGGATTTCAATGGCATAGCTGTCAACTGACCCATATTCTGCGGGTTACATCCAAGAATTTTCCCTTCACACAGGATTTTTTAAATACCCACCAGGTATTCAAATAAACTGGGATTTAAAAAAATGACCTGTTTTCACCCATATTTCTGACCAGCATTGTTTCCGGTATTTAGAAGTCAAATATACTTTCGGTTTTCTCTGCATATTTCCATTGAAAAGGTAAACAATTGAAATTAGAATTGTTTACTTCTCGTGCCAATGGCAGATATCAAAACATTACATTTGATTGAAAAGTAACAATTCGAGGATTGTTTGTTAATTGTACCCCAGAAAGTTGAAGCCAGTCAAGCTTGACATACAATTCTATGTCCTGATTAAAAGATTTGCCGTTTGCAAATATCAAATATCCTGTAAAAATCATTTGAAAACAATTTGAACCTTTTAATACATTTCTGTTGGAGAGAATAATTTTGGTATCACTTAAATGTAAAAGCTTTAAATCAAATCCATATGCTCTAGACTTTCTATTTATCTTCCTCCTGTGTATAGGAGCACATAAGCTATAATTGATTTCTAATTACATGTATAGCTGGGGTTTATGACATTCATTAATAAAAAGAAGTTAACTAGTGTGAATAAAACAATAAAAGGGCATTGTTTTAGAAAGATATTTAATGAATGATAAATATTTATATACTTAACAAATTCAAAAGGAAACTCAGTGGTACATGTATATGTTATAGTAAATAATGATGTGAAGGAGGTTATTTGTTAGATCTATTATTCTTTAAGATTTTATAATTCAATGGGGCCAAAAAAATATCCTTGTCATACCTACTTGTATGGAAACACTATATTTACCAAAATTATTTTCAGAATGCAACTTTCACAAGGTTACAGCATGCTCTAGATGTGGATTGGAGAACAGATGAAAATTCAAAGAAGATAAGACGAACACCAAACACATATTTCATAATGCAAAGTAGGTTTTTAAAACAACCACAGGAATCTTGTCAGTGGTTGTTTTTGTGCCTGACTCATCCTAATGTTTTTCATATTTTTTTTGTTATTGGGAGAATAATGTGCTGATGGCAGATTTTTTATTGTTTCTATTTAATTTTATGTAAAACCTGTCAGTTAGTAAACTCTTGCTTTATCTTATCAGGACAGTGAAATTCTATTAATTTAACCTGTGTAAACCATGCAGCTGTTAAACATAAACAAATTCTATACAATTTCACTGAGGAATGAACAACAAATTCTATACAATTTCACTGAGGAATGAACAAGTATTCACTATATAACATTTCCATATGTGATTATTAGATTTTTATTTAATTTATATACTTTGAGGAACTTTGAAGAAAAACAGATAAAGCCATCAAGATTGGTACCAACTAAGACTTCATTATTGATGGCTGGATCTAAAGTACTGGATGGACTAGTTACAACTTTTCTTTTGATCAATTCACCAACATCAATGTTAAGATTTCATAAAATAGAAGAACATGTTCTTGCAGATATTTATTTATGATTATATTTCTCTTTTAAAAAGAAATTGAAAGTCATTGGTGCCTTTAGACTTGTAAGTGTGAGAGATTGCTTAAATATGCCAATTTAAATTTGCACTATGTACATTCCAAATAAGTTAGGAATTTGTTTTAGTCATACATATATGCTAAAATATAAAATTATTTCAGTTATCTTAACTCACATTTTTATGCCCTGAATTTGATAGTAGAGGGTTTAAGTTTTTGGTCAAAGTAGTTTATGATGAATTTGATATCACATCCACTTTGAAACTCAATACCCATGTTCGCTATGATGTGAACTTAATTATATACCAAATTACGGTTTTTACCCCAATTTTTTGGTTCACTGAACATGGAATTGGGATGTTGTGAAACCCGTAAATTCTCAGGTTAAAGTAGTTTACCATGAGGTTATGGTCAAATCAACTTGAATCTTAGTACACTTGTTTATTATGATGTAAATTTTATGCCAAATTACAGTTTTGACAAAGATTCAACGGTTCAATGAACAAAGAAAATGATAGTGTGATTTGGGCATGGTGTCACCTGTTCTTTTTAGACATTTGTGTTATTGAGAATTCAAAGCTGTACACATGATAAAAGGGATAATTTAATGGCATTGCATTTGTCTTTCCAGTTTTACTAAAGTTCATGGAGCAGAATGGTAGAAGAGTTGCTCTTGGTTCAAGAGAAGATGACATTGTTGTTTTAAATAATATTAGAAATACTGTTTTAGAAGATATGAAATTGAATGAAAGTGTTGTATCAAAAGAGTTCAGTAGGTAGGTATTTCATAGAGTGACAATAATTATTACAGAAAATTACACTGTTGTGTCTAAAAGAATTCAGTAAGTCTGTATTTCATAGAGGTAAAATGATTATTACAGAGGGGTGTAGTTTTCAAAACCATTCACATTAAACGAGATTCAAAATATTTTGGATGACAGGAGAGGTTGAATAATCGTGAAATTTCTAGAAACTGTTTTCATCATAGGTCTGGTCCATGCGCGCCAGTGTGTCGACAGGATAGATGGGGTATTGGTAGTCACTATAAGTACATGCTCTTTGTAGGGTTAACAGTTTTTGGGTAATTAAATTAATTGGGAAATTGCTTTATACACACTATGTTAAGAAAATGCAACATTTGAATAATGTTATTATGCCGTAGTGGAGGGTGCATTAAGTGTTACCCATGTCTGTCCGTCCCAAAATTGGTTTCCGTTCTATAACTTAGTTTGCCTCAACCAAATATTATAAAACTTATACACAATGCATATTACCACAGATCAAGTTCGAAATTGGGTGGTATCACTCTTACTGTTCATGAGTTATGCCCCTTTACAGTCGTTTCCGTTCTCTTACTTTTAGTTTGCCTCAACCAAATGTTTCATAGACTTGTACACAATGCTCATAATCACAAAACGATCTTAACTACGTGAATCCTGCATCTGTATGTGGTAGTTGACTCGTGCATAGTTACAAGTGGGGGCATCTGTGGCCCATAGACACATTCTCCATTTATTGTATTCTGCTTATGTAGGTATACATTTGTAACTACTTGAAAACAGCTTGACAGAATTTCATAGATTCTCCTGCCGGATATGAAGTTCTGCACTGGCTATTTTAATTTTGTTTTGACTTTTCTTTATGGTTTCCAATACCTTATATATAGTAACCTAAAACATGGACAGATATTTCTTTTTTTTTGTATTATTTGGAGACAGCAGAGTTACACATATATTAGCACTTTTTTCTGTATTCAAGAATTTTTTTCTCGCTAAGAGCATTAATATTTTCCTTTACTATTGTCTATATTTTTGGATCATATTTTCTTTCCATTTTGTTTTAAGGCCAACCAAAAGTGTGAACTACATGTGGTCTATAGCAATATAGTGTACAGGTCTGTCTGATAAGGTTCATCAATTCATATTGTTAGGTGATAAGACCTGGACCTATATTCATAATCTGCTTTGTAACTACAAGTAAAACAATGTTGCCTGCTTTAGAAGGTTTGAATGAAGTTTTACATGGATCCTGTACACTTCCAAGCATATTTGGTCATAACCATTGTAGAAAAGACATTTTTGTGTGTTCACTCTTTATAATATTATGAAGTAAAGAATTAGTAGTTAGAAGCATAATTGCAAACAATATTGAAAATGAAAATAATACTTTCAAAAATTTGAGAGCAGATCTAAAAGAATTTATTTTTAGATGATTTATATGTTTCAGAGTTTAGTGTGGCATTCATTTCACTGAACTAGTATACATTATTGTTTAGGGGCCAGCTGAAGTCGCCTCCAGGTGTGGGATTTTCTTGCTGCGTTGAAGATCCATTGGTGGCCTTGCGCTGTTTTCTGCTCTTTGGGGGTTGTTGTCTCTTTGACACATTCCCAGTTTCCATTCTCAATTCTATTTAAACATTTCAACATAAATCCTTTCTTAACACAATCATAATCAATAAGATTGGTTATAAAAACTATGTCCCATAGAGCTTACATAGAAATTTGATTTATTTTATTAATGATTTCAGTTACTGTTTTGCTGAACTAAGTCCAGTTTGTGCCATAGTCGGTGGTGTTATTGGACAAGAAATCATAAAGGTAACTCAAAGTATTTTTTAAATAGATGTCAAAACAAAGAATTGTATTAAAGAATTCAGTACTCTAATGGACCTCTACTCCAATGAAAATGCCTTGATGATAGACAGTCTGATTTGGTTTGTCCCCTGATGTATGGTATATGGAGGCAAGGTGTCTGTAGGTCATGTTATATCTTTTGAGACATATTCAGGTTCTATATAGTATCATGTGTATGCTTGTACAGCACTTGTTACAAAATATGAACATCAATTTGTCAATAATAAAGTAAATGACATTTTGGGTATGTTTTAAACTGCATGTTGCTTACAGAGGTTATATCAGGAATGCAGTGGAAAAGATATATGCATCAATTCTTGAGACAAATTCTCGACGTATCTTGACAGGCTTCATTGTGACTTTAAAACCATTGCTGTTCTTCACAATTACACTGAAGCCTTTAACATGAAGCTAAACCTCATTTCAAGACAGCCCACAGCAGAGGTTTGCTAGATGTCTATCATGCAACATATGTATATAGAAGAACACAGCTGTAGGATATTATCAACAAATTATAGACCAAACCGGTAATGAAATCAAACATCTACTGTCATGAATTGCCTGTACATACAGGATTGTCATATTGAATTGTAAATGGTCAAAAAAGAACATACATTCTGAATATTTTGAGCAGAATATTACCACATTACAGAATTATCAAAATCTCATTGCAGGCTGTATCACAGAGAGATTCACCACATAATAACTTCTTTTTCTACAATGGTGTGAATGGAGAAGGACTAGTGGATAAGATTGGTTAAAGATTGTTTTAACCTCCAATTTGGTTAGAGACTATTTTGTCCTACAGTTTGGTTAAAAACTATTTTGACCTGTAGTGAAGGAATTGTTCCTGGCAGGAATCAGTATCAAGTCAGCAGCTATGCTCGTTTTGATGAATAACATATGAAAAGTGCTGAAGAGTTGCAAAATTTACATATGTATTAATGAAATGTCACGATGTAAAGGAAGAAATAAATGTTACTATTTCAGTTGTATTTTTGTCTCGACTTCGACACATAGAGAAATTAATCCAACTGTGACATTCACTTTTTGTATAAAGCCTTATTAGACCTTGATTCTTCAGATCTTGTATAGATTTTGTAGATGCTTTATGTTCTGAAGTTAACAATTGTCATATGCCCATCGTCTTTGAGCTACTTCTACTACAATGCGACTACCATCAAAAAATTATTCTGGTATTTACATGGTTCAGCTGCTACTCAACACATGAATAACTTGCCTAGTTTGAGTAATAACTATTTGGTATGAGAGATCCTTGCAAGGTTTTTTGTCCATCAGACATGGTTCAAATGACCATGACCTCATTTCATGGATTAGTGGTCAAGGTTGTTCATATCTCGGATATATTCTTTTATCTTTGGCGTATCATAGACATAGGAAAAACGTTAGGTGTAAAGAATAAAATTGTCGCATGGGAACGCACAAAAGGAAAAATTTAAGAAAATTTCCATATTTTCGCAAACATTTTCCCTGAACAGTTAAGCTGTGTTTGAGCAAGTTACTGTGTGTGCAAAAACTTTCAAGATTTTTTTAATGTCTGTGATAAAAACATGCGAACATGAAAGAAAAATTTTAAAGGCATAGCTGAACTCTATGATATGTATTAAATGAGCATTAGCTATGAGATAAAAAAAAAAATTAAAATATGATTTTTTTTTTGTTCAATCATTAGTGAAATAATAATTCGCTTTTAGCAGCAAGTTTGGTTCAATTTTGTCAATATAAGCTAAGAAACATGGCTGATAAATTATTCACTTGCAAGTGAATTATTCGACCTCATTTAAACCATATTCATGTGACCTTCTTTTTAACCCCTTAGCTAGAGATGGGTTATGCATGAACTAGATGAGCTATTAAAAGGAAAAGAACGTCAACATTGAAAGTGAAACAAGGGTTAACTATTAGGTTGACTGATTCAATCAACAAAAACTAATTATTATACCAGTAAAAACAATGATTATCATATTTATTTAACCTATAATATGAAATCAAACAGACCTAGAAAAATCCAATTTCATGTGTTTGCTATCTATTTATATCTATATCAGGTTATATGACCGTCGGCAGTCTTCGGAGGTCACCTCGATGGTTAATTAGATGGCGTCTAGACTAAAAACAATGATTAACATATTTGTTTAACCTATAATATGAAATCAAACAAGACATAGAAAAATCCAATTTTATGTGTTCGCTATCTATTTATATCTACATCAGGTTATATGATGGTCTGCAGTCATCGGAGGTCACCTCGATGGTTAATTAGATGGCGTTGAATAGAATACACATGAAATGCAGATACAAATTATTATGGAGTGCATGCATTGTTAATTGTTCATTTTAGACTTTTTGTAATTTTGATAATTTTAGTAGGTTATAATCAAATATGAGAATTTGAGTGGAATCGGTGAACATGAATTTGACAGCTAATGCCCCTTCAATACATTTTCATTTGCTTTAAACAAACCTTTTTCTACTTTCTAATTAATCCTTGTTACAACTGTATGTCCGAACTCAGATTAGCCAATTATCCTTCATATGGTATTTAGTATAAAGTTTGTTTTTTGTTCTTGCAAATTGACCATCATGGCTGCCATGGACAAAAAATAGAACATAGGGTATAATGTATTAATTGTCAATTGTTAATTGAAAACCATAATAATCTGACTTGTCAGAGTTATTTCACAAGTTACATTTTTTGACAAATTTTCCTGCTTTTGCCTATCTCAAAAACAGTACTAGATATATGATAGCAAACCAAGACCTTCAAAAAATGCCAAAATGACTTAAACTATCACAGGTGCTAGGTTGTTTTTTTTTCCCTTTTCTCGTATTGATTTGAAAACCATATAAATAGAACAGAAACTTATAGCTTAGACCTTAAATAAACAATACAAGATCTATAAAAATGAAGTTATTGTCCTGAAATTAAGATATTTTGAGGTTTTGCTTATCATCTTGAACTGTATAATTGAGACAGAAACTACACAGCAAAGCAAGATCGACAAAAATGTCAATATGACTGAAACTACAATTGCTTTCCTTCTAGGATCAATTTCTCTTTAACAATGGTTCGACAATTTTTTCCATTTTGGCTTTATATTTATTATTTTGAATACAATAATTGATAAACTGTAAACAGCAAAAGTTATCAGTAATACAAGATCTACAAAAGACCAACAACTAATTTCTAATAGGAGTTATTGACCTTATAGTCATGGGTCTTCCTCCATATTGGATCATATTGGATTGTACAATAGCAAAAAATAATCGATAAATTTACCTTTTTTGTTTTGTAGTATGATAAGAGTGACTCCAATTTTTTTTTCCCTGAAAGCTCATACAGACATTCAAACTAATTTTTCAAAAGTTCAAAAAGTCATAGCAAAATTGTTTCAATAAATAGTTATTTGCATCAAAGGTACATACTTTGGTATTCTCTACATGAAAAGGTTGGTGATTCTCTCCAGGTACTCTTTGCTCCCTCCACCAATAAAAACTGATCCCCATGATATAGCAAAATGCAATGAAAGTGGTGTTCAACACCAACAATCAATCAACCAATTTCTTCTTTTGCCTTAATTTTAAATATCATAGTTTATTGGTCTGTTTGGTTTTTGTGGTTTTGTCAGTTCATTATTACTATAGGCAATATGGCAACTATATTTGGTGTATGAACTGATTGTAAGGTGTACATGACTTTTTGCAGGTTTTACCTGATTTTGACCTTTTTTTTCATGGTTCATTGGTCACTTAAATTTTTAAGGTTATGTCTATTTCTCAGAAATTATAAGCAATTAGTAAGCTATATTTTGGTATGTGTAATGATTGCATGGTGTACATGCTAGCAGTGTCATCAGACCGTAACCTCAATTTTATGGTTCATTGGTCAATGTTCAATTTTTGTCTCCCCTTGATGGTGTCAATAATTGTTTAACTTTGTGATTAGGTTAGTTTTAGTGGAACCACTTATGGTAAGTCAATGATATTTGGTATGCAGTTGTATCAGCATTGGCACATTTCATTTCCATAAAGATTATTTGGCCCCACTCCTTCAGTCATGGTCTGTTGACTATAAAACTTGCACATGTTTACATGTTAAAAGTGTGTGATTAGGTCAGTTTAAGGGGAACCACTTATGATGTGTCAATGATTTTTGGTATGCAGTTGTATTATCATTGGCATATCTTTTTTCCACAGAAGTTGGCCCTATACCTTCAGTCATGGTTTATTTACTTTGAATATTTTGCATAATTTGCATTTCAAAGTATTGCTATTTTATTTTCAACATTTTCATTTTTCTATCCAATAACATACAGGCAAGACATACCGTATAGCTTTTTTTTTTATGCGGGGTGTAAATTTTCGATTGTTTTCGCGGATAGAACAAAATCGCCAAAATAAATTTCGCCAATTTAAAAGTGCACGTGCAAAGTTATTGATAAAAGTTTGGAATCCGCCAAAATAATAAATGCCAAAACATTTTGTATACCTTAATCAATGAAAATCGAGAAATTTTACACCCATGAAAATAAGCCGCTATATGGTATATCTGTGTAAACGATTTATCCTAATTAGGCCCTTTTCTCAAATGATTTAAGCAATAGGCCCACTATTTATGATTGATGATATGATTGTAAGGTGTACATGTCTGTCTGGGCTCTGACATACCTAACCTTTACCTCATTTCCATGATTAATGGCTCTGACAGGCCTTGACCTTTACCTCATTTCCATGAATAATGGTTCTGATGGGACCTGACTTTTACCTCATTTCCATAAATATTGTTAAGTTAATGATACTTGTAATAAAACCTTATATTACAAACTTTCAACATAAGTTCAATAACAATAAGTTAAGCAGGCGAGACATTTCAGTAGTGCACTCTTGTCTCTCTACTCATACAAGAATGGTTTTTCCATATATGAGCTTTCAAAATCTGACAGTTTTGCACATCATTAAGGTGTGAAAAAAGCTGTGACTCATACTTTTATTTTATTTTTGAAGAATAAGCATGATAAAAACTAAATGTATTAAAAACTCTATTATTTTAAAATTAAGACCCTATATATAGAACAAACACTATTGGAAAAAACACATGTATTTTTTAAAAACAGTATATCTTTCCACTTCTCCTCAGCATTTTGTCTGAAAAATTAAAAAAAATATGTAATAAAAGTTATCATCTAAGTATATACGTAATAGTTCTATATAAGAGGCAATAGACGATTTTCAAATTCATGCATTTCCCTGTATATCTCCTATCTGACAATGCTTATGTTATTATGTCACCGTGTGAACTGATTGTTAAATGACATCCTTTATGCAAATTTACCCCGGGTCAACCAGTGTAAGGCATTCATAAAAAATCATTTTGAGATATGTCTATAGATGTTATATGTCAAAACCAAAGAGAACCTTTTAACTCAGGCCATTTTGATATTGTGAAAAGTATGAGGCATTTAGGTTGAAGGCCTTAAAGCAATTAATAAGGTGAAGAACAGTAAGGAAAGTGTTGTAATTCCATAAAGGCATAGTTCTTTAAAAAATTATTTCTTTTTCCCTAAGGTATGAACACAGTTTGTCTTTGAGCAAAAGGATGCAGTGGGTGTGTTAAAATGCTTGAGGTGTATGCTCATTACCTGTACATGCTTAGGTATTGAAATTTAGGTATTGAAATTTATGAGAACATATATTATGGTAATACTACGTCTATACAGACTCCCTTCTGGAAGTTTTAGTTACTCACTTCTTAGTTGAGTGTTAACTCCCTTTGATATGTTTATGTCTGATGTTGATCTAGATCTATTGTGTTGTCAAATAGAGGGTTTATGTCTGATGTTGATCTAGATCTATTGTGTTGTCAATAATGAGAGTTTATGTCTGATGTTGATCTAGATCTATTGTGTTGTCAATAAGAGGGTTTATGTCTGATGTTGATCTAGATCTATTGTGTTGTCCATAATGAGAGTTTATGTCTGATGTTGATCTAGATCTATTGTGTTGTCAATAAGAGGGTTTATGTCTGATGTTGATCTAGATCTATTGTGTTGTCAATAATGAGAGTTTATGTCTGATGTTGATCTAGATCTATTGTGTTGTCAATAAGAGGGTTTATGTCTGATGTTGATCTAGATCTATTGTGTTGTCAATAATGAGAGTTTATGTCTGATGTTGATCTAGATCTATTGTGTTGTCAATAAGAGGGTTTATGTCTGATGTTGATCTAGATCTATTGTGTTGTCAATAATGAGGGTTCATGTCTGATGTTGATCTAGATCTATTGTGTTGTCAATAATGAGAGTTTATGTCTGATGTTGATCTAGATCTATTGTGTTGTCAATAAGAGGGTTTATGTCTGATGTTGATCTAGATCTATTGTGTTGTCAATAATGAGAGTTTATGTCTGATGTTGATCTAGATCTATTGTGTTGTCAATAAGAGGGTTTATGTCTGATGTTGATCTAGATCTATTGTGTTGTCAATAATGAGGGTTCATGTCTGATGTTGATCTAGATCTATTGTGTTGTCAATAATAGGTTTATATCTGATGTTGATCTAGATCTATTATGTTGTCAATAATAGGTTTATGTCTGATAATGATCTAGATCTATTGTGTTGTCAATAAGAGGGTTTATGTCTGATGTTGATCTAGATCTATTGTGTTGTCAATAATGAGGGTTTATGGCTTGGTATCATTGCCAAAGGACTATCAAATAGCTTGTGATTGGTTCTGGTTTAAACAATACATTTTGTTTGTAAAATTACCAGTTTATGAATTATGTAATTGAACTAAAAGTTTCTTTTAAAAGGTTTTTAATGTTAGATTGTTCTCAAAATTGTTTATTTTTTTTTGCATCCCAAATTTTTCCAGCATATTTGATGATGATTTTTATTGTGCTCATAGAATTCTGTATCATACACTTTTTTCACAGACATTCCAGCAACTACCAACAACAAAGTCTGTTTCCTTAAAATATTATTTCTCCTGTTCAACAAAATAGTTTTTAATATAGTCTTATCTTACCCTATAATTATCTTGCAATGCATGGTTATTTAAGTTCTGAAAAAGAAAATATTATCAGTATGTACAAAATAATATATTAATTATATTTTATACTTAATAAATGTTAACAAATATATATAAAACATACTTTGTTACATATCCAAGCCAAATTAAATTGTTTTTCATCAGTTTAAGATTTGAAGTGATATTAATATACAATGTATTAGGTTAAAATTTACAACTATCAAAAATGTGACAGATTAACATATCTTCAGCACAAAAATGAAATGAAGGAAATGTCAAACTGATCTCTAACAAATAATCCACAGCAATTACATCAAACAACAAATATACTGTCATTATAAAATAGAAAAAAATGTCTATATAGATATAAAATCAAACTGAATTCACACCTGGCCTGCTTTGCAGCAAAACAGCTATCTAATGAACTATGTGATATTTTGTGAATGTATACATTGAAAATGATATTTGAGGTAAATGTCTGACTTAAACACCAACCTTACAAAATAAATAACCATAAGACATATCGAAAATAACATACAGTCTACATGTACTTCATTTACCAAGTTATTTGTAAGAGAAAAATTTTGATCAGAAAACTGATCGTCATACAATAATTATTTTTACAAGAGTATTCTAGCAAGATCAAGATATCAGAAAATCAAGGAAATATTTTCGTTTAAGTTTTTTTGCAAATGTTGAGAAATTCATCTGTCAAAACTTGTAACACAAGGCTAGATTCGCTTACTTTAGGTCGAAAAATTACAACAGCAAAATGTTATTGTAATAAATTAACCAGATTTCATTGCAGAAAAATTAAAAGTTAAAAAAACTGCCAAAAACCATGAACCATGGCAGGAAAGACGAAATCTTACAAGAGTGTACATACTGAAATGTCTCACCTGCTTTAATGAAAATTGATTTTATCTTGAAAGTCCTAAAGATAAAGGTTTAACTTCAAGTATCACATAGACTTAACCTTTTTAAAGATCCATGACAATGAAGTCAAGGTCAGATAAAGACGGTCAGACAGACATATACACCTTACAATTATTCCATACACCAAATATAGTTGACCCATTGCTTATGGTAATTGAAAAACAGATCAAAACACAACAGCTTAACATTGACCAATTCAATGAACCATGAAATGAGGTCAAGATCAGATGATACCAGCCAGACAGACAAGTAAACCTAACAATCATTCCATACACCAAATATAGTTGACCTATTGGTATTAGTATTTGAAAAACAGACCAAAACACAACAACTTAACATTGACCAATGAACCATAAAAATAAGGTCATGGTCAGATGATACCGGCTAGACAGTCATGTACACCTTACAATCATTCCATACACCAAACATAGTTGACCTATTGCTTATAGTACTTGAAAAACAGACAAAAACACAAAAACTTAACATTCACCAATGAACCATGAAAATGAGGTCAAGGACAGATGAAACCCGTCAGACTGACATGTACCATTGTACCACATGCAACACTTGTCGCAGGCGAGACAAAAACCAGGTACTTGGCAGGGGGCAAAAAACCTGTTTTGTATTAAACACCTTAAATATCCATCAACTGAACCAGGTTCAATGACAGGAGGGAAAAAGAAATGTTTACCTGTGTTATAACACATCATTACCTGAATCTGTTTTCTTCTTTTTTACTATCACTATTATAATACCTATAATTATTATCAACACTACAGCTCCACCTACAATAAATTAAACATAGGCCATGTGACAAACTATATTTTATTGCTTGGCATCAGTGTGATGCTATTAATTTCATTCCATATTAAGCCATCTTGAAATTATTTCTTAATAAAAATCAGTTTCAATTGGATGCCTCATGGCTAAGGTTCTATTGGCTAAAATGAGATATATTGGAAAGATGTCCCGGACAGGAGAAAATCTTAAATATGGAAGATAAGGAATGAAATTACAGTATAGGTATTCAAGACCGATAACAATTTATTGCTTCATGTTTTCATGTAATTTATGATATTGCGAAGCACTTCGTAACCTTTTAGAAAGGTTAGTCTTGTATAAGTTATGAACCCATGTATAACCAGTTCATTGCACTTCAGTGTTTAATAAAAATTTGTTTTCTCTAATTTTCTTTCCTTGAAAAGTGATAGTATTTAATTACATTTATCATATTCTTACAAGTTAGTAGATAATACAGGTAAATTGTATGTGTAATACCCTCAATGGCATGATTGCAAAGGCTTTAAATTATCACACCCTGAAACTGTGGGACTTCATTTCATCAATATCTGTCACAGTTGCAAAGGTTTTATCAAACCTCTAATCTGTATAATGTCATATCATGTGAAAAAACAATTACTTGAGGTATATAATAAAGTGTATATGATATGGCTTTTTCGATATCACACCCTGTATCAACCCTCAACCAATACAATTTTTCAAGTAGAGCTCTTGGGATTATATTGGGGTCACAGTTGACATGGATGCTATATTGAAAAAGGCATGTGATATTTTCTATGTAACATCCTCCACAATATGCAAATATTATTAATTGGATTATTTCAACATTTCTAGCAATTTTAAGAATTAAGAACTTTGATCATGTTGATGTAAATTGTGACAAAAATGAAATTAGAACTTACCTATACCACCTCCAATGACTGCCCCAGATAAACCTCCCTCTTCCTTCTCTTCTGGTACAATTGTCTGTAGCACTTACCTATACCACCTCCAATGACTGCCCCAGATAAACCTCCCTCTTCCTGCTCTTCTGGTACAATTGTCTATAGCACTTACCTATACCACCTCCAATGACTGCCCCAGACAAACCTCCCTCTTCCTTCTCTTCTGGTACAATTGTCTATAGCACTTACCTATACCACCTCCAATGACTGCCCCAGATAAACCTCCCTCTTCCTTCTCTTCTGGTACAATTGTCTATAGAACTTACCTATACCACCTCCAATGACTGCCCCAGATAAACCTCCCTCTTCCTTCTCTTCTGGTACAATTGTCTGTAGCACTTACCTATACCACCTCCAATGACTGCCCCAGATAAACATCCCTCTTCCTTCTCTTCTGGTACAATTGTCTATAGCACTTACCTATACTACCTCCAAAGACTGCCCCAGATAAACCTCCCTCTTTCTTCTCTTCTGGTACAATTGTCTATAGAACTTACCTATACCACCTCCAATGACTGCCCCAGATAAACCTCCCTCTTCCTTTTCTTCTGGTACAATTGTCTGTAGCACTTACCTATACCACCTCCAATAACTGCCCCAGATAAACCTCCCTCTTCCTTCTCTTCTGGTACAATTGTCTGTAGCACTTACCTATACCACCTCCAATGACTGCCCCTGATAAACCTCCCTCTTCCTTCTCTTCTGGTACAATTGTCTGTAGCACTTACCTATACCACCTCCAATGACTGCCCCAGATAAACCTCCCTCTTCCTTCTCTTCTGGTACAATTGTCTATAGAACTTACCTATACCACCTCCAATGACTGCCCCTGATAAACCTCCCTCTTCCTTCTCTTCTGGTACAATTGTCTGTAGCACTTACCTATACCACCTCCAATAACTGCCCCAGATAAACCTCCCTCTTCTTTCTCTTTTGGTACAATTGTCTATAGAACTTACCTATACCACCTCCAATGACTGCCCCAGATAAACCTCCCTCTTTCTTTTCTTCTGGTACAATTGTCTGTAGCACTTACCTATACCACCTCCAATGACTGCCCCAGATAAACCTCCCTCTTCCTGCTCTTCTGGTACAATTGTCTGTAGCACTTACCTATACCACCTCCAATGACTGCCCCAGATAAACCTCCCTCTTCCTTCTCTTCTGGAACAATTGTATGTAACCCTATGACTGCAGGGCAAACCTCAGTCTCAGATAAATTTTCACTTTCTATTGATAAACAAACAAAAAAAATTATTCATCTTCTAGTCTGACCAAACAATATATAAAACATTAAAACAGTTAAGAATTCAAAAATCAGGAAAAACAAATAAAACAAAAGGCTCCCAAGAGCCTGAATCGAAATGTCAGCCATCTTGGCTGGCAGACAGGGTCATCGGACACATTTTTCAAACAAGACAACCCAATGATGGTTTGGTTAAATTTAGCCCAGTAGTTTCAGAGAAGATTTTTGTAAAAGTTATTGGACAACAACAACGGACTATATATATGAAAGGCATGCAGTATAGGACATAATTTTATATCAGAAAGTAAAGTACTTTCAGATTCAGTAACTGTCAGCATTCTTTTATACATTATATATAGTATAATAGCTTTTTTGTTTTTGATCTATCATCAGCAAGAACATCAAGATAGTCCCGATGATGAAATCAGTATAAAATAAAAGAATATTATGTCTGAGGACATGAATGCACCCACTCAAGCTTTGCATGGATACCCCATATCCTTTGTTTTTCTATTTTCAATTTTCCAAGATAAAAAGGGGCATAACTCTAGAACGGTAAATAACTCACAACCCAAATTCGAACTCTGTCTGTGTGTTGTGATTTTTAGCATTGTGTATGAATTTCATATAATTTGGATGAGACAAACTTCGGTACAGAAACAAAAAAATTTGCAATTTTCCAAGGTAAATAGAAGCATAACTCTTGAACGGTAAATGACTCACTGCCCAAATTCGAACTCTGTCTGCAAGTTTTGATTCTTAGCTTTGTGTAAGAGTTTCATAAAATTTTGATGAGGAAAATTTAGGTAAGAGTGTGGAAATTAAAAAAATTGGCAATTTTTCAAGTTATAAAGGGGCATAACTCTAAAACGGTAAGTGATTCACCGCCCAAATTCAAACTTTGTCTGCGAGTTTTGGTTCTTAGCATTGTGTATGAGTTTCACAAAATTTGCATGAGGCAAACTTAAGTGAGTGTGGAAAAGAAAAATGGGACAGACTGAAAGACTGATGGACAGAAGAACAGAAGGACGATCAAGGGTAACACTTAATGCCCCTCTTGCCTATGGCAGGGTAGCGGGGGCATTAAAATATAATGACATTATTCTTTTTATCAGAAATTTGTCTCTAGAACATGATCCTAAGGGTAGAATATGGAATAACATGAAGTAGTCAGAAAAACTCTTTTTTCGCATTCAAAATGTTGTGATAGGTGTTTGGTTGTATAAATGACGTGTGCATTTCATTAGTGGTTGCCACATTTTAAAATTTTTTTTATAATGAGAAGTTGGTGTAGGTGGCCAATCTTTGATAGCTTTTTTTTAATGAATTCACAATTCTTTTTAACAATTTAGAGTTTGACATATTTTCAAGGCACATGTCTATTGTTGATGACTATGATATAAAAATAAGATGTGGTTGGATTGCCAATGAGACAACTCTCCACAAGAGACCAAATGACACAGACATTAACAAATATAGGTCACCGTACAGTCAGCTATAAAAGGCCCCGAAATGACAAATGTAAACAATTCAAACGAGAAAACTAAAGGCCTGATTTATGTACAAAATAATGAAAGAAAAACAAATATGATATACAGCAACAAACGACAACCACTGAATTACAGGCTCCTGACTTGGGACAGGCACATACAGAATGTAGCAGGGTTATGCCCTCTAGAAGTTTTTTTTGGTTGTTATTGTTATTGGGTTGCTGTTTTATTGAGGTATATCCAAACTTCTCCTTTTATTCATTCATGCAATTTTGTTTTTTTACCTAAATCTGTACAACTTTTAAACAGCATGTCATTGACTTCCTCCTTTGTGAAAGCCATATCGTTTGTATTTAATACAACAAAGCTGACGGTCACTGTTCCATCTCCGTTATTATTGATACTTTCTACATAAACTTGAACCTCTCCACTGTCGACACTTCTACGCTTACGTCTCCTGGTTGTTGTTGAAATTCCTTTCCTGTCTAGTAACTCCAAGATAACGTCATTTATTCTAGCTTTATATTCAGGTTCATCAAGGTTGGTATTTTTTGGTGTATCTATTGTCAGTTTTACAGATTTGCCACATGCATAATTATTTTTGTTGTAAAGTGGAACACATATGTCAGTTTTATTGTTTTCACATGTGTAAGTGTTACATGTGCTTGCAAAATACTGACACCTAGGTCCTGTCCTGTCCTGAGGACAGTTACATATGTAGGTTCTATGCTTGTCTACACACTGTCCTCCTGCCAAACAGACTGAGTTTTGACAATCATCTATGCTATCTGAGCATGTTCCTCCTGTCCACCCTGGAGCACAGTTACACACGTAAGATTTACCATCCTCAGATATACAGGCAGCATTATTTTTACAGGGATTTTTATTGCATGGGTTTTCAGGTTGCAATGAATTTTCACATCTAAGTCCATTGAAATCTTTTGGACAGATGCATGAAAATGTGTCTATGCCATCAACACATGTAGCCCCATTCTGACAACTGTCCTCTCCTGTACAATCATCAATGTTTAAACACGAGTATCCATTCCCTGTAAAACCATGTTCACACTGACAAATATGGTATGTGGCATTCAATTTTACACATCTAGCATTCTCATCACATGTTTTACCATCGTTAAAACATCTATCAACCTGTTTGATCAGAATTGTTACTGGTTGAGATGACTGCTCAAATGTTTCTACGTTTCTTACTCTGATTACAATTGTAACTGAGGTGCCAACATAGTCCGCTAAACTCTTTTCTAGAACCAGATGTTTATTGTCTTTTATAGAGAAAAAACCACCAGGATTTTTTTCTAATTCAAATATAATATTATCTTCGACTGACTGGTTAACATTATACAACGTTCCAATAATTGTTCCAACATCTGAATCTTCTGCAACATCCAAGTTGTCAAGGGCAACAGATGGCAGTTCCGCAGCAACTACTTGTATATTTGTGACTAGCAGTGTTAAGTTTTGTTGTAAATATTGAATAGGATCCCCATTATCTGATACCCGTACTGTAATTGTGATCACTGGGTTTGCACTTGTCAAAACAGCTGTAGGAATGGCTGAATCCACTAGTAATTTTCTCCCATCAATCTTAAAAGACATTCATTTAAACTCAAATATAATTCACTTGTATCATCACTGATTAGAAAGTTTTGATATGAAAAATAAACCATATACAATTTCATGTGCCTGCCCCAAGTAAGAAACCTTGTCAGTACTTGTGTCATATCTCAATGTTTTTTTTTATGTTTAGAAAATTTGGTGATCATGGCAGATCTCTGATAATATCTTTTCGATTTACTCTGGTTTTTTTTTACCTGCCATGGTTTAGACCTTGACCTGTCTATTGTTGAAGACAGTATGAAGCCCATTAGTTGTCTTTAGGTTATTTGTTTCATTGGGTGATGTTGTTGAAGACAGGTTGTTGAAGACAGTATAAAGCCCATTAGCTGTCTTTTGGTTATTTGTGTCATTGGGTTGTTGAAGACAGTATAAAGCACATTAGATGTCTTTTGGTTATTTGTGTCATTGGGTTGTTGAAGACAGTATAAAGCCCATTAGCTGTCTTTTGGTTATTTGTGTCATTGGGTTGTTGAAGACAGTATTAAGCCCGTTAGCTGTCTTAAGTTATTTGTGTCATTGGGTTGTTAAAGACAGTATGAAGCCCATTCGATGTCTTTTGGTTATTTGTGTCATTGGGTTGTTGAAGACAGTATAAAGCCCATTAGCATTCTTTAGGTTATTTGTGTCATTGGGTTGTTGAAGACAGTATTAAGCCCATTCGATGTCTTTTGGTTATTTGTGTCATTGGGTTGTTGAAGACAGTATTAAGCCCATTAGCTGTCTTTAGGATATTTGTGTCATTGGGTTGTTGAAGACAGTATAAAGCACATTAGATGTCTTTTGGTTATTTGTGTCATTGGGTTGTTGAAGACAGTATAAAGCCCATTAGCTGTCTTTAGGTTATTTGTGTCATTGGATTGTTTTTCTCCGATTACCTTGAAAAGATCAGAATTGGGTCCTTTTAAAACAAAATTGTGAGCTTGATTCTGATCAGGATCCTTGGTTGAAAACTGTCCTACCAAGTCTCCAACTTTTGCATCTGCCAGTATTGTTTGTGACCCTGACAAAACAATGGAAGTTGGAGCTTCATTCTTATCATTAACATCAATCTGTAAGTTCTGAAACAAAGAAACAACTGTTTAATAATGGATTCAGTATCATAGGTTTTTTTGGGACAAAGCAATAATTTTTGAAAAAAAAAATGAAATTTCCCTTTGAAGAAAAGAATGCCAAATGTCCACATTAGGATAATAAACAGCAAATTTTATATGATATGATATGATAATATGACAATACTAAAGTACACACAATGCTTGTTTACACTTTATCAGTGTTTTTTTAGGTTTTTTTTCGTAATTTATTCTGTGCAGGTTTGTCATTTAAACCTTGATTGAGTTATCATGGTGAGCTAAACATTTTGAATGGAAATTGTTTTGAAAAAAAAGAACAAAATTGGAATGAATTCATATTAGAATCCAGTCTATTGTTGTTTTTCACTATAGGTTCAAAGACTTCCATCTTTTTCAAGATAAATTTCTTCCTTTGAAGGTTAGATAAGTTCACATGCATCCAGTTTCTTATATTGAAAAAATTACTAATTGTGCCTATATAAAAAATTATAAAACATAGTATTAATATAGTATTATACAGCTAGTTAACTTTGTAGAACACATTGTGACAAGGGAGATTACTCCAGTTTTAAACAACCTATGAATTAGAAGGCTATACCTAAATGCATCCCATATGAATCAATATTTTTCATTCAGTAAAGTTTATTCTTTCTTATGATATTTACCTTCTGTATAGAAAATTCTCCATCAGAGCACTGCACCACTAAATTATAATTCTTTGTTGTCTCAAAATCTAAAACATTAGTCAACACCAAGGACTTTTCTGCATTATCATTGGTAAAAATGGCGAATGGTGTAGATTTGGTTTGAAGGTTACAGGAATGTGATTGGCCAGCATCAGGGTCATCAACCTGTATTGCTGTGACAATAGTCTTTGGAAGTGTGTCTTCATCAAGAGGAGAAACATTGCCAAAAATAATAGACTCAGGAGGGTCGTTCAAATCTCTGACAAATATAGTGAATTCTTCCTATAAATAAAAACACATGTGTAACTCATTTTGATTAATAGTGATATGGCTCATCAAAACATTTAGCTATGTAGAATCAGAATATGTACATTTCTGGTGCAAACAGAACATTAAAATCCAAGTATTGAATAATAGTCAGATCTATTAAATACTTTGATGATCCTGTAGATTTATTTGTTATCTACCTATGTCGGATATAATTTTGTTGTTGTACATCAAAGTACCAATGGAAAGTGGTGATCAAAGTTATTACCCTGCCATCTCATACACTCCATAACAGTTAATTGTGTGATACAGTTGGACTGTATATATTTTGTATCCATGAAGGCTAATACCTGCACATATTTAGAAGGTACCCGTGAAAAACAGTTGGAACTGTATATTTTTTATACAGATGAAGGCTATTACCTGCACATATTTAGAAGGTATCAGTGAAAAACAGATTGGACTGTATATTTTTTATACAGATGAAGGCTATTACCTGCACATATTTAGAAGGTATCAGTGATAAACAGTTGGGACTGTATATTTTTTATACAGATGGGTCAATATCCCTAATGCACCTCGAAATGAGAAACTCAAATGTTGTGTGTAAACAAAAATCTCTGTTTAGTGATATTGGACAGGTTTCTATTTTTTACAAATGACTGAGCTTAACCATTTGTGGTGATAAGGAAAGTAGAGGAACATAGAATAAATGTGTAAAAACTATGGAGCTATTAAATGTGTTCAAAGTCTTAAATTTTCAAAGAACTTATTGTGTTAAAACAGGGATTTTTTACCACGAGGAGCCGCATCACGAAAGGATGTTCGGGGTATGCTAATTTACGGAAAAAATAATCTCACTTCGTACCCCGAAATTTAACCACATATGTGAAAATGTCACAGCTTCGAAACGAGCTATCATACATATCCAAGTTTACGATATGGACTGAGCTACAGGAAAAAACGTTACCATTACCGCCTATGGAAAAACAATTAAAGATATTGACCCAAATTTCAAGAAAAATTTCAGCAGTTTTCAGACTGATTTATGGATGATTGCACCTTGTACACCAGAGACAATTGTGAAAATAACGGTTAGTAGTCTTAATTATACCTAGTTATCCCAGCTGGTTTTAGATAAACATTATCGATAAAGATCAGCAAAAATTTTCGCTTTTGAAATGCATTACTGGCACGGGGCTGAACACTTCTTTTAGGCACAATCATAACTTTGTTTACCCCGAGAGATCCGAAAGGCCCTTTTTTTTTACTTGAAAAAGGCATGAACTGCTTATGGAAACATTTAATATTATTAAATTGTAAGTAAACATGACACAATAAAGTCTTTGTTATGTAATTATCATTCCGGTCTACAGGAATAACTGATAATCAAAGGAAATAACACACTTCGTACGAGTAAAGTGAGATACATCATCATTTGTACTTTTAACCAATAATTTGACCCCTGGTCATTAGAAATTATATGCAAATAAACAGACAAACATGTATTAAGAAAATCATGAACTATTATATTTTAATGCACACTAGCAAATCACAAGATATTGTCTTTTCTCAGTGAAAAAGGGGAAGGGTCAAACCTTTTGAAAACAATAGTGCCGCAGCTATTCAACTATTAAGCTACTACTCATTGCTCCTAATATAAAAGGTAAAAGGTTTAAATGAAGGTTGATAAGCCACAAGGGAGAAGCATTTCTCTTCCTTTGTGATAAAACTTTCAAAAATTTGATTTTTTCTCTCTCAATAATACTTATGTATTTAAATCAAATGACAACACAGCTTGAGTAAATTTTTTGTCTTACTTCAGTTCCAGACATATCATTACTATTTAACCTGAGACGACAAACAAGAGGTTTTAAAAAGTTCTGAATAACTGGTAAACATTTTGTTTTATTAGGCAAGCTCTAAATTGTTTATATATGGTATTTATGCAATTGAAATTACAATCGGTATGTTAAAAATATGCTGATATGAAAACTGTTGCTATGGTCTTGATATTATATAAAAATGCTTAGTTAAACTTTTCGACTCCATTTTTCAAGTTAAACCTTGCGGCAACTGTTCCTCATGTAACACTGCAAACTATAGTTAGCATTATTTTGATCTGTCGTTATTTAATGACGCCATAATACCTATGATGTCACAATGTTTCCTTTAAAACCTCATGTGCATTTCTCACTGATAAAAGGTTTTCACTGAAATACATGTAAAAGACTTTTTTTTTCAAATAGAATTATGTGAAAAGACAAGTTTTGAAAATTTGCACTTCATTGCACTCTAATTATATGATAAAAATGACATTCACAGTAGTTTAGAGTGGTTTCTACAGTATAAAATACCAGATTTCCACTGGTAAAAATAATTAAGTATTTTGGTGTTTTTTTTATGAGATCTACATTATTGCATAATTTCTCAGTCAAAATGCACTTTTAGGCACCAGAAAATTTTATTGAATGCTTTAACAGGGTCTGTGTATTGTAATTTAAGGTTATCATCAGATGTTTTGTCCATGTTTTGACTAGTGAAGGTATACTGGAAGTAATTAATTATACATGCACATTGTATTCAAAATAAATAAATATAGCGATAAAAGTGTCATTGCCTTATAGTGCTGAAACAACTTTATTTTTTTTTCAGAAATGAACAAAAATACACAGATTTATTCAGAAAGTCATAGTGATGAAGATCACACAAAAATATTTGGAAAAATCAGAACTATGGATTTCAATATGGGTCAATATCCCTAATGCGCCTCGAAATGAGGAACTCAAAAGTTGTGTGTAAACAAAAAATCTCTGTGTAGTGATATTGGACATGTTTCTATTTTTTACAAATGACTGAGCTTAACCATTTGTGGTGATTAGGAAAGAAGAGGAACATAGAATAAATGTGTAAAAACTATGTAGCTATTAAATGTGTTCAAAGTATTAAATTTTTAAAGAACTTATTGTGTTAAAAAAGGGATTTTTTACCACGAGGAGCCGCATCACGATATGGACTGAGCTACAGGAAAAAACGTTACCAATACCGCCTATGGAAAAACAATTAAAGATATTGACCCAGATGAAGGCTATTACCTGCACAGATTTAGAAGGTATCCCATTGTCCTGGCTAACTATTAATATCTTATATTCGTTATTTGTTTCATAATCTAATGTTGACTGTCCCGCCACTAACTTGTTTCCAGAAATGGCAAAATATCCTGGAAAAAAAAGTCAGGATGAACTGTAATTTAATTTCATTAATATCAGTCTTGTTAAGCTTCATCTATCTAATTCAAAAGATTAATTTTTTTTGTTTGCTTCTCTTTCAAACTTTAAAGGAACATAATAACATTCTTTTGATTGGCATATAACAATCACATGGTGTTTCTTAAAGGTTATTTAATGTACCATCTTATTAAAACACAACATCCATGACTGCTTATGTTCTCTATGACAGAATATCAACAATGTGAAGGAATGTTCAAGACGAAACAAACTTAAATCTGATCAAACTCTTAATTCACTTCTCTTAGCATTAATATGTAATTATAATAATTGATTTTTTTTTTCAGGGTAGTTATATAAGGTAATAAAATGGTTAACTGTGCACAAATTTGTAATATAGAGTAAAACAAAAAGTCATTCGATGTTTTAATTAAAACTTTACCAATTGAGAATGAAAAGTATAAATTTAATGAAAATTTCTGACATTTGACAGTACCATCACTATCTCCAGGAAGTAGTTTATATGTAAATGTCTGTCCTTGGTCAGGGTCATCTGTACTAAATGTCCCAATCACAGTTCCACCTTCAACGTTTTCTTCTACTTGGTTGTTGTCTAACTTTATTCCTGTTGGAGCCTCATTTTCATCTTTTACCTGCGATTGTTTTCAGAAGATCTGTTAACTTATGATAAAACGACATGAATATAAAGTTGTATGGTTTTACTTAAACTTTTTATGTACAGTTAGGAAGAAAATTTAAATGTTATATGTCTGAAAACTGTTATGATTCTTCATCTCAAAATTAGTAGCAATCTTGATAGATTTGTAGTAGATGAAAAGATGTTTTTTTTTTTTGTCAGATGTTTTTTTTTTTAAGTTTTGATGAAGACTTACTCCTTTTCAATTGATGTAGACAACTTAATTTCGGTTCTTATTTATCATATTTATAGAGTATGTATATACCAGTACAAATTTCATGATCAAGTTTGATGTTGGTATAAATTCAAAATTGTAATGCAATGAACAACCAAGTGTCAAACCTTTAAAACAAATTCTTTTGATGAAAACAATCCTTCTTCATCAGTTACTTTAACTGTTATGGTGTGTTCAGATGTTTCCTCAAAATTTAACTGACCACTAGTCACTATTGTATTCTGTCCTTCAATTCTAAACACAGCTGACCCTTCCACACTAAAGACTAGCTGAAAAAAGTTTGGTTTTATTTCTATTTTATAAACAAAATGAAATATGAGGTTTCAGTGATTGAGTAGTCTAGCAATGAGGTATAATTTACTCTCAAAACATTCATTAATTAAAAATACTGCTTTGTACTGCCATGTTTGTCTGTTTGTAAATAATTTTGTGATAATTGAACTGACTTTGGGAACAATCCTTCATTCTCAATGGTGAAAATTTTAAAAAGTAACGTTACAGGATTTCAAAATTACTTTTATATAAAAGTGATGATTTAATATGAAATATATCATGCATATAGGTAAAGTGTTAATGTCCCCATACTTTTTATCACATACTGATTAATTTTAGGCAGGCTGGATCATGAAAAAGTCGCCCAAGTTCAACTACCTGTTGTGATTCAGGGTCCATAGCACTGACTTTGCCAACTACTTCACCAGGCAGCTGTGATTCTGATACATCAAGATTTGTTATTTTAATATCAGTCGGTGGCTCATTGATATTTGTTACATTAACAATAAGTGCTTTCTGGTATGACAAGTGTGTTCCATCTAGCCCAAAATCTCTGCAAATCACCTGAAACACAGAAAATGAATTAATCAAAACACTATTTAGAGAAGGGTGCTGGAATTGCTTAGCTGTAAACATAGAAAATAAATTAATCAAAACACTATTTAGTGAAGGGTGCTGGAATTGCTTAGCTGTGAACATATATAGAAATAACTACTTTATCTTAATCAATCATGCCAATAAAACATTTCTTGTTTAGGAATCAAGTTTTAAAGGTTAATCCTGAAAATGTTTCTTGTTTAGGAATCAAGTTTAAAGTTTAATCCTGAATATGAAAGAAATATAATCCAATGGATATAAAACAGGCCAAACAAAAATATATAAATAAAGTTAAATATCAACAAAAATATATAAATAAAGTTAAATATCAACAAAAATATATAAATAAAATTAAATATGAACAAAAATATATAAATAAAGTTAAATATGAACATTATTTTTACAGCATTTTGTTGTTAAAACTTAAATTTTATACTAACCTGTTTACTTACATCTATGATATACCTGCTTAATTACTTTCATGTATTACAGATGTGTTTGTTTACTTACATCTGTAACATATGTGTTTGTTTATTTGCATCTATAACATACATGGCTGTTTACATATAACTATAACATATGTGTTAGTTAACTTACATTTGTAACATATTTGTTTGATTACTTACATCTGTAACATATGTGTTAGTTTACTTACATCTATAACATATGTGTTTGATTACTTACAACTATAACATATGTGTTTTTTTATTTACATGTATAAAATATGTGTATGTTTAGTTACATCTATGATATATCTGTGTGTTTACCTACATGAATAACATATGTGTTGGCTAACTTACATCTGTAACATATGTGTTTGTTTACTTACATCTATAACATATGTGTTTGTTTACTTACATCTATAACATATGTGTTTGTTTACTTACATCTATAACATATGTGTTTGTTTCCTCATAATCCAACTCCTCTTTCTTAACAATTAGTTTGAGATCATCTGTTATCTATCAAACAAAAGTAAAAAAGTTGTTACCCACTTAATAACCACCTATGATGACCCCTTATAATTAACAAACTGTAAAAATAAATGATAGAACAATTATAACAATGTTTCTCCAATTACAACTGCCAGAGGTGCACTATTAATAAATAAATTATCATAGAGGAGGAAGAAAAGCTACTTCTGTACATGTACAGTAATGGGATGACATGTCACTATAATATTTGTTTATACCTATTGAAATAAAACTTCTAAAATAATTAATGTGTAACTGTTTTATGGGAGTAAGATACAAGAGACTATTAAATGCAACCATGTGAAGTTGAAATTCTCACAACATAAACATTTTTAAGATTTTCTGTTATGTTTAGGATTATATTTTCAAAATCTTGAAATTTCATTACGTATATATATTGTTGATAGATATGAATAACTGATACAGATGCTATAAATAGATTACATCCTTTAAATACATTTTTGATACTAAAAACTCGTAAGGGTTCCGCGGAACCCAATGTCTCCTACTTTTGCTGTTATCTATGTTTTCAGTGTGATAGGGGAATGCACATAATAGATTTACAGTTAATGAAATAAAACGTTTGAAATGTATGAAAAAAGTTATGCTTGTAAAAATGAATACAGTATGGAATCAAATCTATAGATTTATAAAAGAGATTGAATGAACAAATGATAAAGAAGATAATTTTTACATTGTTTGATGATTTATCCCTTAATTCAGACGACGACGGAATGTAGGATCGCTATGTCAACAAAAATGGGGAAAAAATTATTAAAACTTTTCCTCTAGATACTATCTTTTGATTGTAAGAAGCTTCTGTCCAAGTTTGGTAAAAATCCAGGATGGTTCATGAATCTAATAAATGTTTCAAAAACTTTAACTGCAGACTGTATGTAATGTTAACTGGAAGAAAAACTAAGTCCATTTATAAGTAATATACGGAAAAACAGGAAATAAATTTTTACAAAATTTCCTTCTAGATACTAGCTTTTGATCATAAACAAGCTTCTGTCCAAGTTTGGTAAAATTCCTGGATAGTTTAAGAAAGTTATTAAAATTTTAAAAACTTTAACCACAGAGTGAATGTAATGTTAACTGGAAGAAAAACTAAGTCCATTTATAAGTAATATACGGAAAAACAGGATTTTTTTTTCAAAATTTACTTCTGGATACTATCTTATGATCATAAACAAGCTTCTGTCCAAGTTTGGTACAAATCCAGGATAGTTTAAGAAAATTATTAAAATTTTAAAAACTTTAACCACAGAGTGAATGTAATGTTAACTGGCAGAAAAACTAAGTCCATTTATAAGTAAAATAGGGAAAAACTGGAATTTTTTTTTTACAAAATTTACTTCTGGATACTATCTTATGATCATAAACAAGCTTCTGTCCAAGTTTGGTAGAAATCCAGGATAGTTTAAGAAAGTTATTAAAATTTCAAAAACTTTAACCACGAAAACGACGACGCCGACGGAATGTAGGATCGCTATGTCTCGCTTTTTCGACAAAATTGAAAGGCTCGACAAAAATAGATTAAAGAGTCTATAAATACATCATAGATACTATAAATAGATTACAGATACTATAAATACATTACATCAAATGGTACAACAACAGAGTTCTGTACATGACAGTTGTGTTTCTGGTTTTTGTCTTCATCTTGTACAATAACATTACCAACTACTGTGTTTACTGGACTGTTTTCAGCTATCTGTAAGAGTTTACATAGTCCATATATAAAGGAGAGAATTCTAATTGTACCAGTTCGAGTATTGAAACACTAATACAAAGCATTATTTATATCCTTCCTTTCATTTTAAAGTTTTTGAACTGGTCATGACTTGCACAGACAGACAGACTGACAGACAAGACAGTCTCTAGACCAGACTTAAAAATTCCCTTTTGAATGTTAGTAAGAAAGATTAACTATTAATCTATTTTACAAATTAAGAGTAGATCATTATAACATGTATAAAATAATGTCATCAAATACTAGGTATCAATCAATTGAAAACTGTTGATAATCTCAAACTTACCACTGAACTGTCCAAATTTACATCAGTTGGTGGATCATTAACATCCTTTAAAACAATGTTAATGGTGTCTGTGACTGAGAGACTTGGTTCACCAGAATCAGTGGACTTCACTTGAATTGTAAACACACTGCTTTCTTCAAAGTTTATAAGTTCTGGTCTACTTCCTATTTTTAATGTTCTGCCATCTAATACAAAAGCATCTTCTATATATGGGTCTGATTTGGAAATATCTAAACTGAAAAATGGAAATACACTGCTGATATGTCTGGCTGGTAATTTGTTTCCATTACAATCATTACAGTTAATTCTTTTGTAGTACGAATATAAATATGTAAAGCAAAGCAAAGTGATAATTATTGCTAACAATATTTCATATAACAGATACCATCATTATTTGGTATTTCTATACATGTTGTAAATATAAAACTTTTCTTGTCTCAGGATGACTGATAGCTTGATATATCATAAAACAATTGTCTACTGTTAAAGACTGAATGTTGACCTCTAGATGTCCTTGAATTTTCAGCATCATTTGTTGCTGTCTCATGGTCATATTCTCTATATCTCATTTTCTTCACATTTGATGAAATTTTACTGCAATCAATTCAGGACTCACTGTCTCTGAAGTTTGTCAAATACTTTTCTTCTTAATATGATGTTTTTCACTAATCATTTGATATATTTTAGTAGGAAAGTCTTTACTTAAATTATATTCATCCTATTTCCTATTTTTTGTAAGTGAGTCAGGTCATTACTCAGTACTTACCCTTTAGCTACAGCTAATAATGAGTAACTATAGGTTTGGTCCTTTTCGTGGTCTTCAGTGTTAAGGTCTCCTATAACAGTCCCATTCTGACTATTTTCCTGTATGTAGCCTCCTCCATAAACCCTAACTTTGATTGGTGTCTCATTTACATCAGAAACTTGTATCTTTAAACCAAATGTATGTTGGTATATAAAATACAACAAATAAGTATTGTAACTCAAGATTTAGGAATTTCTTATTGGTTGTGGTCATTACTAAGGGGGATGCTGTAATTTTGTAACAAAATATTTTAGTCCATTATCACCCTCTTTGTTCTGATAAGTTAGCTTTATAATTTCTCATGCTATTAAATACATTGTCACCTGTATGTAAGATGTTGTAAAATTTATACTTGACAATAAAATGACCTTCACATCATATCTTATTAATCCATCAATTTTCTTTATTGATTGATTGATTGGTGACTGCTTTACGCTGCATCAGCACAAAAAGGCTATATAGTGGCAATCAATTTTCTTTATGAATACCTCCAACTTAGAGCACTAAAACCCATTGGAATCAATAGTTTAGAGACCTCCAAATTTCAATACACCTCTCATTCTTTTCTTTATGAATACCCAAATGAACAAGAATTCATGTGTTGTAGTGCTAAACATCCCCCTTCCCATATAATTCAAAGTATCTGAAAACAGTAAGTAGATGTCAGGAATACTGGAGAAATGTGTGTTGAAAATTTTTGAAATCATTCAATAGATGGAAAAATTCATAGTATCAGCAAAGAGGTAGTAGGTGTCAGAGTGTCTGACAAATCCTAAAAGTGCACATAAGTAACAAGTCATTACTGCCAGCCTGCTGAAAATATATAAATTCATCCTGTGCAGTAGTACTGACAGAAATATTCCTTGGACAAAGGGTAGATGAAATAATGAACAGACAAACAAGATGAATTAGGAGAAGGGGCATACTATATATTGGCAAATAAACCTTAATTTTCTGACATTCTCACCTTGAATGATTCTTTAAGATTAAAAGATTTGTCATTGTAAGTGCCAGAGGCTGTTACAGTCACCTCCCACTCTGATTGGTCCTCATAGTTTAGAGGTTCTTTTATCTTCAGTAAATCACCATCTAGTTTGAATGGAATATCTTGGTCTGACAACAGATATGCAAATGGCTGGAATAAGAAATAAAAGATTAATAAATTCATTTATAACTTTAAACTGTCAATTAGATATAAATATAGCTACTAGAAAATTGTATATGGTCTTCTTGATGATCACACTTAAATAAGTAGGAGGTAAAGGAGTAGATTCAAGAAGGGTTCAAATCAGCCTTTAGATTTAAATTTAATTTTAATCTGTCCAAAAAACTGCAAATTTTACACAGAAATAGCTGTATTATTACTAATAATGCAAAATAATTTCTTGTTTGCCCATTACATTATATTATGAAATAAATACCCCTAAAAGTATTCATTATTTGTCTTGATAAGTTAACTTTTGGACTATTTTTTTCATAATTGTTTAAAAAACAGTTTTTAGGATAGTTAAATTTGGCCACAACCCCTGATAAAGAATATGTTTGTTTCTAGCTATAGGGATTCAATATACACAGTGGCACATAAGGGTAACAGAATTTTTTTTGGCAAAATGAACATATACTTCTCCCAAACCAATCAGAGTACAAAATATCGTATACATATCAGGCATAGTTACTGAGGGATATACCTGATTTTAAACTTTAACTGGACTATTAAAGCATGAAATAAAGGTCAAGACAATATAAAAGTGAAGCTATTTGCAATTGGTAACACTGTTGCTGCCAGATTAGCAATACTTCTGTCTGGCTCAATTCCATTTCCTTGCAGAAAAGACGAAGAAATATTTTAGGCAATGATAGTGCTGTTAATTTAGAACAATTATTTTGGTATCCCTTGTGCTTTAAGTAAATTTTGCAAAAGTATTTTTGAAATAAGCCATCTTTATTTGTTTGGATAAAATCTGACAATTTTCTTTATGATGTCATTTTGATGACAGCAGAGAAAAACTGCAATATCAAACCATAGCTTATATTTACATTTTCTTATACCCTTTATTTAGGTATTTACAAATTTATGATTAATAACTGTATCCTTCATTAATGTTTATCTATGTTGACTTTCCAGAACCAAATAAGCCCAAAAGTGAACCTTCTCCTTCTATACCAAAACTTTAAACAGAATCCATCATTATCATCATCTACTTTACCAAAATATTTACCCCTGTTAAAGCGTCCATTGTCAGTTGATGCACAATTTGTACTTGACCAACTGTAAAAGTCTCCTCATTTTCAGGGACAGTCTTCTGATCTTGTAGAACAATGATCTTTGGCACTTCAATGGTTTCTTTGATTTGAATGTTTACCAAAACAGTTTTTGATAATGGTGGTTTACCAGAATCCTCACATGTGATACTGATGTTCATCTGGTTCTTATCAAGTGGAATCGATCCACTAACCTGAAAATATATGTATATCATGTTTTAAATTGTGAAATATTCTATCATTATTTGTTCAATACAACTATCTATGTATAAAACCATTGCAGCTTTAATGCAATTATTGTGTTCATGTAATCCTTATTTGTCAAACTTTGAAACTATTTATCTAATACTGATATTCATCTGAGAGCCCATACTGAGATTTCTTGGCAGCAAGTTTATTTTACTGTTCTCAAATACCATGGAAGTGTTTAGATAGCCTTGTCTATAGCCATACACAGTTAGGTTTGCAAATGAAACTATTTGATTTATGGTATTATATTTATGAAATAAATGTATTTACACTTTTGGTATTTAGCTGAATTTTGTCTCCGAATGACCTTAGATTTGTCTCTGAATAACCTTCTGATATCAAGCAACAATCACATTTTAATTATAATGTCAAATTTTTCAAATTGTGATGTCAAATTTTACAGGAACTTGTGAGATTTTAAGTAATGGCGGACAAATTTGCATACAAGTGTAAACACGTCTATTCATCTCTAAAATATGATATCAAATAGCTGAATTGTCCCTTTGCATCACTCAAATTACCAGTATTTTATCTTATTTTATTAATATGTGTTTATATTCCCTAATTCCAAGATCTATTTAAATAGTAATTTCTTTCTTCAGAGCACTATTGGTAATGTAATAGTTTGTACCCAAAATGAGTACAACAACCTATCATTAGTTGAATTTCCATTGTTAAGGACATTTTTATACAATCACAAATGTTGGTGTAAGCTGTTGAAAACATACTATAATTATGCAATAGAATTTGTGCAAAATCATATCAAGAAAAGATCAAATCAAATCTTTGACTGTACCTTCAGTAACAAGTTAGGATTGTTGACAATAAATACTCCAACACCTTCCTCCCCTACAGTACAGTTATGGGTTTGTTCATGGGTGATTCCACTATTGTCTGGGTCAGTGACCGTTACTATGCCTACAGCATCACCTATACCTGCAGCGTTGCTTACCTTAAAATAAATACCATAGAGTTTTCTTTAAATGCCATTCAGCAGTCAGGGGACTTATTGAAATAAGTGATTTTTAAATCACTTATTTAAGTATCAAATTCGAAGTTTTGTCTCAAATTGTGATTTTGTAGTTTTACCAAAATTTGAAACACATAGGTTTAGATAATATCTTTTCATTAGTAAAATTGAAAAAAATGAACTTCTTGCTTCTTTTAAGCAGCAAGGTTTATGCCTTTGATGCAATCATTTAGCTGCAAATTCTATATTAGTTGAAAAAATGCTATAAAAATGGCTTTACATAATGAACTGATACTTTCTTAACAGATTTTTCCCAGCAGTGGGAGTATTTTTTCTGTAAAATTCAAGGTTTCATCTTACAGATTATGTAATAAAATTCTACTGTTCGCGATCAAAATTTCACTGTTTGGGAGTGTTGAAATTAGTGGGGGTTATTTAAATAATGATACTTAAAGAAGTGATTTTTTGGAAGGAAATTGAGGTATGATACTTAAACAAGTGATTTTCTATGTCATTATCCTAGATTTAGTACAAGGTCATCACCCGACATGATCGGTCATCCTATCAACACAGATGTTGGTTCTGATAATTTAAGCAACATAATTAGTCCATAATAATAATAATAATAAATTCTTTATTTAAAGAGGGTAAACTCAGTTAGTTACAATAAACTAATCTTCCCTGAGGCCCTCACATACAAATTACAATACAATCAAAAACAGATATTTACACATAGTTAATTTACAGTCAAATAGTTCAATGTAATATTACTAACATGATAAGATATAAGGCTGTTCAAGATGTACATGTAGTCAAAAAATCAAATACAAATGAAAATAAAAGAAGTCCATGGATCATTAGTATTCTTTATTTAAAGCTACAATAAAATTAAATCACTTAGTCTAGTGATTAATTTGTACTACTTAAATAGGTGATTATTAAAGAAAGACAACTCTTACTTCCAACCTTTATGGACATAATGTTACTTGAATCAGTGATTTAGAAAATCACTCATTTAAGTAAGTCCCCTGACAGTTCAGGAAACAAACTACTCCTAAAAAGTATGTCTCTGTGATTTGCAGAAAAATCAATAACAATAATTTAGTGAACTACCTTATTAGTGCATGGATATAGGAGTGGTTATAGTTGTTGATTAAGTTCTTCTACCGATTAATTAATCAGAAAACTTTAAACTTCTAAACAACTGAACACTGAAATGTATTGCCTGTATACTGCTGGATTCACAAAAACTTCACATCATTAATGGTCTGTGCAAGTGAGATCAATGTCACCTTGCTATCATTCTATACAAGACATATAGTTGATCTATTACTTATTGTTTCTTATAAAAATTAAGGCTGAGGACCAATGATAAAGATTAAATTATATAAAAATTGATTACATACATCATAAGATGACAAAGCAATAGCTGAAGGTGCCTCATTCACATTTATCACGTTAAATGTGAAAGTCTTTATGAAATACTGAGATGGAACTCCATTGTCCTTGGATTTAATAGTCACATCATAACTCTGTTTCTTTTCATAGTCTACAGGAAACTGAGCAATCAACATTCCTTCCTTTACTGTGAAGATTTCCCAAAAAGTGATAACTTGGTAGATGTGTTGGTCATCCTCATCATCATCTAGAGATTCAAGTTGACCAATCTCAAAGTTTGGTGAATTTTCTGGTATAGTTGTTACTTCTCCATCAAGTTCAATGTCCTAAAATAAAATGATATTTTTACACAATTACTGTTCTTGTGTTTTTTATTTATTTTGAAAAGTCATTATTAATTAGGTTTTTGATCAATTTTTGGCTTTTGAATGCAATCAAAAGTAAAAGAAAATGATGCTAAGAAAATCTCGATTAATAATACAATTTGAAAAGACATTTAGTAATTTTAATTCAGATAACTATTTATAAACTACATTTTTATATTCCTTTTTGAACTTTAGAAAATTTAGTTGGAATGCCTTATATATGTGCATGACATTACAGATACATCTGGTGTAGCTTGATATCATCAGAAGTTATGACCTGTAGTTGCTGAGAAAAATGCCAAGAAATGTGCTACATAGATGGAAGAACCATGACTTGTAGTTGCTAAGAAATTAACAGATGGGCATCCCTATCTTTCGGATTTCCTATATAATCACTACGGATCATACCATGTACATATTTCATAAATTGATCTTTGATCTATTTCATCATGGTTCATACCTCCCATCTAACAAGATAAAGGTCTGAATTACCCAAATTTAGGCCTTACATCTGTAGAAACTTACATATGGAGGTTCATTACAGTTTACTATATTAAAGACAAATTCCTGGTGAGTTTGAAGACCAAGATGATCCTTCACCATAACAACAAGTCTATGAGTTCTGTGATCTGGATCTTCATAATTGACAATCTTGTCCAATAAAACATCAGTACTACACTCTGTAGTATACGGAGCTTGCGTTGACTGTAAACAAAAGAACATACTATCTGTTATGTACATTTTAGATTACCTATGTTTGTTAGACTCATAACTGGTCACAGGATACCACTTTGTTTCATCAACTATTTACATATATTCAGACGCTTTGACAAGTGCTAATGATAATATCGTGTACAAAAACATATATAAATAGCAACTACAAATTTACTTGAATCACAAAATTTTTATTAAAATCAAAGTGTTCGAGAGCTTACAAAGATATATTTTACCTTATTACTACTTCCATGAGACAAAATTCCTATAAAAATTTCTATTGATACTGGTTTCCAAACAGGATTGTGATATTATTGATACATTACTTCATATAAATGTTATTAAAATCTTCCAGAATGTAAGTATGAGAGAACTTATGGTACAAAGCTTTTAAAAATAAATGTTTTTCCAAGAAGCCAATTCCATGTGAGTCTGAAAATGTTAATATGTCAGTGTCAAGATTTATAAGTACTTGTTTTGAAATAAGAGATAAGTTGCATTCCAGTAACTAACTAAATATATATGTAGTAGTGATGTAGTTTATTTATTTTTATGTATTAGAGAGGGTTAATATTCTATTTTATTTATTTTCAAACACCATCTGGTATGGAGTATAGTTATTTAATCATTTATTTTTAATGTAATATATCTTAAAAATTACTGTATAATTAATACTATATATATATGTATATGCTCGGAAACGGGCCCTTTAATTGGATTCAATAAATATTCTTATTCTTATTCTTATTCCCTTTAAACTTCTGTTGGCACTGGTTTTTCAGAGTCCACTTAGGTAATAGCTACACAAATGGTTGAACTGAGATATATATGAAATTAGATTATAACAAACTGAATTTCAATTTCAATCAAAGCAAGAAGGTGCTGGAAAGCAAGGAATTGCAGTTTGAATCATCAAAATCATTGCAATTCTAATAGGCTGCATTCCACAAATCATTATTAAATATTTTAAAAAAAGTCTTCCAATTTATATTCATGTATTACAGCACATCATTTTCACCATGTGAATTCCAGAAAAAATTGTTGAGTAATTTGGTGAAACTTTGGTAAGTTTTAAGTTGTCTGCTGTGGTTATCAATAATTTGTGGTCATCTATAATTAAGGCCCTGTCCATTTCAAGTTACAATCCAGTTAGATACTGAGTATGAGGAATGTTCAATAGAATCAAATTAATTCTGAATATGAAATCAAGTAAAAACATATTGTAACTCAATCTATTAATAATTAATGAATGAAAAAGTAACAAACTTTGGCACTCTATTTCAGGTAAGCAATCAATCAACAAAATGACCATGACAAGATGTTAATAAAAGGCAATGACTTTTAAAATATTATATATGCAACTTTTATGCTTTTAAAGAGAAAGCAAAGTCAAACAGAAATAAAAAGGTACAAATATATCCACCTAAAATAAGCATATACAACAATATGTGTCCACCATGCCCTACTTACACTATCACTTATCCATGTTTGGTTGCAAAATCCTGGTCAAAACCTTTATTTGGTTATATATTTTTTAAAGTTCACATCATAATGAACATATGTACTAAGTTTCAAGCTGATGTGACCACAACTTCATGATTAACTACCTGACCCAAATTTTAAGCTAATATGGGAGTGATGAACAGACTGACAGACAGATGCACAGACCTGAAAACCAATGTCCCCTTACTATCGTAGGCCTGACATAAACCCAAAATTGAAATGTTTAATTCAACTCATGCAAAAAACTTGGTGGCTGGTACTCTCGTGGACTTACAGTCCATCAGCATTGATACACATCAAGTGGTAGTAATATCTACATATGACACATGACTAATCTGAAATACTTAACCTGTTTGCAATCTGGTGATGTAGACGACAGTTTGAAAATGTTACTTCCTGTTTCCATAAAGGTGAAGGTCAGTTTATCTGACTGGTCAGGATCAAATGCCACTAAAGTGCCTAAAACATCATTGATTAGTGTGCATTCTGGAATTTCCATCTTTTTTACGTTTTCAGTTTCTAACATTTTTACCGTTTCTGGCTTCTCATTTTTGTTAGTAACTGATATGGTGAAATTCTTTGCAATCTGAAAAAATATTTCAGAATTTGTTTTGATATGCAAAACACATAAAGGATTGATATATAATAGTATCTATTAAGAATGATCTTTTGACCTGATTCAAATCTAACACCATGCCTGCACAATACCTATCCTGAAGATAATTAAGTGATTCACACATCTTCAGGATATAACAATTTAAAATATAATACAATAAGGTAGTATGCACAAGATGAACGGCTTGAAATATGGACTGAAAAAAAAACGTGATAGAGGATCATTAACTTGAACAAAAAATTATGAAAATCACATTAAATAAACCTATTTTCGTGTGAAAGATGACCTACGCCCTAAATTTAACCAGTATGTAAATTTTATAATCCTACAACTTACAGTACCTGAGTTACAAATTGCAATATAGGATTGATCCCATAAAGTACAGTAAAGTACAGTGAAACCTGCCTTAACGGTCACCTCGTTTCAGCCATCACCTGCCTCTAACGGTCACTTTCAGACCTTCTCAAACGTTTTCTCTGTATAATTTAACTCTCTTACGCGGTCAGCCGTCACCTAATGTTCGCACGAAATCGTCATTTCAACTTTTTAAACAACAAAAATATAATCAGAACCAAAAACTATGTGTTCAGTAACGAGGTCATTACTGTTAAAAACAAGAAACTGGAAATTTTCGATGAAATGTGGAATACTTTCACTATATTATTTGACAGTTAAATAAATAAATGTACAAATATATAGAAGCAAACTTTTATGTTTAAATTTGACAGAAATAGGATAGGATGTTAAATTAAAATTCATCTTGGCAAAACTTTTTTTTTTTTTTTTCTATCTAATTATCAGTTCTCTTAAGGTGTAATACCACCAAATCATAGTACGTCACATCCGGTTGCATACGAAAATAGGTCGAAAAAAAATATTCCCTTGAATTTGACAGTTGTAGGTAATTGATCCTACATTTCATTGCAGTAAAACATTTCTGGGTCATAAACATATATCTTGGGTATTTCAAAGCACCATTATTTTTTTATTTGGGGTTTCTATAGAATATTTTGGCAACTTGAGGTTACATGGTTACTAAAGCTTGTACACAGGTTAAAAAAGGGGGAAAATTTGATTGGTTAACTTCCAGTGATGGTTATTTTCTTATATGCAATGAAATGTTATGTGAAATTTTTTCTATAGTACTGGACAGGATAAAACTTTACTCATGCCAAGTATTTCTTTATTTGAAACAAAGATAAATTCTGCACAATTTTTTGAAAAGTGCAAATTTAACAAAGACTAATAGGGGAAAATCAATGGTGGTATTACACCTAATATGGGAAGCTGTACATGCACCTTTGACCTTGTGAGTACTCTCATGTGTTAAAATTTCTTGCTATTTAAGTGAAATATTACAAATAATGAAATATTCTGAGTGGATTGAGTCTCCAAAACACATTTTATGAGAAAATTTCCTTGAAATAGGACTTTACCATGAATATTAGTTGACAGAACAAGCCATACTTAGAGCTTTGGGGAGCTTTTTCTCCTTATTTCTTATAATCTGCTATACTAGAAAATTTTTCCTAAGAAATACTTTAATAAATATATAGTTTTAAGTAAATGAAATTATTTTTAAAGCAGTAACAACAAATTATTCACCAAAAGAGAAGCTTTTTATGTCCCTCTCTGGAACGCGGCGTAAATTTAAGTTTTACGCAAGGACTTATCGAAACCTCCTTGGAGACAGTAAACTTTTATACAGATAGTTCATTCAGCTTGAATACTTCAATTAATCATTTATTATAACATTTCTATCATAAATGAGTGAAAGTTACCCTAAAATTTTTATTTATTGGCCTAAAAAGTAGAAATTTTGAGGAAATGAGAGGTATAAATGGACCAAAAGAGACCTTATAAGGAAGACAAAGAGGTCCATTAGTAGTATTTATCATCCTAAAGTCATCTTTTGTATCATATTCAACTGTTTGTAGGCAGATGAGATAAATATTTGATCATTTATTGGTCCACACTATATTCTATCATGATGCAGCTTGGTTTGGATTTTTCGAAGAAATTTTGCTTGAATCGCTGTAGATGTCATCTTACATTATGCTAGATTTTTCTCAAACTATTGAACTGATTATGACAAAACTTGACAGGAATGCTTGAAATAACCAGTATTACAAAGGAAAAAAGTCACATTCAGTTTATTTAACAAAAAAGTCTTCTTTAAATATCTGGTCTATAATGCAGAACTCACTATGAGTTTTTGTATCTATTCTTTTTTTTTTTTTTTTTTTCTACTCCAAACATTTTTTTTTTTTTTTTATATATATATCTGTATGTTTTGTTATTTAAAGTATAGTTAATTTTAAGCTATTTAAATTGTTAAGGAACATCCAAATTGTTATTTCTGTTATGGTATATATTTTTATTTTATTATGTCATTATAATGTGTAAATTACTATCAAATACTAATATCTGCATATATATGTTATTTACTAATGTTAACGAGGCCGAGATAAGGTACTGGTATTCGATGTATTCAACTAACAAATGTACAGATTTCAATAAAATATAATAACATTAAAAAAAAAATGAGAATCGAAACCCATTTGCAACCGAAATCGTGCAATATTAGGAAAATTTCCTTTAAGTTACAATTGAAAACAGTATCATCGTCTTATTTCCCCACGAATATTAACTATTTTTAATGTTTTCTTCAAATTAAGATCGTGGGAACGACAACTCTACAAATTGAAAACACTAAAATGATCCCTGCCACGTATTGGAATTTTTTCAGAACCTCATTTAAAAGGTCACCTCTCTGGATCTTGAGCAGTCATTTTTTATACTTCCAATGAGTGACATGAGTAATACAGGTTTGACTGTTGTTCAGACTGATCCTTTTTCAACTTAATGCTAACTTACCAAGAGCACATTTAAGAAAGTATAAATGATAACTTTAACAACTTACTGACTTAACGGGAAATCCATCATCTGACACTCTGACTTGAAATGTTACACTGGGAGTGGATTCATAATCGACAGATCCACTAACGACTACAGTGTTACCCGTTACAGAGAAGAAGTCTCCCTTACACATTAAATATGACAAGGTCTGACCATTATCTTCATCCTCTGCAGATAAAGTACCAACTGCTGTACCTAAGGGGGAATTCTCTGCTATACTTTCAGCTAAAATAGATACAAAGTTATCTGATATTGTAAAATCACCATCTAGGTAGTTCAAATATAATTTTCCAGATTTAGCTTATAACGATTTCAGCCCAGCTGACTTATTTATCAACATTCTGAAGATTTCTGCCCCTTTCAGATTTTAGATATAAGAAGATGTGGTATGAGTGCCAATGAGACAACCCTCCATCCAAGTCAAAATTTATAAAAGTAAACCATTATAGGTCAAAGTACGGTCTTCAACACGGAGCCTTGGCTCACACCGAACAACAAGCTATAAAGGGCCCCAAAAATTACTAATGTAAAACCATTCAAACGGGAAAACCAATGGTTTAATCTATATAAAAAACGAGAAACGAGAAACACTTATGAACCACATCAACAAACGACAACTACTGAACATCAGATTCCTTTTTCTCTATTTATTGCAGTTTTCAAAATAATAGACAAAGGCCACACAGTTGCCTATAATTGCTAACATCCACTTCATTTGAACTTTGGTGGATAGTTGTCCCATTGGCAATCATACCACATTTCCTTATTTTTATAAAACTTGTTTTCACCCCTTCGTTCTATTCTAGTCATGTCTGCTGTCTTGGTTGGCAGGCTACATGGGACATTTTTCAAAAAAGATACCCTAATGATGATTGTGGCTAAGTTTTGTTGAATTTGGCCCAGTAGTTTCGGAGGAAAATATATATAATAGCTCTTCTATGATTTCAGAAAATAAAAAAAGAAAAATTTGGATCATCATAATTGTGTTCTAGCTATAGAACAAAATAGATAAATTTACAACACATTCCTTTATGAAATTAAATTATCTGAATCATCTCCCCTAATATGGCTAAAGTAAAAATAAATTGAATCAAATAAAAAAATATTCTGTATTTGGAAAAAGTTAGATTAATCACATAATTTTCTTCATTTAGTCTTTCAAATGAATTGTATTCCTGTCTCAAAATATTCATATTTCATTAAAGATCTAATGTTTTCTGCTATATTTCAATCCAAGATGGTTTAAGACCCTCCTATCTACCCTGTGACATACAACAAAGACAAGATGTTTTTACCTGACAATGTCAAACCAGTAGGGGAATCGTTATCATCAGTTATCTCTATAATGAAGGTGACATCTTTTGTCAGCGGTGGTGTACCACTGTCCTGTACTGTTACAGAGATAGTGTATGTCCTCTCCTTCTCAAAGTCAAAATCAGCATTATCAACCTTAAATATATGAAAATCAACATTATCAACCTTAAATATATCAAAATTATACAAAAATTTATATTGTCAATCTTAAATTCAACAAAATCACTCAAAATCTGCATCATCAACCTTAAGTACAACAAAATCACTCAAAGTCTGCGTCTTCAATCATATTCACTCAAAGACTGCTTCTTCAACTTTAAGTACAATATAAGAACAGCTTTCCAATGCCTCCCACATTGCACATATTTTATCGGTCCAAGGGCAATAACTCAATAAAATATTTTATTTTTATCTTTTAAACTTTTTGATAAATGTTTTACAAGAAATGTAGCATCGAAACAGCTTACAATGCTCTTTTCTATATAATTTCTATTTCCAAAGTGCATAACTCCTGTAATAATAGTTTGTCTGTACTCTTCTGTCTGTTTATTTAACTTTTAAAAATATATAAGCATGAACTGTTGACCCTTGTGTAGCACCAGATTTTGGTTGAATTCGTGTTGCTCAGTCTTTAGTTTTCTGTTTGGTGTTTTTTGGAAGGTTGTTTGTCTGTTGGACGATTAGATATGGTGTTGCTTGTTTCTCCTTCAGTTATGTTTTTAGTGCCACTTGGTATTTTCTCCCCATTTTAATCATTAAATTTCAACACTAGATTTTAGTTTGAATTTATTACTTACAGCAATATTTCCATCCTTTATTGTAAATCTACCGTCAGCATTGTCTGTAATAGTATATGTAAATGTTTGCTTCTCTCCCACTTCATTATCAGGATCTATTGCTATCAAATGTCCAACTATATCTCCCAATTTACTGCTCTCAGATATCTAAATTATGTCAAGAGTAATTAAAGAACAAATGAACTTTTCATTAGAGAACATTCAATAACAATTTGGAATTTATGATAGTAGTTGTTATTTGATGATCGTTACCAATGTTTCTGAAAATCAAACTTTTCAAAGGTATAAATTATAATTATTAAACATCCAAAATGACAGCAACTTGCTTAGAACCCTTATGCTATTTGGAAATACTAGTTATACTGCTAGCTTTTGCTTTTTCTAAACATGAAGGCGAGGAATTAATGTCCTTAATCCATTCTAACATTCAATTATATAAAAGTAGTGCAAGAGTGCACACGCTGAAGTGTCTCGCCTTCTTTACTAACCATTGATATTATGTTGATAGTCCTAAATGAAAGCTTTACTACAACTATTACATAAACTTAACATGATCCAAGAAAATGAAGTCAAGGTCATATAAACCAAACGAGAAATACATGTACACCTTACAATCATTCAATACACTAAATATAGTTGACCTATTGCTTATAATTTCTAAGAAACAGACTTAACCAAGAAAACTAAACATTGACCAATGAATCGTGAAAATGAGGTCAAGGTCAGATGAACCATGCCAGGCAGACATGAACAGCTTACAATCCTTCCATACAACAAATATAGCTGACCTATTGCTTATAGAAAAACAGACTGAAACCGAAAATGAGGTCAAGGTCAAATAAAACCTGCGAGACTGACATGTACATCATAGAATATTTCCATACACCAAATATAGTTGACTTATTGCATATAGTATAAGAAAAAAGACCAAAACTCAAAAACTTAACTTTGATCACTGAACCATGAAAATGAGGTCAAAGTCAGATGACACCTGCCAGTTGGACATGTACACCTTACAATCATTCCATTCACCAAATATAGTAGACCTATTGCATAAAGTATAAGAAAAACTGACCAAAACACAAAAACTTAACTATAACCACTGAACCATGAAAATGAGGTCAAGGTCAGATGACACCTGCCAGTTGCACATGTACACCTTACAATCCTTCCATACACCAAATATACCTATTGCTTATAGTATCTGAGATATGGATTTGACCACCAAAATTTAACCTTGTTCACTGATCCATGAAATGAGGTCGAGGTCAAGTGAAAACTGTCTGACGGGCATGAGGACCTTGATAGGTATGCACATACCAAATATAGTTATCCTATTACTCATAATAAGAGAGAAATTAACAATACAAAAAATCACAACTTTTTTTTCAAGTAGTCACTGAACTATGAAAATGAGGTCAAGGACAATGGACATGTGACAGAAGGAAACTTCGTAACATAAGGCATCTATATACAAAGTATGAAGCATCCAGGTCTTCCACCTTCTAAAATATAAAGCTTTTAAGAAGTTAGCTAACGCCGCCGCTGGATCACTATCCCTATGTCGAGCTGTCACAGGCTCGACAAAAATTGATAACAGATATAAGAAATATCTATTAGAATTTTTAAAAATTAAAATCAACCAAAAACAATGAAATTTCTCTTGTTTCGGTTCATATTGTAAAAAACACTTGTAGAAAATTGATTGAATACACATACTTTATTATTTGAGTCTAACTTCATGACTGTACTTACATTATTATTGGACAGTCTGACTGATGACTGTACTTACATTATTATTGGACAGTTTGACTGATGACTGTACTTACTTTATTATTGGACAGTCTGATTGATGACTGTACTTACATTATAATTGGACAGTCTGACTGATGACTGTACTTACTTTATTATTGGACAGTCTAACAGATGAAACTGGCTCGTTCACATCAGTAACAGTCACAATAAAAACTTTGTCATAATGTAATGGATTCGGTTCCCCATTATCTGTTACTCTGATGGTGATCTCATGTTTTATCTGTGTCTCATAGTCCAACTCTGCTGCTGATGTCACCTTCAAACAAACAAACTGCTTCGTGACTTTTGTTTTTATTTCAGAATGATTTAATTTTGGATGTAACACATCTTCTGATTGGCTGAAAGTTATTTGTCTATCAGCTCATAGACATAATTTTGTCATGTGACTGTGACGTTGTCAACGTTTTTTCATGATTTACTCCTTAAAATTGGAATTTAGAATTAAATTATAAGGAATGACTATAATATATTTTCTGTCTATTCGAAATAACCTCAAAAATGTAGTGCACTTTTAAATAGCCTGTGTAGCCGGTTGTTAAGTGTGCACTACATTTTTGACGTTATTTCTTCATAGACAGAAAAAATATCACAGTCATTCCTCAAATAAATAAAATGCTTCGCTGGGCGCAGCTTGATACGACCGCAGAGGTCGAACCCTGAACAGTTGGGGCAAGTATGGACACAACATTCAAGCTTGATACAGTTCTGAATTTGGATTGTGATTAAATATTTGACACAGCATAGGTTTCTGACACAGAAAGAATGTGGTCTAAGAACTTCAATTTTTTTAATTAACCTATTATGGTCCAATGTCCAAAATCAAAATACATGGTTAGATTCAGCATATCAAAGGACCCCATATATTCAATTTTTGTTGAAATCAAACAAAGTTTAATTTGGACCCCAACTTGGACAAACTTGAAAACTGGTCCCATAATCAAAAATCTAAACACATGTTTAGATTCAGCATATCAAAGTACCCCAAGAATTCAATTTTTGTTAAAATCAAACTTAGTTTAATTTTGGACCCTTTGGACCTTAATGTAGACCAATTTAAAAATGGGACCCTAAATTAAAAATCTAAAAACACGGTTAGATTTGGCATATCAAAGAACCCCAATAATTCAATTTTTGATGAAATCAAACAAAGTTTAATTTTGGACCCTTTTGACCTCAATATGAACCAATTTGATAGCAGGCCCACAAATAAAAAATCTAAATACATGGTAAGATTCAGCATATCAAAGAACCCCATATATTCAATTTTTGTTGAAATCAAACAAAGTTTAATTTTGGACCCCAATTTGGACCAACTTGAAAACTGGGCCAAAAATCTAAAATCTAAATACATGTTTAGATTCAGCATATCAAAGAACCCCATATATTCAATTTTTGTTGAAATCAAAAAAAGTTTAATTTTGGACCCCAACTTGGAGCAACTTGAAAACTGGGCCCATTATCAAAAATCTAAACACATGTTAAGATTCAGCATATCAAAGAACCCCAAGAATTCAATTTTTGTTAAAATCAAACTAAGTTTAATTTTGGACCCTTTTGACCTCAATGTGGACAAAGTTGATAACGGGGCCCAAAAATCAAAAATCTAAATACATGGTTAGATTCAGCATATCAAAGAACCCCATATATTCAATTTTTGTTGAAATCAAACAAAGTTTAATTTTGGACCCTTTTGACCTCAATATGAACCAATTTGATAGCGGGGTCCACAAATAAAAAATCTAAATACATGGTTAGATTCAGCATATCAAAGAACCCCATATATTCATTTTTTGTTGAAATCAAACAAAGTTTAATTTTGGACCCAAATTTGGAACAACTTGAAAACTGGGCCAAAAATCAAAACTCTAAATACATGTTTAGATTCAGCATATCAAAGAACCCCATATACTAAATTTTTGTTAAAATCAAACAAAGTTTAATTTTGGACCCTTTGGACCTTAATGTAGACCAATTTGAAAACTGGACCCAAAATTAAAAATCTAAATACACGGTTAGATTCGGCATAACAAATAAATAAATGTGGTCAAAGATTTTACAAATCTAATGCGCCATACTGTCCAATTAAAGATTACTGCTTGAAATTTTTCAATATTTGAAATTTGAAAAAAAAATAATATTTGAAGAATAATTCTTTTTAATTTCTGAAATCTGAAATGAGAAAAAATTGACCCCCACAATTTCTTTAACCCCCCCCCCCCCCTTTTTTCCCCCAAAAAATTCTTTTCCTCAAGATATGGTCATAATCTCAATTCAAATTTCCAATGGAGTTTGCAACCATAATTACCCATTTAAATTTACCATAGTGCTAACTTAATCTATTTTATAATAGAATTTAAAATATAGTGTCAAATCTTTCATATGGATTTTGTTGTAAAAAAAAAAGATGCAACATTTGCAGATATTTTTACTGGTCTTCCTTTATAAATATGCATTTCTTTAAACATAATTAAAAAGCAGTGTAAGGGAAGTAACCAAAACGTTGTATTTGGATTACCTCCCTTACACTGTTTTAAATTATCTTAATTGTTCATTAACCATTACTTTATACATAATTTAAAAGCAGTGTAAGGGAGATAATTTCAATGATGTATTTGATTTATCTCCCTTACACTGCTTTAAATTATGTTTTGTACTAAAGTATTTGTCCATTAACCAGGACAGCCTTGTTTTTCCCCCTTTTTTGCCCCTAATTCTTAAACGGTTTGAGCCATCACCCCCCAAAGCAAATCCTAACCATCCCTTTGTGGTATGGAAACTTGTAGTATAATTTCAGAGAGATCCATACACCGTTCCACAGTTATTGTCTGGAAACTAGAAAATGCTTATTTTTGGCCCCTTTTTGGCCCCTAATTCCTTAACTGTTGGTACCATAACCCCCAAAATCAATCCCCACCTTCCTTTTGTGGTATTGAACCTTATGGTAAAATTTCATAGAGATCCATTCACTTAAACTAAAGTTAGAGTGCGAAAACTAATGCGTCTTCGGACGACGACGACGACGACTACGACTACGACGACGACGACGTCAATATCATACCAATATACGACCACAAAAATTTTTTTGCGGTCGTATAAAAACCTGACAACTGGGAAAGTTTTTTTCTGATTTAAAGTGTATTTCAGGTTTTTTCTCCCAAAAAACATCACAAAAATCAATTACAAATGTAATCATGATATCTTTCAATTTTCAACTGAATTTCTCTCATCTATGATTGCCTTTATTGTCATGCCTATGTCGAGTTAGTTATTATCAAAATTACATAAAGCAAGTTGACATCAAACAATATCCAATTCACACAAGTTAACTGTTAAACCTATTTTTCTAGTGGTAAAAATTGTTCTTGTGTAAAAAAAAAAGAAAATTCTGTGAAACATTTTTCTTGTCTTTTGCACCGAAAAGTTTTGACATCATAAGTCGGCATTAACATCAGACATTCACAAGCTTTTTGTATGCTAAAGATTCGAACCAAAGGAGAAGGTGTGATAAGGTTTTTTTTTTTGGCTCCTTGAAATCGAAATTCAAAAAGTATTATAAATCTATCAAATAATATCCACAGATATTCATAAGGCACAAGACTATCCGTCATCAGCATTTATATTTTTGAAGTTTGTTTTACAGATTGGCAGCATTGGGGTTTCAAACTTCTTACATTTAGAGCAAAACAACATAAAATTGCCAAATAGCATAATTTTGAAATCTTAACATTAACATTCATATATGAGCAACAGCTTTACACAAAAAGATAATTTGCTACAAAATGTATTTTTCTTAGATGTAAGGTGTGTAAAATATCTTTTGGGGTAAAGATATTTCTCATATATATTTTGACTAAAATATTATGTGTGAAATGCCCATTTTAGGTCACATATGTAAATTTCAACATGTTAATGACATCATTGTGACATTACAAGTGACCTTTCTGCACTTAAGTGTGCAGATTAGATTAACCTGTTCATTTACCAATAGAATTAACATTATTTTGAAAGGTTTGAATAAGGCCTTTGACAAAAAGAATATTATCAGGTTAAACAAGAGTATTGAAAAAAATCACAAATCTCTGTTGCCAAGGGGGAAAAGTAGTCTGTTGTGACCTTTGAAAGTCATCATTGACCTAACGAATAGCCAATGGAAATGTTGCAATTTTGTAAAACATTGTAGGATAGGCCAGGCAAATTCAGACATTTTTTGTAGCACTAATTCTTATCGAACTTCGTTCAATGTAATAAGAGAATATCTTCTCATGCCGGCAATAGATAACATATTAAAGAGAAATATAAATATCAGCCTGTCAGAATAAACCAGTTATTTATCAGTTACCTTCAGTTTATTATGTGCTATGTAGAAAAACTTGGATCCTGATAGCATGGTAAAACTATGTGTTTGTGTTGTGTCAGGGTCAGTTGCTGATAAGGTTGCCATAACAACATCAACAGAGTTTTCTGGGATATCTAAAGTGCCATCAACTATAATGTCCTGAAAATATCAGAAATAAAAATAAAAATCAGGTTTGGTCTTGTATTGAAATTCTAACTTAAAATTACATTAAATGACAAGCTGTTTAATCAAATATAATTTTTTTTAATCAGTGTTTAAAACCAGAAAAGATTTATACAGTTAAAGACTTTTAAAATGATTGATATGTTTTTTTAATCCTAAAAAAAATATTGACGAAGACCAAAGGCTGAAAGTTATTTAGAAAAATATTAAAAACAGATAAATTTGAAATATAAGGTTTTCTTGCAGAAAAACAACTTACACTTGGTGCATCATTAGCATCAATGATTGTTAGTGTAGTTTGTTGACTAATCTTAGATCCCTCATTGTCAACTGCATAAAACAAGAGGCTCACTGATGTTTCAGTCTCAAAATCAAATGATTCAGAACTTCTCACATCTGCTGTACATCTAATACCCTGTGTAAAATACATTTAAATATAAAAATATTAAAAATATCTTATTAAGTGCCAAAAGAAATATCAGATCTTAAGGAAAACAAACAATTCAATATAGCATGTAAACACATGTAAACACATGATTCTTTTATATTCATTTGGCTCCTTATATCTCCAAAACCATTTTAACTGTTAATTTGGGAAATCTGACTGAAAATTGTGGACAGTGAATTCAAAAAAGCAATTTAAAGAAAAATAAGAACATCTAACTCAGACTAAAACTAAACTAAAGGCTCTAAGAGCATGTGTCGCTCATCTGGATCTATGTGCCTTTCAACATTGAAGACTAGAATACTATTCATGACTTAGATCTCTTTTTTGTTGATCATTTTTGCTGTTTACAATTTTTCTTTATTTACTATAGTTCTGGTCAAAGATGCAAAATAAAAGACAAAAAATCGTCATTTAAGTCAATAACCTCTAAAAGGAGTCACCCAATTACAGATATATTACCAAATTTCAGATCTTGTCCTGCTGATCAATTTTTCCTGTAATAGTTTTTAAGATAATTGGCAAAAATGCAAAAAAATAGTAAATTGTCATTTAAGTGCTCATAAGTAGTTGACCAAGTTGGGAACTATTTCCACCATGTTGACTGATTAACAGATCTTGTCTTGCTGATCAATTTTGCTAGTGAGGTTTCTATCTATCTATTTTAATTTTCAGATTAATAGGCAAAAAGGCAAAAAATTGGTTAAAATTGTCATTTAAGGGCAAATACTCATATAAGGAGTCAACAGGCAATTTCAGCAATGTTGACTTATTTGTAGGTCTTGTCTTGCTGATCATCCATGCTAATTTGAAGTTTGGGGTAGAGAGTTTGAAGAAGTATAATAGAGTATGGAAACGGGGAATATTTCAAAGAGACAACAACCCCATTGAAGAGCAGAAAACAGTCTAAGGCCACCAATGGGTCTTCAACGCAGCGAGAAAATCCCACAATAATGTATACTAGTTCAGCAAAATGAACTGGAGCAGAAAAAAATATATGCCTCATATATCAAATGTTAAATAATTTTTTACTGTTTCTGGTCATCAATTCATGCAGTGTATTTTTGATTACCTGAGTTAAGGGAATGCATTTTTGGTTGTATAGTTTGATCTTTGTTGAGGTTGAACCAAAGGTAACTGTGTCTGTTACATCAGGATCTAATACAATTAATCGACCAATCAAAGTCTCTGTTGGTTTGTTCTCATCAATGATTGGCCTGTTTGTTTGGAATGATGGTGTCTGCCCAGAAACTGATTTTAAAGCAAGGCCAAATGGTGCTTCATTTACATTCATCACTGACAGTACAAAGTCTCTAGAAATCTGAAATAAGATGCCATTGATAAAGTTTAGACAGGTTTCATTATTGTATCATGTGAACTACAAATTTTAACTAAAAAGACTGAAATATGACACATTCTATCCAGTAGACTTTTTGAATCTATGTAAGACATGTGGTTTTGAATAAAATATTTGTATTAAAGTGAAATGCTTGATAAATAACATGGCATATGCATTTTTGTTATTGACAGGATAGATTTTTGTTTTAATCTGTTAAAAAAACAGCTGCAAAACAACCCCTAACTTTTGATATAAATTTTAAAAAATTGAAAAAAATGATGCAATTTTTACATAAAAGTTAAGAGTAGTTAAATTGACATTCAAATTTTTGCTAGTAGCATTCTACTATAACATATATACAGTCATCAAATTAACACTACCTTACACTATCACCAGTAGTTGCAGATTCACATTAAGCAATTCTGAATTTTCAATATTCTAAGTTATCTGTTTAGGGGATTTGCTCTACTACAAGTTATCTGTTTAGATTTAATCTACTACAAGTTATCTGTTTAGGGGATTTGCTCTACTACAAGTTATCTGTTTGGGATTTGCTCTACTACAAGTTATCTGTTTGGGATTTGCTCTACTACAAGTTACCTGTTTGGGATTTGCCCTACTACAAGTTACCTGTTTGGGATTTGCCCTACTACAAGTTACCTGTTTGGGTTTTGCCCTACTACAAGGTACCTGTTTGGGATTTGCCCTACTACAAGTTACCTGTTTGGGATCTGTTCTGCTATCAGTTGCCTGTACTGTGATGGTATAACTTGACTTTGTCTCATAATTTAGTTCCTTACTGAGTTTTATAGTATTATCTACAATAACGAATGTGTCCTCTGCTTCAGCAGTCAAGCTGTATGTAAATGTGTCGTCTATATCCTGATCTTCTACCTATCAAAAAATATTATAAAACAGTTAATATTGGAACTTTCTTCTAGAATTTCTGGCATGCAACTTACCTTAATTTCACATAAATATCATGTTATATTGTTTTCAAATTTTTCAAGAGATTCATTCAGCTGAACTGGCTTTAAATAAAGCTAATACTAACAATGAACACTGCCCTTTCCTGGATCTTGATATCTATATCTTTAACGGGAAGCTTATTACCAAAATTTAAGATAAAAGAGATGATTTTTCATTTCCTATTGTTAATTATCCATTTTTGGTGACGTTCCCTTGTCACCATCTTATGGTGTTTATATATCTCAATTTGTTCGATTCGCTCGTGTATGTAACAATATATTTGATTTTAACGAAAGAAATCTCTGTATTACTGAAAAATATTTTATATAAAGCACAAAAATGTTGTCATTCATCTCAAAAACTATTTATAATAACCAAACCCTTAAACAGACTTATTCAGAAGGGATATAATTACGATACTGTTGTCAGGTCATTAAAGATGGCATTTTTTGGAATTAATAGATTCACTCATAGGGTTTTTAATCGGAAATAAACACATTTATTCTAAAAACAGTTGTTGGCATGACATGGGTTATGTTCTTCTCATATATTTTATGATGGTATGATACTAAACCCCTAACGGGAGGGATTGTGCTTGATTTTCATATGATGGAGACATAATCTTTCAATCAGTTAAATTGAAGTCTGGAGCTGGCATGTCAGTAACTGCTAGTAGTCCTTTGTTAATTTATATATCATTGTCATCTTGCTTAGTTTTTTCTGTTACCTATTCTAACATCGGACTCGGACTTCTTTTAAACTGAGTTTTACTGTGCGTATTGCTGTGTGTTTGTTTATTCTACATTGGCTAGAGGTATAGGGGGAGGGTTGAGATCTCATAAAACATGTTTAACCCCGCCGCATTTATGCGCCTGTCCCAAGTCAGGAGCCTCTGGCCTTTGTTTTTCTTGTATGTTTTTTTAATTTTGATCATTTATATGTTTCAGAGTTTCGTGTGATGTCCATTTTCGCTGAACTAGTACTTATTTTTATTTAGGGGCCAGCTGAAGCCCGCTTCCGGGTTCAGAATTTTCTTGCTGTGTTAAAGAACTATTGGCGGCCTTGGGCTGTTTTTTGCTCTTTGGTCAGGTTGTTGTCTCTTTGACATATTCCCCGTTTCCATTCTCAATTCTATTAAAAATTTTAACACAAATTTCTATCATTTTCACATGATATTCAAATTACAACAAATAAATGGAGAATGCGTCCACGGGACGCCAATGATTAGCCCGCATGGAAATAACTCAAGGACGGTAAAAGTGACACCACCCAAGTTCCAACTCGATCTGAGTTTTGTGGTAATAAGCATTGCATATAAGTTTCATAACATTAAGTTGAGTCAAACTAAAGTTAGAGAATGAAAACTAATTTTGAGACGTACAGACGGACAAGGGTAATACTTAATGCCCCCTGCTGCAGCTGGGGCATAAAAATGCCTTGAGTACTAAAAATGGGTCAAATCAATACTTTAGCCATGACTTAAGTCTTCAAATTATTAGAATAATTTAGTTTTTTTTTAGTGTTCAAATTTAAAATGCAGTCTTCAATGATGTATTTATTTTTCTTTTATAATTTATCCAATTCTCTTTCATCTATGTTTTGTTAAGTCTGTTCTGTTGTTTAAAATCTCTTAACAAACAAATAACACAATAGAAATGGTAAAATGTCAAATATAACAAATATCTATTCTTATTCAATTTTTACAACATATATCTCTAGTATATAATTCTTACTGAGTGTGGCCACTTATCTTATTGTTAGTGTAGCCACTTTACTTCCTGTTAGTGTAATCACTTTACTAACTGTTGGTGTAGCCTCTTTACCTACTGTTGGTGTAGATACTTTAGTTACTGTTGCCACTTAACTTACTGTTGTTTGGCCACTTGACTTACTATTAGTGAGCCACTTTACTCACAGTTAGTGTAGCCACTTTACATACTATTTCTGTAGCCTCTTTACTTCCTGTTAGTGTAGCCACTTTTTACTTACAGTTAATGCAGTCATTTTACTTAGTGTAGCCACTTTTTACTTACAGTTAGTGTAGCCATTTTACTTAGTTAGTGTAGCCACTTTACTTACTATTTGTGTTGCCACTTACTGTTAGTGTAGCCTCTTTACTTTCTATTAGTTTAGCCACTTTACTTATTTTTGTGTGGCCACTATACTTCCTCTTAGTGTAGCCACTTTACTTAGTTAGTGTAACCACTTTACTTGATGTTAGTGTAGCCACTTTACTTCATGTTAGTGTAAAATCTTTACTTAACGTTAGTGTAGCTACTTTACTTATTGTTAGTGTAGCCACTTTAATTTTTGTTAGTTACCCACTTTACTTATTTTTGTGTGGCCACTTTACTTACTGTTAAGTGTAGCCACTTTACTTACTGTTATTGTAGCCACTTTACCTACTGTTAGTGTAGCCACTTTACCTACAGTTAGTGTAGCCACTTTAATTTTTGTTAGGTACCCACTTTACTTATTTTTGTGTGGTCACTTTACTTACGGTTAGTGTAGCCACTTTACTTAAGGTTAGTGTAGCCACTTTACTTATTTTTGTGTGGTCACTTTACTTACGGTTAGTGTAGCTACTTTACTTACGGTTAGTGTAGCCACTTTACTTACCGTTAGTGTAGCCACTTTACTTACCGTTAGTGTAGCCACTTTACTTACGGTTAGTGTAGCCACTTTACCTACTGTTAGTGTAGCCGCTTTACTTACAGTTAGTGTAGCCACTTTAATTTTTGTTAGGTACCCACTTTACTTATTTTTGTGTGGCCACTTTACTTACTGTTAGTGTAGCCACTTTACTTACTGCTAGTGTAGCCACTTTACTTACGGTAAGAGTAGCCACTTTACCTACTGTTAGTGTAGCCGCTTTACTTACAGTTAGTGTAGCCACTTTAATTTTTGTTAGGTACCCACTTTACTTTTTTTTGTGTGGCCACTTTACTTACTGTTAGTGTAGCCACTTTACTTACTGTTATTGTAGCCACTTTACCTACTGTTAGTGTAGCCGCTTTACTTAGTTAGTGTAGCCACTTTAATTTTTGTTAGTTACCCACTTTACTTATTTTTGTGTGGTCACTTTACTTACGGTTAGTGTAGCCACTTTACTTACGGTTAGTGTAGCCACTTTACTTATTTTTGTGTGGTCACTTTACTTAGGGTTAGTGTAGCCACTTTACTTACTGTTAATGTAGCCACTTTACTTACTGTTAGTGTAGCCGCTTTACTTACTGTTAGTGTAGCCACTTTACTTACAGTTAGTGTAGCCACTTTAATTTTTGTTAGGTACCCACTTTACTTTTTTTTGTGTGGTCACTTTACTTACGGTTAGTGTAGCCGCTTCACTTACGGTAAGTGTAGCCACTTTACTTACAGTTAGTGTAGCCACTTTACTTACTGTTAGTGTAGCCACTTTACTTATAGTTAGTGTAGCCATTTTACTTACTGTTAGTGTGGCCACTTTACTTCCTGTTGGTAAATTTTCTGGCAAATTTTCAGCTTTCATAGCAAGGTTATAAGGTGAATCATTATCATCATCCACATCCACAGTCAAAGTAAACTCTTTACTCATTGGTGGATTTCCACCGTCTGTTACCATGACACCAATACTATGGCTGGTATCAGATTCAAAGTCAAGTAGACAATTCTCATTTCCTTTGGTATCACAACCTTTTCCCTTGGAATTTACCTAGTTATTACATTTTTGAGCTTATCTAATTGTTTACAACTGCATCATATTACTTATTTTACAAATATTTGTTATTAACTGAATAAATATTTCTATACTTCTAGTTTTCCCTGCTAAAAGAAGAAGGAAGGTAAAATTATCTAAACACTTGCCAGTCCATCAATTAATATAGAATTAAGTTTCTGCTATTTTTTATTTGGAAAGAAAGTTTATAAAATGATGAAGTTGAATTTCTACAAGTATTTGGTAAACAGGAAGTTGATGAGTGATGGATGTAAAAACACATCCCACTGTAAAGCATGCTCATTTGAAGGTTGATTCCAAATTTCAAGAAGTTCTGTTGATGGGAAAGACAGAAAGACATAAATCAGTTTACTTCTTCTTTGGAGCGTGGTTGAGCGGGTGTATAAAAGAGTAAATAAGAGTATTTAAAGAAAAAGAATCTATTTCATAGTAATAACAGTATTTCATATATGTCCATTAAATCACTGCTTTGTGTATAAAGAGGCAAACCATTCATCATTTAGATATTTACATTATAATTAAGTTTACAGAAGATTACAATCTGAAAGTAGATGATTGAATCTCAATAAATAAATTGGTCGATCATATTACAGATACCTTAAGAACATTTCCTTCCACTACAAATCTGCCATCAGCATTGTCAGTCAGTTCATATGTAAAAGTCTGGTTTTTGTCAGGATCTTCTGTTACTAAATTTCCCACTACTGTTCCTACTGCACTCATTTCTAAAACCTGTAAAACAGAACCAGATGTAAATAAAATTGAATGTTTACAAATCTCATCAGTTCTTATGTAAGGGTAGCCAACTCACAGTCTTTTTGCATGTAATACATGTTTTTTTCAACTGTTAACAAATACTTTTTGTTTCACAAGGCATGTACAGACATCCATGTGTCTTTAAGACAAACAAAATCTAACTTTGTGCATAAAATAAACTTCCTTCTAACTCAAAAAGTCAGAAATCAGATTAATCATATCAAATCAAATCAAATATTTTATTGTCGTATAAACTTTACAGTTTGTGACCAACATGTATTAACACAATAAACATATATACATACATATCAAACAAACACAATAAAAACAGCATCAAAATTTATAAAAACAAACTAGCTGTTAAGAGTCCCCTGCCCTCAGTGCTAATGACTTTTTCAAGAAGGATCCTAACTTATTTGTTTGTAAAGGCGTTGATGGATTTAGTAAATAATGAATTTTTTCTTCTTCATTTAAATTATTAAAGTTATTATTTTCAGTACATATGTGTTCAAAAAAGGCATTTCTTAGTGTTTTATTATAATCACAATAGAGTAAAAAATGTTTCTCATCCTCTAGTATTTTACATTTATGACAAAGTCGTTCCTCTCTTGGGATTTTAAAATATCTCCCCTTTTCAATTAAGAGGGAGTGATCACTTAGTCTAAATTTAGTGATCAATCTCCTTATCTGAAAATTAGATATATTTAGATAAGATTCTAGTTTGCAATCCTTTTTAAGTTTTTTATATAGATAAAATTTACTTTTATTATCAATGTTTTCAAATTTAGTTTCAATTAAATCTTCATATCTATTTTTCATTTTTAACTTTATATCGTTTTTTATTTTATTTACATCTTTTATGTCCTTACAATTAGAAAGAATATTAAGGTCAATATTAATCTCTTCAACAATATTTTTTGCATATGTATACCATTAATAAGTTCCAGTGAAATCTAGAGACTGTGCTAGAGAAAAAGCTTCCTTTATCAATGGATTAATATTATTATTATATAGTCTAGCTAAATATAAAAAGGTTTGTGTTTTAATAAAAATTCTATAGGCAATCTTCCTAATTCAACTCTTGCTCCTAAATTGGATGCATTTTTTTCTTATTCCTAGAGTAGATTTACAAAATTTAAGATGCATATTTTCAATAGGGGTTTTGTCTGTAAAATCAAGTTGATTAATTTGTTTTCCTGAAAATAAGGCTCTGTTTTTGGCTCTATGAAAAGAAATATATGTATCCAAATATGTTACTTCTGAATTATAGGTCATAATTGGTTTTACTAAAGAATCAAAAAGACTATTTGCTACTTTTATAGGTAGATTATTCAATGATTTAGTATAGGATTGTATTGCAAAAAATACTTAAATTTATCAGGTATTACGACATGGCTTTATATCACATTTAATGTTGCAAGCTCTTTTAATGTATGTTTAATTTAGCCACATTCATTTATTATACTATAAACTGTATTACCTGGCATAAATTATACCTTCTTATACCTAGCATACATAAATTATACCTTCTTATACCTAGCATACATAAATTATACCTTCTTATACCTAGCATAAATTATACCTTCTAATACCTAGCATACATAAATTATACCATCTAATACCTAGCATACATAAATTATACCTTCTAATACCTAGCATACATAAATTATACCTTCTAATACCCAACATACATAAATTATACCTTCTTATACCTAGCATACATAAAATATAGCATCTAACTGAGACTACTATAACACAGAGATTGGTCACTTCCCGTACTGACCAGTCAAATAGTAATTAATTGTAAGTCTTCGATCACGTGACTCGGCACGTGACTCGCAATGATTGACAAGAAGGATTCGACCGCCATTTTTGACAGCGAAAGAGAAAATAATAATTAACAAATGTGGATTTATAAAGAGTGTTATGTTCCGGTAAGTTTGAATATAAGATTTGACATGTTCATAAATGTTGTTTTATAAGCACTTTAAATAAAATAAGTGCAGTTATAGACTTGAATTTACCGACCAAACCGGAAAGTAACCTCGAGTTATTACCAGTCCGTGGGACAGGGTCAATGAGCAACTCACCCATAACTTACATTCAGATGAACAATCTGTTTTCCGGATAATGTATGTGCAAGCCTTAGTAAATACCGATGTAATGATGTAAAATTTGTAATTATATGAAATTCCAATTTTTCTGTATCAGTAAGTTCCCGCTGCAGAACTGAGAAACACACGAGACAAGTTGCACACACACACAACATGAGGTATGATAGGTGAATTTGTATTGTTAGTGAAAGAAATTTAGATTTATATTTGGTTCCCTTGATAATATATATGCAGTCTATACATGCTAGTATAATAATACTATGTAATGAAAATGTGTCACCATGTGAAATACCAGTACATCATGAGTTCCTAAATAGACGTATTTTTTTAAATAATTGACCCAAACATGATGTAAAAAGTACATGCACCTTTGGTCTGCATCCTCTATCAGTTTAACTATTTTGATCCATATTGACATGTTTGGTCAATTACTGCTGAGTCTCAAGTCTCAGATTACTGTCTTAAAAATAGTGAATTGCCTATGCTATAAACTTGACAAACATTATTTCTTTTTATTTATTAATATATTCTTTATTGTAGGAATACCCCCAGAAAGAAATCATGCATTAGAAGAAGGGAGAAGTACTACAGGAGGAAATGACTTTTTTTAGTATTTTTTTTTAATTTCATTGAATTTGTCATGCTTGTCTTACATGGAGAAATAAATATTTAAGTCTTTGAATATACATTTTTATTATTATATACATTAAAACTAAGACAGGAATGCTGAAATTCACTACATTGTGTAACACGCTCAGTTTGGATAACAGTTCAATGAAAGAAAAAAAATAAGTAACCACACATCTTTATATATTAAAGGAATAGCCACTTGAAGCAAACTTTAAGGAGATTTTTATATATTTTTGCTAATGATCATCAGACAACTCCTTTAGTCCAAATGAAGTTCAATGAAGTGGATGTAAGTTATTGGAATGCACCGTAATTACCTTCAACAATGAGAAAACCTATAACGTGCAGTCAGCTTCAAAAGTCCCCGACATGGAAAATATATAACAATTCTCTAGAGAAAACGAAGTGTCTACAATAACAAAGCAATTTACGAAAATTCAAATATGACGGACATGAACCAACAGCAACCACTGAATTACAGGCTCCTGACTTGAGACGGGCACATAAAGAATGACAATGTTAAATATTTTTAGGCGCTCATCACCACCACTAGCATGGGACATTGGTGTAACGACATAACATAAAAACAAACTTTAAACATAATTTGAAAATAGTTCATTTCGGTTTAATCAGGCTGACTACATGAAATATTTGCCACTGACAAGCAGTTGTGAATCGAAGTTGAATTTACAGAAAGGTGATATCAATATATGCTATCATATTTAACATTCTTGTTTAGATCTGACATTGCTACTTATTTATACATTTCGCATTATTTTTGGCTTCTCAGAATTTTCACATGGTAAACTGTCAGCAGTTACCCAACAAAAAAATGTTATAGGAAACCTTTTTACAAAGCATCATGCAGACAACAATTAACATGGTATGTCACCAAACATTGAACAAGCACATTTATATTTGCTGTGGCTAAAAAAACTAAAGCAAATCACAACTCTTTTCATCTGAGTTGCTCAATTATTAGGGTTACAAAAAGCATAGCGATATAACTAAAACATACGACACTTTAACAATAGACAATATTCAAATTTTCAAAAACTTTACGGCTCTGTATTGAAGCACAAAATTTCTTGTCTGGGATTTTGAAAGAGGGCACATATTTCTGGTGTTGAAAAAATGTCATCGTAAATTACCCTAATGAGGTTCTATTTATGTTAACATAGAGATAATTTGTTTATTCAGTCACATAATTTTGAAGCTTCTTCGTTCTGATTTACATGTACTTGCGGTTGATGCTTCTTTTGGAGTTTTTGTAGTTTTTGCAGTCTTTGCAGCAGGGACGTATAGTCATCCTCAGATTCAAAATCTGATGCAGTATATTCACCACGTAAAAGATCAAGATTGAGATCACTATCATCCCAAGATAAAAAATCAATGTTACTGGACATTGTGAATTGAAAAATGAAAATGCCAGTGATATTTTGGGAACATATATATATAATTTGTAGGGCTTATGTTTGCTTTATGTATCCATTGCAGTTATAACCTCTTTGCTCATCTGTTACGTAAGGAAATTACTCATTTACCTTTAATGAAATTTTTTCTCTCTTCTGTGATCGCCGCTTATTACATTGTTTGCAAAAACTTGACCTAATTATCAGACGAAAATTAAAAAAAAGTGGGGGGGGGGGGGGGGTTGAAACTTGTTTGAAAAAAAAAATGTACGTTGGATAATCTGAATGAGGGTCTGGATGGGGGTTCTTTATTTCCTATAATTTCTATGCCATTTTTCTCTATTCTTTAAATCTTAATAACTTATTATTTTCTCTTCTCTATTCTTTATTTGTCGGTCCATTTTTCTCCATTCTATACCTTTTTTGCCCCTATTTCTCCATTCTATAAAACCCCATCCACACCCTCCTGAATCCTACCACAAGTGCACCAACGATATTTGACAAGGTTTACTACAATAAACATGTATATTGGGCACTCAGCAGTGAAATACCTTACAAGTATAGAATAAAAGTTTACTGCAATAAACGGAGCCTCGTGTACCTTGGGCACCCAGCTGTGAAACAAAATTCATCTCCCATGCTTTTGAGACTACCTGTCTTTACAGGTAAAATATTTGTATATTAGATACAATTAACGGACGTGTAGCAAAACAATGTAACTGTAAGATTGATAAGATTAATCACATTCACATTTTCAAGAGTGGCCGCATAATAACAAACTATTAACAAATTATTAATGATTAAAAACAAAAATTTAAATATGAATAGAGATAACTGCATTTGAAAGATAAAAACTATATTCTTTTTTTTTTGATTAATTCAATTTTGTTTTTAAATTATTTTTAAAAGAAAAATAATAATATCCGATACTGTTATAGTATTCTCAGTGATAGGTGATATATGTCGTCTGCTACGGTCGAATACGAAACTACGTTAAAATAACGTAGCTAACTACCGGAGACTCAGATAATCCGATAAATCTATAGTGACCAATCTCTGTGTTATAGTAGTCTCAGCATCTAATAACTAACATACATAAATTATATCGTCTAATACCTAATATACATAAATTATACCTTCTAATACCTAGCATACATAGATTGTACCTTGTTAGGCCTAGCATACATAAATTATACCTTATAATACATGGAATATATAAATCATACCTTGTAATACCTGGCACACACAAATCATACCTTGCAATATCTATCATACATAGATTATACCTTGCAATACCTGGTGTATATATAAATCATACCTTGTATTACCTGGTATATATAAATCATACCTTGTTGTTTGTCAGGTCTACTTTTATTGGAATTTCATTGACATCCATCACAAGTACTGTAAATCTTTGGTTCAGACTTAAATTTCCACTGTCAGTAACCTTGACCTCAATGTCTACAGAAGGCTGTGTTTCATAATCCAAATTAGCACCTGTAATGCCGAAATGAGTCATGTTTAATGCAAAAAAATACATAACATTTTTAAAATCGAATTAAATTATCATTGAAGAAGACAATTAGGATCTGTTACAAAAAATCAGTGCACCATGAAAGGAACTATTGCTGAACATGTTGCTGAACTGTGCTAAACACCATTTTCAGTACTCTTGGCTATATTGTGGCAACCAGTTTTTACTGATGGAGGAAGCCAGAGTACAAGGAGAGAACAACCTACCTTTGGCAGGAAAACCTCCAATCCTAGTCAATTAAGATCAGAGACAAACACATCTCCCACATGCTGGGGTCAACTCAATACCTCAGTTATAAATGGCTAGTGATAAGTAGATGAACCAATTAGACCACTTGGTCACTGAGGACCCCTATTCAAATCAAATGTTTCGTAAAATTATCTTAATTTTACATAAACAAAATGTAATATTTAAGGTGGTACATAACACTATAGGGAGATAACTCTGTAAAAATCAGCTGAATGTTTTAATCACATTCTATAGTTGAGGAAATATTAAGCTTCTCAATGATCAAAATTAGTGTTTGTCAAACTGCTATATATCCAATGAAATTTTTCCGATAAAGTGAGCCTCCTCATGGTGTTTTGATTATGTGATTACTTGGCCGTTTTTAAAGTGAGTATTTGATTACCAGACCAAATATTTCATGATTATTTGATTATTTGATAATCTAGGACTGTATTTTTGATTATTTGATTATCTTGTTTAAAAATATAATTAATGATTATGTGATTATATTGGCAAAAAATTTGTGATTATGTGATTACTTGGACACCCCCATGAGGGGCCTCAAGTGTGGTGGTTCAAGTTTTTTGAAATTTTTATATTTTTGTCAAAGGGTCAAAGTAAATATTTTGTCAAAATTTTATGAAAATTGAACGAGCCAAATCAATTTTAGTCAAGGTGTTTGGTACCACCTTAAATCAATTATCAGTGTTTTGTTAAAAAAAATAAACTGCTTAAATGCCAAATCAACATATCAGTCACATTACATTTTCATAAAAACATTAAAATCAGACTTGCACAATTTCATGTTCACCACTGTATGCTAATTTAATTGGTTTATCTATCAAGGAAGAGCTACTGAACCCATAATATAAAAAAAGAAAAAAAAGAGACCAAAACCCATATGAGCACCTAATTTAATAGAAAGGGTGAACAGAAAAAAGGGAGTACCAATTAAAAAATTATTATTCAATAAAAAATAAAAGTTTCTACTAATATCCACAACCAAGAAAAGATCAAGCTACTATAGTACCATCTGCTATAGATAATTGTCCTGTCTGGGTCAGTGTAAATTTTCCTCCCCCATCATTAGTCAATGTGTATGTGTGGGTATCTGTGTTATCAGGATCCTCAACACTGAACACGCCCAGTGTTAAACCATTAATATTCTCAATAACAGATGGTTGGTCTTCACTATAACCTATTTTCTGTTTAATAAGATAATGTTCTGTTGATGAGATTTTTTTTTAGTGAATCTATAAAAATGTTTTATGTTCGAAATTGTATTGTTGTCTTCAAAAATATTTTAAAACAATTACATCCACCCATCAATGTATAAAATAACTGTTGACAGCTTAAAACTTTTAAACAAATATTGTTCTTTAATACTTTTACGGGCATTTGAAAAGGACTGTCATATATAAATATTTATTTTCAAATGAAAAATATGAAAAATTGTTGTATTTCTTTCTTGTTTAGCTGTTCCTCATCAGCCTACTCATCATTTATTTTCAGTATTCTGAGTTTGTATATGTATTCATACAAGAGAAGATTCAAGTTTAACATACATGTAATCTCTTTATTTTTCTATTTGCAAAAACTACATAAATAAATCGCTCACAAAAGCTAGTTGGTTAACAGTATGTACTCTTGACAGTTTTGTTCATATGTTTAAATCTTAGGCCTAAACAATTTTTCTGGTTTCCCTTCTTCAGATAGGGATGGGTTTATGCCAGTAAAATAACCATCTTGTAATATGTATGAACTTACGGTTGGTGCTTCATTGACATCTACGAGAGATAAAGGAAACATTTCCACTGTATTCTTTCCATCTGTATTTGTCACCTGACAAACCAGAGTGTACCGAGACAGTAGTTCATAGTCTAATGTTGCTCCAACCAATACTGCAGCTGTACATACTCGTTTCTCATCCTTCAAAAACAATAATACAAGACAAAGTGACCTTCGGTATGCATTATATGATTAATTCATGTTCTCAAGCATACCTTTGTTTTAATGAGGATTTTATAATGGTAGACTACCTTTGTTTTGCTGAAGCAACTCCAAAAGTCCAATTCTAATATGACGTTTCTCTTTCACTTTGTAAATTAAAGAACCTTAGTGAGCGTGCTCACATACCCCACGTCCCCACATTGCCATTGGAGAAATAAAATAAGTGTAAGAAAAAAAATTTGTATCAGAAAAAAACATTGAATCATAATTTCCTGTCAATATGCACTTCTACATAGTATGTCCTTATTATCTACACAGTTTCATGAAATTCTGTTGTGTGGTTTGAGAGGAGTTGTAATGACAAAAGGTTGCAGTAGTATATTGGGCAAATAAGTTCAAAGGGGCGTAACTCCTTGAAAAAAAATTGAATCGTAATTTCCTGTCGATATGCACATCTACGTAGTATGTCCTTATTATCTGAAAAGGTTTCATGAAATTCTGTTGTGTGGTTTGAGAGGAGTTGCGATGACAAAAGGTTGCAGTAGTATATTGGGCAAATAAGTTCAAAGGGGCGTAACTCCTGGAAAAAAAATTGAATCGTAATTTCCTGTCGATATGCACATCTACGTAGTATGTCCTTATTATCTGAAAAGGTTTCATGAAATTCTGTTGTGTGGTTTGAGAGGAGTTGCGATGATAAAAGGTTGCAGTAGTATATTGGGCAAATAAGTTCGAAGGGGCATAACTCCTGGAAAAAAAATTGAATCGTAATTTCCTGTCGATATGCACATCTACATAGTATGTCCTTATTATCTAAAAAGGTTTCATGAAATTCTGTTGTGTGGTTTGAGAGGAGTTGCGATGACAAACTGTTGCAGTAGTACATTAAAGTAAATAAGTTCAAAGGGGCGTAACTCCTAGAAAAAGAATTGAATCGTAATTTCCTGTCGATATGCACAACTACATAGTATGTCCTTATTATCTAAAAAGGTTTCGTGAAATTCTGTTGTGTGGTTTGAGAGGAGTTGCGATGACAAGAAACAGGACTGACGGACTGACGGACTGACGGACTGACAGACTGACGGACGGACGGACGGACGGACGGGTCAAAAACATTATAACCTCCGCAACTCGTTGCGTGGGGTATAACAAGCCATGTTCTACATGAAATAGAACATGGGGTGCACATGATTGACTCTACAATTGAAATTGCAATGTCAGTTGCATTTTGAACAAAGAGGGAGATCAAAATGCATGGCTTTGTTGGTAATCGCTCCATAGGAAATTATATAAAATCATTCTAAAAGTAACTTTACATGTATTTGTTTATTTTTTTAATTGTGAAATAGGTTTTCTACAAGGTTTTGGCTTCATCATATTAAAATGGTTGCCTTTCAAACATGTCTTATTTGAAGGTCTGCTTAGAAGTACAAAAGTTATAAATTTTCCTATTAGAATCGAAATAATTCTATAATGCCATGCTCTATGCTCATTTTAACATGGGCAGGCATTATATCTATCACCAATGTACAGGATATTGACAAATATAATACCTACTCAAGTTAAAATAGCCTTTGTTTCAGTAAAGTAAAATTGTATGTGTAATGTTTACACCTAATGCCAAACATTTAAGGGGTAACATCAGGATATCACTAAAAACATTTATTTAATAAAAGGAGATTGTAAAATTTGATTTTTTTAAAACTAAACAAACTTATAGCTTATAAATGAAATGTAAAAGACAAAGCCAAAATCAAATGAGTATGTGAGGTATATGTGAATGAGACAGAAACCTAACAAAGAAATAGAATAAAACCACAAGAGACAATAGCCAGTCATACAGAAAAACTAAAAATTATAATTTCAGACAAAATCTCACCTTTGTCACACAAGTGGAATTTGAAAATTTAACTACTCCAGAGTTTTCTGTATCCTCGACACTGAATGTCATATCTTGTGTTATATCTTGATGTTCTCCTTTAATGGTACCTATCACTGTATCAATCGTAGAGTTTTCAGAAACAGATGGTTTATTGTTATCAAATGATACAGCACCACCAACAGAGGTCAAGGTTAAAGTTATCACTGTCTCTCCAATAACTGTTATACTGAAGAGCCTTTCAGTCTATAATAAAATATATAAATATTATATTTATCAATTGTAACCTCACCATGCAAGTCCTGTCTTTAGAAAGGTAAGGTGCCATTTTCAGTTTGCTTGATTTTCATATGATGAAGACATAATCTTTCAATCAGTTTAATTGAGGTTTGGAGCTGGCATGTCAGTAACTGCTAGTAGTCCTTTGTTAATTTATGTATCATTGTCATTTTGCTTAGTTTCTTTTGTTACCTATTCTGACATCAGACTCTGACTTCTTTTAAACTGAGTTTTACTGTGTGTATTGATGTGTGTTTGTTTTTTCTACATTGGCTCGAGGTATAGGGGGAGGATTGAGATCTTACTAAACATGTTTAACCCCGCCACATGTTTGCGTCCTGTCCCAAGTCAGGAGCCTCTGGCCTTTGTTAGTCTTGTATGTTTTTTAATTTTAGTTCATTTATATGTTTTGGAGTTTAGTATGACGTCCATTTTCACTGAACTAGTACACAATTTTATTTAGGGGCCAGCTGAAGCATGCCTCCGGGTGCAGGATTTTCTCGCTGTGTTGAAGACCCATTGGTGGCCTTCGGCTGATTTCTGCTCTTCAGTCGGGTTGTTGTCTCTTTGACACATTCCACATTTCCATTCTCCATTTTATTTGGCAATGATAAACCTCTGCATCAAGTCTTGGTTATTTTTCTATTGCAAATGCGATGACTTAAAAATTTGACTAAGAAATACAGTCAAACCTATATAAAGCAGTCACTCATGTGAATTATCAAAAATGACCACTTAAGAGAGGTGACCTTTTAAAAGATGTTCCTAAAAAAGTCTGATTCCTACATTGCCATTGGCCGGGATTGGGGTAAACTGTTTTAGTGTTTTCAATCAGTAAAGTTATGGTTCTTGCATCAATGAAATAAAAAAAGGTGGATTCCGGCACTGTAAATTTGAAGAAAACATTCAAAGCATGTAAATATTCATGGAAATAAATAGGTTATACGGTTTTCAATGGAAATAAAAAAAGAGTGGAACCTGTGGAATCCACAAATTCACCTCCTTTTGCACAATCCCGGTTGCAATCTTGGTTGCAATCCGACTTTCATTTTGAATTCGTTACTAAACACAAATATTGTGATTATTTTGGTAGTTAAATAAATTAAAATGACCGTTGTTAAAAGTTAAAATGACGATTTTGTGAAAACATTTGGTGACTGTTAGTGTTAACTGTACTAGACAGGTAACCTCCGAAAAGAGTTAAATTATATAGAGAAAACATTTGGGAGGGTCTGAAAGTGACAGTTAGAGGCAGGCAACCGCTGAAACTAGGTGACTGTTAAGGCAGGTTTTACTGTATTGGACTGCCAAAAATATTACTTTTCTATATTTAAAGATATTAAAGCTTTCATGCTTAAAAGTTAATACTTCTGTATTTTCTTACAGATTTTTCAGGATTTCCATTATCAGTAATTTTAGCCTTTATAACATAAACTCTTGATGGATCCAATGCTTCATCTGTTGCCTTGGTGACCACCCCAGTTGAACTAACAGAGAAAAGTCCTCCATTGTCATCAACCAATGAGATAGTGTGTGTCTGGTCTTTGTCCTCATCCTCAAATGTTAAATCTCCAATCACTGTACCAGCTGTGGCACTCTCCTCTACTTTATATGCTAAAATGAAAAGTTTGTGACGTGTTACCATATACCATCATTATCTAATTCTACAACCAATTTATTTATGTTACATTCTGTATTTCTAAATTTACAGTAAGTAGACCTTATCACTTTTTGGGAATCTGCAACACTTAACCTGATATTTGTCAATAGTTGAACTATTGATATCAGACAAAAACCAATGTTGCTATTGTGACATCAAACATTTTTTCTTGTGACATAAATTTTATACAGGAACTAAGAATGGCAAAAAATCAGCAATAATGCCTATGTTGTGCTTTTTCTCAACTGAGTTTTCTTGGTAATTCTTCTCAAAACCTTTTTTATTCCACATCAGTTGATACTTGTAGAAAATTGTAAATAAAAAAATCTTAAATATAAAGTTTGAAAATTCAAATCAATGTATATTCTAATAAAAGATAATAATACACACCACTCAACTGTAAGTTCCTTGGAATATCATTTGTATTTATCAGTTCTATAGCCAATAAAAATGTTTTGCTCTTGACTGGTACTAAGCCTGTATCTGTTACTAGGATCTCCACATTATACTGACTGGTAGATTCATAATTTAATTTACACAAATCTCCTCCCATGGAAAGACAGTTTGCATTACTTTGGGCAACCTGTTGAAAAGAGATTTTGTCTTCTATGATACCTACAGTACCACTCTCTACTCAATTACTAATCATCTTCAACTGATTACCGTAATCGGGCTTGTATAGTTCGCACCCCCTTCTCGCCACGAAATTTCAGGTAAAATACTTTTTTGTAACTGTTAGAAAATGTCAAATGAAACTCCTGTAATTTCAAATCGTGTGCGGTCGTTTGCGGTATTTTCATGGATTTTCCATCATCAAAAAGAAGTTGAAACTGCTTGTAAATGATTCTAGAACACTTCACGATTGTTAAAATAAGTAACAAGAGTGCACACGCTGAAATGTCTCGCCTTCTTTACTAATCATTGATATTATGTTGATAGTCCTAAATATAAAGCTTATTACAACTGTCACATAAACTTAACATTAACCAAGTAAAACTAAACATTGACCAATGAACCATGAAAATGAGGTCAAGGTCAGATGAACCATGCTGGGCAGGCATGTACAGCTAACAATTCTTCCATACAACAAATATAGTTGACCTATTGCTTATAGTTTAAGAAAAACAGACCAAAACACAAAAACTTAACACTGAGCAATGAACCTTGAAAATGAGGTCAAGGTCAAATAAAACCTGCGTGACTGACAAATAGATCATAAAATATTTCCATGCACCAAATATAGTTGAACTATTGCATATAGTATTAGAAAAAAAGAACAAAACTAAAAAAACTTAACTTTGACCACTGAACCATGAAAATGAGGTCAAGGTCAGATGACACCTGCCCGCTAGACATGTACACCTTACAATCATTCCATACACCAAATATAGTAGACCTATGGCATACAGTATAAGAAAAACAGACCAAAACACAAAAACTTAACTATAACCACTGAACCATGAAAATGAGGTCAAGGTCAGATGACACCTGCCAGTTGGACATGTACACCTTACAGTCCTTCCATACACCGAATATACTAGACCTATTGCTTATAGTATCTGAGATATGGACTTGACCACCAAAACTTAACCTTGTTCACTGATCCATGAAATGAGGTCGAGGTCAAGTGAAAACTGTCTGACGAGCATGAGAACCTTGCAAGGTACGCACATACCAAATATAGTTGAACTATTGCATATAGTATTAGAAAAAAAGACCAAAACTCAAAAACTTAACTTTGACCACTGAACCATGAAAATGAGGTCAAGGTCAGATGACACCTGCCCGCTAGACATGTACACCTTACAATCATTCCATACACCAAATATAGTAGACCTATGGCATACAGTATAAGAAAAACAGACTAAAACACAAAAACTTAACTATAACCACTGAACCATGAAAATGAGGTCAAGGTCAGATGACACCTGCCAGTTGGACATGTACACCTTACAGTCCTTCCATACACCGAATATACTAGACCTATTGCTTATAGTATCTGAGATATGGACTTGACCACCAAAACTTAACCTTGTTCACTGATCCATGAAATGAGGTCGAGGTCAAGTGAAAACTGTCTGACGGGCATGAGGACCTTGCAAGGTACGCACATACCAAATATAGTTATCCTATTACTTATAATAAGAGAGAATCTAACATTACAAAAAATCTTAACTTTTTTTTCAAGTAGTCACTGAACCATGAAAATGAGGTCAAGGACATTGGACATGTGACTGACGGAAACTTCGTAACATGAGGCATCCATATACAAAGTATGAAGCATCCAGACCTTCCACCTTCTAAAATATAAAGCTTTTAAGAAGTTAGCTAACGCCGCCGCCGCCGTAGCCGCCGCCGCCGCCGCCGCCGCCGCCGGATCACTATCCCTATGTCGAGCTTTCTGCGACAAAAGTCGCAGGCTCGACAAAAATCACACAAAAAACAGTTTAGAAACTTGTGTATGTTCAAACCGGAAGTTTGAGTAGCACGTGTAAAAGAAAATAAAAACAGTGAGAGTATACGGAAAATTCGTACTGAATAGATATCATTAGAATACAACTTTGAAAGTTAAACTGTTCTATCACATTAATGTTTGAAGGATCTTAAGCTAATACAAAACACATGCGTCAGTATGAAACACCAAAACGGAACGAAAAACCAATTACGTTTTGTAGTTTAAGCATTGTCAACTGGTTTACGGTCGACTTTTATACTATTTTCGTTCCATTGGATTCAAGCAGATTCCAGTTTATTTTAAGCAATGCAGTGTAAAGAAACGAAAAATTTGTAATGAAGCATTTAATTTTTAAATTTATCAGTATTAATTTGATATTGAATAAAAATAACATATTAATATGGATTAGGTAAAATTATTAGTTTTGAAAATGATAAGAGCGCCCTCTACAATATCAATAACAAACATGGCGGAATGTAAACAAACCAACTCGCGAAATCGAGTTTTTTCTCTTATTTCTTGCTTATCGTACTCTATAGTTCTCATCCTTGTCTGGCAGGTCCAATTTTTGAGAATAAAACCGTGGACTATACAAGCCTTTATTCGGTATATTCTTTAAGAAATGTCATATAATTTTTCCCAATCATTTGGGTCATATAATAATAACAAGTCCAAATTTCCTCTCACAAAGGTAACTTGCTAATTTATATGATTCAAGTATGTCAATTACAGAAATTTAGCTTCTAAGATTAAACAAACCTGCTTTTGTTTTAATATGAAGCAGCAGTTTAATAATTTCAGTTTTCCTTTTAGTAAATTTCAAGTAAAAAATTATCTGCCTTGTCAAGCTGAAAATTTGTTTAGTATGAATTATCTTACCTTTATCTGACCATTTTCTATTTTAAATCTGCTGTCTGCACTGTTAACTAATATAAACTTAAAGGTCTGAGTTGTCTCCACGACATTGTCTGGGTCTTCAACCAATAGATTTCCAATGACTGTGTCCCTGTCACTGTTCTCTGCTACCTAAAAATTAAAACAAAATGAACTTGTACCAGAAATTATCCATGACTGTGTCCCTCTCCCTGTTTTTTCTGCTATATAAAAATTTTTAAAAATTGAAATGAAACAAGTAAATAACATAAAAATATGAAACCATCAATAATCTTTCCTGTCTGAAAATTAATATTTTAATTATTCTTTTACAAAGAAGCAAGCACCATCAAAACCTCATTCCTTCCTGGTTTGTGTTTGTTTAGATCTGAACTCTTAACACTAACCTGACAAGAATTATTCATAAATTAATTGTAGGTCAAGGTATTTGTATCTAAATTTAAATTTAAATAAGGGTTGAGATTTTTAATTGAAATAAATACATAGACAAACCTGTCAACTTCTGAAAGTGGTAATGAATGTCATGACATGCATTCAATAAAAAAATATCAGGTCATAACACATACAATTTTTTTTTTCATCCTCACTTAAAAGAGTACGTTTCATTGTATTATCTAATAATTTGAAAATATCTCACATGGCATACTTTTGCCACATTGTTGCAACATACTATTATGAATAATCTAATAATTCATTAAATAACTAATTCAAACCCCTTCTGTATTATGACGATTTCAGATTTATTGATCAGAAGTTTCATACTGTTGAGTTGTGATACAGTTGAGGGTTTCTGTTTAGATAGTTATAGTTAAGAGTTGTTCCCCTTATTGTTTGTAGGAATAAATATAAAATCAAAGTTTTTAGAGATCCATGACAGTTTTAATTTAAACAGGACCTGAGGGGTGTAAAAAGTGTTATGTCATTTATGAATACTGGTGGAGAATATATTCTTTTAACTAGAATACAGATGAAAACAGGTCAGATACTGAAATCCCAGGTGATCTCGGGTAAATTTACAGGTCACATCTGCAAAATACAGGTCAGATGACAAGTATGGGAAGATAATTCAGGTCACTATACCTCATTGTTATCCAGTGTTACCGATAGTATACTTCATTGTTATCCAGTTACCGATAGTATACTTCATTGGTATCCAGTGTTACCGATAGTATACCTCATTGGTGTCCGGTGTTACCGATAGTATACCTCATTGTTATCCAGTGTTACAGATAGTATACCTCATTGTTATCCAGTGTTACCGATGGTATACCTTATTGGTATCAGGTGTTACCGATAGTATACCTCATTGCTATCCAGTGTTACCGATAGTATACCTCATTGTTATCCTGTGTTACCGATAGTATATCTCATTGTTATCCAGTGTTACCTAGGTATACCTCATTGTTATCCAGTGTTACGATAGTATACCTCATTGTTATCCAGTGTTACTGAGAGTATATCTCATTGTTATTGAGTGTTACCGATAGTATACCTCATTGTTATCCAGTGTTACTGATAGTATATCTCATTGTTATGTTACTGATAGTATATCTCATTGTTATCGAGTGTTACCGATAGTATACCGTGTTACCGATAGTATACCTCATTGTTATCCAGTGTTACTGATAGTATACCTCATTGTTATCCAGTGTTACTGATAGTATACCTCATTGTTATCGAGTGTTACGGATAGTATACCTCATTGTTATCCAGTGTTACGGATAGTATACCTCATTGTTATCCAGTGTTACTGATAGTATATCTCATTGTTATCCATTGTTATCCAGTGTTACGGATAGTATACCTCATTGTTATCCAGTGTTACTGATAGTATATCTCATTGTTATCCAGTGTTAGCGATAGTATACCTCATTGTTATCCAGTGTTACCGATAGTATACCTCATTGTTATCCAGTGTTACCGATAGTATACCTCATTGTTATCCAGTGTTACTGATAGTATACCTCATTGTTATCCAGTGTTACCTCATTGTTATCCAGTGTTACTGATAGTATACCTCATTGTTATCCAGTGTTATTGATAGTATACCTCTTTGTTATCCAGTGTTACCGATAGTATACCGTGTTACCAATAGTTTACCTCATTGTTATCCAGTGTTACTGATAGTATACCTCATTGTTATCCAGTGTTACCTCATTGTTATCCAGTGTTACTGATAGTATACCTCATTGTTATCCAGTGTTACCGATAGTATACCTCATTGTTATCCAGTGTTACTGATAGTATACCTCATTGTTATCCAGTGTTACTGATAGTATGCCTCATTGTTATCCAGTGTTACCTCATTGTTATCCAGTGTTACTGATAGTATACCTTATTGTTATCCAGTGTTATTGATAGTATACCTCATTGTTATCCAGTGTTACTGATAGTATACTGTGTTACCAATAGTATACCTCATTGTTATCCAGTGTTACTGATAGTATACCTCATTGTTATCCAGTGTTACTGATAGTATACCTCATTGTTATCCAGTGTTACTGATAGTATACCTCATTGTTATCCAGTGTTAACGATAGTATACCTCATTGTTATCCAGTGTTACTGATAGTATACCTCATTGTTATCCAGTGTTATTGATAGTATACCTCTTTGTTATCCAGTGTTACCGATAGTATACCGTGTTACCAATAGTATACCTCATTGTTATCCAGTGTTACTTCATTGTTATCCAGTGTTACTGATAGTATACCTCATTGTTATCCAGTGTTACTGATAGTATACCTCATTGTTATCCAGTGTTACCGATAGTATACCTCATTGTTATCCAGTGTTACTGATAGTATCTCTTCATTCATGTTGTTGACTGTAACAGTAACATTCTTTACAAAGTCTTTCCTGGGTTCACCAGAATCTTCTACTTTTACAGAGATGGGATATTCAGTCTGGCTTTCATAATCTACCACTGCATCAGCTTTTACCTTCAATAAAATAAAATACATTTAATCAGTAGAATTGTCTTTTTTCTAAATATTTTAAACAGGGAGCCTGCATTTTTTCAATAAAATAACAAAATTTGTCACCAACAGTTCCCTCAAAGATTTGTTGCAATGGTTCTTTACGTGCAAAGAGCATGGCACTCCCCATACAGGTAACCAAAAATATTATGGTATTCTTTTCAAAACCAGATTGTCCTTTTTCAAAAAGTATTTCTTTGACTTTTAAAAATTAACTTACCCTCAGCATGTTTCCTTGAAGCTCAAAAACACTGCTTTTATCTACCAAACTAAAGGTGTGAGTCTGTCCTTCATCTGGGTCAAGTGCAGATAACTCTGCTACATCAACATCACCTGTGTTCTCATCAATTCTAAGACTGGTACCTTCTGAACCCCCAAACAAAATATCCTGAAGGAATAAAAAATTACTTGAGCATTTCTTTAAATTCTAAATATGCTATGTTAGATTGCTGTTTGTCATTATAACATAATACAATTAGTGCTATTTAAAAACATGTTGTACAGGAATCTGGCAAGTAACACATTTTACAATGTGAGCAGTGAGTGCTCAAATCACTTTAAACGAGTGAATACAAATAGTTTTTAATTAATTTGCTTTTGGTGTTTGATGTGAAAAAAGTGCCTTCCAACCACTTCATACCCGTCCTACCAATAATTGTCCAAGCTTACAGATGTATGTAGCTGATTGCCAAATAAAACAGAAATTGTGTTCAATTTGTGCCTTTAATGAAATCACTTTAAGCTTAATTGATATTAATTTAACAAGAGAGAAGAGAGAAAAACACCTAACAGGACAACAAAAATTAATCAATAGAATTTTGTGTTGTGTAATACCTGTGGAGGATCATTGACATCTATTACATTAATTGTATACTGCTGTTCTATCAGAGAACCTTGCTCATCCTGTACATTGATGGACACTGTATACACAGACCTCTCCAAAAACTTCAAATATCCCAGTGTAACCAGATCTGCTGTACATGTGGTACCTCCTATAGCCTGTTTGTCAAACAAATAAAAGTTCAATAAGATATTACAACTATCAGTATGTTTTTATTTAAATTCAATATGTTGAACAATAAAAATTTACTTGGGTTTCATTCTATAATACAGAATTTGTTTTCATAACTGGTATAATTCCCTTTACTAAAAAATTTTGTATACCGACAACAAAACATGATTTGTTCTTTAAAAAAAACACCTACAAAAATCTGTATTGATAGCATGATCAAAGAAATTATAAAAATTACTGTTAAAGATCAAATACGAAAAAAATCTCTGAGATTTCAATTCAATAAATATAAAGACAATATTTGGACCCTAAATTTTTGTCGGGCTGGTTTCTCATTGACATACACCTAAAATCTCATTTTATTCCTATTTTGCACACCATTGTGCAAAAAAGTTAATCATTAGCCGTGGCTACCTTAGCTAGATTCCTTTAGAAGCAAGCAACATTTTGACCCTGCTTTCAAAATTATGTGCCATTTTTGTTTCTTTGTTCAAGTTAAAGGTTTCAAGTTTGAAGCTGCAGTGACAGTTTTTTTTTATTCTGTGGTCTAAATAGGCAAAGGGGATTTGCATGCATGTAACACTAGTTTAATCCAAGTCTGTGCCATTACCAAGTCACACTATCTTTACCACGCCTTGTTGATTATTTTGTTTGTGTCTGGTTGTACATCTATTTTCTTTTGTCACATCTTACATTTGATAACTTGAACTCTTGACCCTTGTAAAGCATACTTGTTTTTCACAGCTGATATTTGATAATGTGAACTCTTGACCATTGTAAAACATACTTGTTTATCACAGCTGACATTTGATAGTGAGAACTCTTGACTGATACTAGATATTTTCAAGGTTAAAACATCATTGTTGTCTGGGTCTGTTGCTGTTATTTGACCAATAACTGTTGCTACAGGTGACAATTCTGGTACAGACAGGGTTGTTTCCCCTTCAAATGATGGACTTTCATTTCTATCCAGAACCTCAATTGTGACTGTGGTATTACTCTGAAATTATTTTTGAAAAAAATAAATAAAAGTGACTGATAGTTTTTTAAGTGATGTATAGTTTTTTTAATATCTTACATACCCTTCTGTATGAAATATAGTTTTATAATCATTAGAATCATCTTCCATCTGATGAAAAGATTCCAATTAGAATGAAGCAGCAGCAATATGTTGTCAAGTTGTTTGAAGATTTAAAGGAATACAAAACGCAACAACAATTTTATTTTAATGTAATTTGTTTAACAAATGTATACAAACCATTGACATTAAGGAAATTGCAAAATTGTAATTGATGTTTTGTGAGCATGGATTGACAATTTGATGGTCCCAAATTGAATTTACTGACATTATAGGGATAAAATTGGTCTCCAACAAAAAATTTGAATATGGCATTCCCGGAAGTCAAAATACGGTAAAAAAGAAAAAATGATGGAAAAAACCATGAACTCAAAAAGCGGAAAATCCCTGGATCTGTGCAAAACTTTCATCACTGTGACAACTCAGCAGCAGAGCTAGATATTTACAACTGTCAAATCAAACTTTGCAATCAAATAACTAAAAGAAAACAGTATATTGCTTGCATCTACTTCATTTGAACTTTGTTGGATAGCTGTATTGGCAATCATACCACATCTCCTTATTCTTATATTGCATACAGAATTTCAGCCCTGATATCCTGGAATTGTGACATTATCCAATCAAATTAAATGTTACAGTGTTGCATTAGATGTCTTTTTTTTCCAAATACTTGTAGTCTGCAGTAATGCTTTACTCTGGCAATCTACATCATGAGTGATGACATATATTTTAACCTATCTGTCAACTGAATATAAACAAACAAGAAATAAATAATGTTGTAAAACATACACTTGTTGAAGGAATTCCATCATCTGTAGCCTCAATAGATACATAGTACTTGTCTTGATTTTCATGGTCCAGTGACTGCTTAGCAACCAAGGTTTTACCATCCTTCAAATAAAATACTTCAGTATTGTCTAGAAGTACCAGTCTGATATTTTGTCCTCGATCCTGGTCTGTTACTTTCAATATTCCTGCAAATCAGTGAAAAAAAAATGCTTAATAAAAAAAAGTTGTTCAAATAAAAAACACAAAATAAACAAGAGTGCACATGTGCATACTTAGATATCTCACCTGCTTTACTAATAATGATTGAATATTATATTTAAAAGTCTTTAAGATAAAGTTTTAACTATAGATACTACATAAACTTAACATTATCAGGATCCATGAAAATGAGGTCATGGTCATATAAACCTACCAGAGTGATATGTACACATAACATAATTCCATTCACCAAAATATAGCTGACCCAATGCTTATAGTGTCTCAAAAACAGGTGTAATCACAAAATTTAACATTGACCAATGAACCATTAGAATGAGGTCAACGACAGATGAACCCTACCCGACGGACATTATACCTAACAATAATTCAATAAAACAAAATGGTTGACCTAATCATGGCTAGTTTCCAACCCCATTTAATTTAAATATTGCAAATTTAATCTAAATATTGCAAATGGTGATTTATTTTGCAATTAATCATTATGAAATCAGTATTATACCATTTATCAGATTACAACTAATATTGTATAATCAATTAAAGTGGATTCATCAATTTTCATGGATAGAGGAAAAAATATACTTTTGTGGATATTTGACATCTTGGTTTTGCCAAAATCTCCATAAAAGCCAATAGAAAATGTGTACTTTGTTTAACATTTGTATTTTTGGTTAACATATAACAGGAAATCTACGGAAGTTGGTATCCCAAAAATAAAAATAAATACACAGTATCATTATTCTACCAAGTGAAAAGTTTGGTTAGATACTACAAGCTGCAAAAACATTTCCCTCTTTGTATGATTCATAACGAAAATATTGTTACACTTTTCATACTATATAAATCTTTAATTTCAGTTATTTAAACCCACTAAATGAAAAATGCTTAATTAATGTGGTGTATCCAAAGTACTTTATTGGATTTACATTCATCAGGAGCATTCAACCAAAAAATTTGAAAGCCAAGAATGTAAAAATACTTGAAAGACTTGAAGAAATTGTGTAAGACCAAAAAGGACCTGGCATTCATACCACATCTTCTTATTCATACCAACTGACATATCTCTAAATTATTATCATATACGGACCTACCAATTTCAAAATCTGCATCAGCATTTTCTGGGACAGTATTTCCTACAATATCAATAACAGGTGGATCGTTGACATCTTTTACTGAGATAGCCATGACCTTTTCCAAGGTCAAAGGAGGTGTACCATCATCTGTCACTTTAACCTTTATATTCACAACTTTGTCTTGTTCGTAATCTAGAATACACGGTTTGTTGTTACACATTTCAGATGATTTCTTTACCTAGAGAGACAAGTATAAAGCAAATTGTATAAGATTAGAAATATATTTTCAGATTTTAATCATCTGTTTCAAGAAACTTTTTCTGAAAGCTTATTAATGCGAAAGTAGCATAGTCATTTGTGGAGTAGCATTTAGTGATTTAGGCATCTATTCAGAGGGAAAGGCACATTAAGTCTATTTAAAGACCAAAATTCTACAACAAGAAATTCATTTAGAAATTGGTCTAGAGGTTTACATCATGTATACTGTAAATTCAGAAATTATTGCATGCATTTATTATTCCAATTTTTGAAAAATTAACAAAAATGCGTGTTTAACAAGTGAAACTGCGAGCTACTGCTCACTGATGATACCCCCAGCCCAAATATTTGACAGTAAACAGGAAGTTGTTGAGTGATGAATATGAAAACGCTTCACACGGTATAGACTTATATAAACACTGAAACCAAATTTCAGAAATCCTTGTAATGTAGTTCCTGAGAAAAATGTGACGAAAATTTTCAACTTGGATGTGTTGTGTAAAATGATGTAAGTGTTCGGTAAACAGGAAGTTGTTGAGTGATCAATCTGAAAACGCATCACACGATATAGCTGACTTATATAAACCCTGAAACCAAATTTCAGAAATCCTTGTATTGTAGTTCCTGAGAAAGATGTGACGAAAAATTTTCATGGCACGGATGGACGGACTGACAGATGGATGGATGGGCAGACGGATGGATGGATGGACGGACAGACAGAGGTAAAACAGTATACCCAACTTCTTTAAAGCGGGGGTATAATTATTGCGATTTTAGGAAAAGCAACATACAGATATATGTATTTGATATCAGAATGCGAGTTCTTATTATTGCGACACTCAAGTAGTCGTATTATTCGCATTAATAAAAACCTCGCAACTATTTCTGAATTTACAGTATACTTTTTCATATATGCAATACTTGTAAAATAAATATATAAACATAAATTTCATTCATTACTTCATTGTCTAAATAAATTTTTCAGATTGAAAGTTGAATGATTACATCACATTTGATATGTTTGATGTTCAAATCATGTGGTATGCACTGAAACCCTGGTTTTCTCCTTATAACTGGTTGATACACCGTTGATGGCAATGACTGCTTGTAACCAACATCTAAATGGTTGACATTAAAGTCAACTAGTTCTGTTGGGCATGTTTTAAGTTCTGATTTGTCCCTTCTGATTTGGCCTCTGTCTTACCTATTATAGTCTGTTTTAGGTATTTATGCAGGTTAAACTGTAGACCTTAAAATTTTTTTCTGCAATGAATTCTATGGCATTTTTGTAGATGGGTGTGAATATGTCAGCCATGACATCCGACAACTTGGTTAGCAGTTGACGATATATATAAATAATTTACGCTGCCGCCATACTGTAATCCCCATGTCTCGCATTCTTACTATTTTTTCATCTCAGGCAAGACAAAAATAGTATCCCATTACAATGATAGGCTTTTTAAAATAAAGTCCTATACTTGCTTGAACTTTTGATATTTTCATCATCAAGACAAGACATATTACATGCACTGCATGGAAGTATCTGTTTCATTTATTTTCTATCATATTTTGTTGTAACATCATTAAACAAGGTCTTCTTTCAATGATTTAGCTTTAGCCAATACCAAGTTATTAGACTATGTTCATCATAAAACTGACATTTTTCAAAGATTTTATTAGAACTCAAATTTCCTTAAATTTTAAATCATTGCTGTGTTAATTATGGTAAGCTCACTACCACATCAATATTAATACTTAATGAAAGAACCTTAGTGAGCGCGCTCACATACCCCACGTCCCCACATTGTCATTGGAGAAATAAAATAAGTGTAAGAAAAAAAAATTGTATCAGAAAAAAAAATTGAATCATAATTTCCTGTCAATATGCACATCTACATAGTATGTCCTTATTATCTACACAGTTTCATGAAATTCTGTTGTGTGGTTTGAGAGGAGTTGCGATGACAAAAGGTTGCAGTAGTATATTGGGCAAATAAGTTCAAAGGGGCGTAACTCCTGGAGAAAAAATTGAATCGTAATTTCCTGTCGATATGCACATCTACATAGTATGTCCTTATTATCTACACAGTTTCATGAAATTCTGTTGTGTGGTTTGAGAGGAGTTGCGATGACAAAAGGTTGCAGTAGTATATTGGGCAAATAAGTTCAAAGGGGCGTAACTCCTGGAAAAAAAATTGAATCGTAATTTCCTGTCGATATGCACATCTACGTAGTATGTCCTTATTATCTGAAAAGGTTTCATGAAATTCTGTGGTGTGGTTTGAGAGGAGTTGCGATGACAAAAGGTTGCAGTAGTACATTAAAGTAAACAAGTTCAAAGGGGTGTAACTCCTAGAAAAAGAATTGAATCGTAAATTCCTGTCTATATTCACAACTACATAGTATGTCCTTATTATCTAAAAAGGTTTCGTGAAATTCTGTTGTGTGGTTTGAGAGGAGTTGCGATGACAAGAAACAGGACTGACGGACTGACAGACGGACAGACAGACAGACGGACAGAAAGACGGACGGACGGGTCAAAAACATTATACCCTCCGCAACTTGTTGCGTGGGGTATAATTATGCTGATTATTGTCAATAGAAAGTAACTGGACCTACTCTACAAAAAGATAGACATTTATATTATGTGTGACAATAACTCGTTTGTTTTTTAAGCCTAATAATCAGGCTGGATATTTATTGTATCGTGATAAAAAATTGGTTTTTAAAACACATGTGAGCTATTGTGTTTAGAGACCTCTTTATGTCAGTTTTCTCTATATTATTTATCAAGTTTGTTTTGTGAGGAGAAAAGTTATTTACAATTTATAAGGTCAATTGTTTGCTTTAAAAGACATACCTTGCACTTCTAGGTTTACTTCTTATTCTTCCTATATATCTGTGGTTATCTGTGACACACATATTACAGTCAATTATATCATGATGGCTTCCTTAAAATTATTAGGAGATAAGTATAACATTAAGAAACCTTGCTTCCTTCCTTGATGTTTACCTGTAAAGTATTTCCTTTGATTTCAAACCTGCCTTGCCCATCGTCAATCAGCTGATAAGTAAAGGTTTGTATGATCTGTCCAGAATTATCAGGATCAACAGTGGTCAAGTTACCCACCAATACACCACTAACACTGTTCTCAGCCACCTAAAAAACAAAAATATTGTATTAATTTTATCACTGATGCGATACATAATCTATTCCATAGTAAGCCTCAATATAAACAGAAGTCAATGTATATATTACAAGAAAATGACTAATCCTGACATAATAAAGAGAAGCGCATCCCTGTGAATAGCATGGCTGAATGATCAGAATATTATAATGGTGCCCTACAAGCTGACTTTGAGAGAAAAGCACTTATGATTAGCACAATTTGTTGTCCAACATACATAAAATGCTACAATCAGTTACCCCCCACTTCCCAACCCATTCAATAAATTTCATTACAATCAATCAATAAATTATATATTGCTGACCAACTAGTTATGGTATTTGTGAAACTGACCTAATTGTGATCAATAATCCATGTAAATGAGGGCAAGATCACTTTAACTCAATTCAACAGTTAAATTCCAAACAGATTCTTGTAACATCTGAATAAAAATATCTACAAGTAGGAAAATAGGTTAAAGGTTAAACAGCATATATGTACCTGACTATAAGATAACTGTATGTCTAATGGTGCTTCGTTTATATCTATAATATTTATAACTATTTCTTTATCATGTGACATGGGTGGTATCCCTTTATCTGTTGTTGTCAAGGTTACAGTATAATTGTTTCCTTTTTCAAAGTCAATAACTGCAGATGTGGCTGCCTGGAAAGAAAGTAATGGTAATATAAGGATTATGTAATATAAATATCCAGGCTATGTCAGACAGTAAATCCTATTTTAACATATGTACATGTATAACTTATACAATATTTGTAGAATTGTGAAACTTAAAAAAAACTTATTTAATAGTTTTAAACCATACTGAATACTATGATGTCCACATGGCAAAATAAAATGCTCCGCTGGGGCGCAGCTTGATACAACCGCAGAAGTAGAACCCTGAACAGTTGGGGCAAGTATGGACACAACATTCAAGCTTGATACAGCACTGAATTTGGATTGTAATTAAATATTTGACACAGCATAGGTTTCTCACACAGAATGAAAGTGGTCTAAGAACTTAAAAATTTTTAATTTACCTATTCAAACCATATCATTATTATTTGCTTTTATATATAAATCAGAAATAACCAATTTAAAATGGAAAATTTTAAAGAAAAAAAAGGGGAAAAAAAAAACCCCAATTTTTTGAACCCCCTTATGATTAATCACCCCAAACTCAATCCCAGCTTTCCCTTTGTGGTATGGTACCTTGCAGTACAATTTCAGAGAGATCCATACACTTGAACACAAGTTATTGTCTGGAAACTAGAAAAATGCTTGTTTTTTGGCCCCTTTTATAGCCCCTAATTACTAAAATTTTGAGGGAATTACCCCCAAAATCAATCCCAGCCTTCACTTTGTGGTATGGAACCTTGCAGTACAATTTCAGAGAGATCCATACATTTGAACACAAGTTATTGTCTGGAAACTAGAAAAATGCTTATTTTTGGCCCCTTTTTGGCCCCTTATTCCTAAACTTTTTGGGCAATTACCCCCAAACTCAATTCCAGCTTTCCCTTTGTGATATGGAACCTTGTAGTACAATTTCATAAAGATCCATACACTTACACACAAGTAATTGTCATGAAACTAGAAAAATGCTTGTTTTTTGCCCCTTTTTGGCCCCTAATTCCTAAAATTTTGAGGCAATCACCCCCAAAATCAATCCTAGCATTCCCTTTGTGATATGGAACCTTGTGGTACAATGTCAGAGAGATCCATACACTTACACACAAGTTATGTCTGGAAGTTACAAAAATGCTTATTTTTGGCCCCTTTTTGGCCCCTAATTCCTTAACTGTGGGTACCATAACCCCCTAAATCAATCCCCACCTTCCTTTTGTGGTATTGAATCTTGTGGTAAAATTTCATTGAGATTCATTCACTTAAACTAAAGTTAGAGTGCTAAAACTAATGTGTCTTCGGACGACGACGATGACGACGACGCCAACGTCATACCAATATACGACCACAAAATTTTTTTTGCGGTCGTATAAAAATAAACACCATTCTCAAAACATGCAAGACAACCATTCAGTGGCTCATTTTTATTCATAAAAGTTGTAAGATGGAAAATCAAATCTAATATGACCTGTTTTTATAAACTTTCTGGAAGTTTCAATCTCCTTCTTTTTAGAATAAATGAAAACTTCTTACTTTCAAATAATACCTTAAATACATTGCCTTCTACAATAAACAGTCCAGATGGATCAGTTATAGAATATTCATGTTGGTCATCTTTATCTTCATCCACACTGGATAACTGACCAATCACAATGTCAAATTTATTCTCTTCTACAGAGACTACAGCGACTGATTTACTATTGATCAATATGTCCTGGAATGTAACAAAATTGTTCAGTGGTTTATATATATTATTTTGATTGGGGGTTTTAAAACTAAAATAATATCAACATAACACATATTCTGTTCCTCATATTCAACAAATTCATTCTTTTAAAAATGACGTACAATAACAGCTGTCATAAAAACAATTTACTTACACTCATGTAAGCAGACTGAATGCATCCATGAATTAAGAGATATAACTAGTGGACAACAGTGTTTCTGTGTGTGCCTTCTAGAGTGAGATGTTAATATCTTGTCAAAGATTTCCTGCTTTCTGGATGAATTCCAAACTTTTAAGAATGGACATGAATTAAATCCTCTTGCATCCCAGTATATACATGCAACATTTACTAATGAAAAATAAAACATCTTTGATTATCTGAAAACTTTAAACTAAATCAATAATAAACTTACAGAAGCTGCATCGTTGAAATCTATGACTTCCAAGGTCAAGTTGATGACCTTGGTTAAGCCTGCTTTGTCTGTTGCCTGAACAGAGAAGGTGGCAGAAGCTTCGGCCTCATAGTTAAATGGTGATTTTGTTGTCAGTAAAGCTTTGCAGTATACATTCACATCCTATAAAACAATTTTACAAATTAATTTTCTAGACCAATGAGAATTAATCTTTCTTTTATTTGGATGAATTTTTAATGTTGCTCCAACTTATTGTATACTATTTCCAGTCCTTTTGAAACTGTTTATAACATCTGTTGATTATCATACACATATTTTAAGCTACATACCACAAGAATGATTGTTGCAAAGTTTGGTTCCAAATGATTCCGTAGTTTCATAGAAGATTTTTGTAAAAGTTGAAGGAAGAATAAGACGATAACAACAGATGACCATGATGAAGGACAACTGACACCCACGTGATGGGAATAGCTCACTTAACCCTTTGGGTCAGGTTAACTTAAACAGATCATTCCACTAATATTGTTAAATGTTGTCCCTAGAAGAAAATTAATTGCACTCACAAGCTCCTGTAATATGGGACACATTTATTCTACATTAAATTTGAGTCATCTAGTACATATTAACACAACAGTTCTATAATAAAAATAGAAAAATTGAAAAATGAGAAGATTTCAAAGATAAAAATCTCAACAAAACAGAAAGAATTTTAGTAATAATTAATGACTTACTCCAACACTGGAACATGTTGTACCCTTCAAATCCAATTTACCATCTGCATTATCTAGTAAGGTCAAGGTAATCCAATCACCTTCATCATAATCTTTGACATTGATGGTACCTATCACTACATCTGTAATAAAAATACATTATCTAAGATCAAACTTGCACAAAAACACAAATTAATGTAACATTTGGACTACATTATTAATATCATGCACATATACTGTTTACAGCATAATTTTTTTCAACATTGAATGCATGGTACCAATTTACAAACTATTATCAAGGGATTCAAACAACCATTTTCATTTACCTGTGTTTAAAGTAATTGCAAATGGCTGATATTTTTGTTCGCGCATATTGTTTTTCTTAAATTGTTTAACATTCATAGCAGTATAACATGTTACTTTTATTATTCTTCCCTTAGTTTATTTATTTTATTTTGTATTTACATTGTATCATAGGTCAAATTTATTTGTTCAGTGTATGTTCACTGGTGTTAATATGTCCTTTGATTGAGTTAAGCCATTTCAGTTGATATTTTATAGTATGTCTTTCTATGTTGTGATGTTACACTATTGTTTCAGAAAAAGGGTGAAGGTTTGGTACCATTAAAATGTTTAAACTCGCTGCAATTGTTTGCACCTGTCCTAAGTCAGGAATCTGATGTTCAGTAGTTGTCGTTTGTTGATGTGGTTCATAAGTGTTTCTCGTTTCTCGTTTTTTATATAGATTAGACCGTTGGTTTTCCCGTTTGAATGGTTTTACACTAGTAATTTTTGGGGCCTTTTATAGCTTGCTGTTCAATGTGAGCCAAGGCTACGTGTTGAAGACTGTACTTTGACCTATAATGGTTTACTTTTATAAATTTTGACTTGGATGGCGAGTTGTCTCATTGGCACTCATACCACTTCTTCTTATATCTATTTAACAATTTTAGCTATTTCCAATTAAATAGAGAAAATAATTAATAGGATTTGGTGTAGATTTACACAACAAAATAATCCAAAGATATTGTTATGGAGAAAAGGAATATTATAATTTTAATTAGACATGTAGTAAAATAACAGTTTACCGTTTGCATTCTCTCGGACTTTAGGTTTATCATTTTCATATGACAACGGAGCATTTTCTGCAGTAACCTGAAGTGCATATGGAACCTCATCCATGTCCTGGATCTTGAACTTTATAGCAGATATTACCTTAAACAACAAAACTAAGAATTTTATGTTCATCTGATGAACCAGACTACAAAGCTTACTGTAAATATCAATGATCAAATTTTTGACATAATATAGGTTTCTGACACAAAATAAATGTGGTCAAAGATCTTAAAAATTTGAAATGGGACATTTAATTTACCTAGTATGGTCTGATATCCAAAATCTAACAACATGGTTAGATTCAGCATATCACACACGCTATTGCACAATACTGTGCTGTTGAACAATACTTAGTTAATCTGTTATATATAATAATTTACACACGGTTTGGTGTGTATCTCATGCCATATCAGTATCAATAACAACCCTCCCAAAAAAAAAAGTTCAAAAATTTTGAAAGAAAAAAATATGAACCCCCAAAAAAAAAATTTAAAAAAAAAATCCCCCCCCCCCCCCCTCCCAATTTATTTTGAAATTTTGAAGATTATTTTCTTTTCAGGAAAAATGTACAATTTCAGAAAGTTCCATAAACTTTAACACAAGTTATTGTCTAGAAACTAGAAAAATGCTTGTTTTTGTCCCTTTTTTTGCACCTAATTTCTAAACGTTTGGAGCAATTACCTCCAAACTCAATCCCAACCTTCCCTTTGTGATATGGAACCTTGTGGTACAATTTCAGAGAGATCCATACACTTACACACAAGTTATTGTCCGGAAACTACAAAAATGCTTGTTTTTGGCCCTTTTTCGGCCCCTAATTCCTAAACTGTTGGTACCATAACCCCCAAAATCAATCCCAACCTTCTTTTTGTGGTATTGAACCTTCTGGTAAAATTTCATAGAGATCCATTCACTTAAACTAAAGATATTGTCCGGAAACCAAATGTGTCTTTGGATGACGACGATGCTGACAACGACAACGATGCCAACTTGATAGCGTTATACGAACGCAAATTTTTTGCAGTCGTATCAAAACTATTGAACAAAAAAAATAAAATATGCATACATAAAAATTAACAACAGTTTTCATCGTTTTTCAACCATCAAACAACCTGGTATATGTTTTGATATAACACATACAATCCTGCTTCCCGGAAGTAAAATGTGAACATAGGCCATATTACCTTAACCAGAACAAAATACAAATAAATATCATTATATCATTGCTTAAGAAGAACAGTAATAAAATATATTATTGGAAATGCAAAAAAATATGAACTTGTAAAGTTCAACTTCTGTTCCCTGTAATCAGAGTTTACATATATTCCCCTGCTCCCCCTTGTACCAATACAGGCTAGTTCATGGTTTACAAAAGGAAAACACAATAAACTGTTAACACAGATATGTCTTGCCTTTTTGTAATTTTGATAATGCAAATGTTGAAATTAAAATAGCAATACTTAAACATGTAAGTTATGCAAATATTCAAAGTCGATGAACCATGACTGAAGGTACATGGCTAAACAATCTCCATGGAATGAGATGTGCCAATGCTAATACAACTGCATACCAAATACCATTGACTTATCATAAGTCATTCCCTTTAAACAAAGCTAAACACAAACATTAACTTGTAAACTATGTAAAAGTTTCAAAGTCAATGAACCATGATCAGGGGTGGGGCTAAGTAATCTCCATGGAAACGATACTTGCAAATGCCAATAAATTTTCAGACCAAATATCATTGACTTAACATTAGCAGTTCATCTTAAACTGATCTAATCACAAACTAATACATGTAAACTAAGCAAAAGTTTCAAAGTAAATAGATCATGACTGAGGGGGCAGGGCCAAATATTCTCCATGGAAATGAGATGTGCTAATGCTTATACAACTGAACACCAATTAACAATGGCCTACCACTAATGGTTCCCCTTGAACTGACCTAATCACAAACTAATACATGTTAACTTAGCAAATTTTCAAAGTCTATAGACCATGACTAAAGGGGCGGAGCCAAATAATCTCCATGGAAATGAGATATGCCAATGCTTATACAACTGCATACCAAATACCATTGACCTACCACTAGTGGTTCCCCATAAATTGACCTAATCACAAACTAATACATGTAAACTATGAAAAGTTTCAAAGTCAATAGACCTTGACTGAGGGGGCGGCGCCAAATAATCTCCATGGTAATGAGATGTGCCAATTCTAATACAACTGCATACCAAATATCATTGACCTACCACTAGTGGTTCACCATGAACTAGACCTAATCACAAACTAATAAATTGTTGATGCCGCCGCTGCCATCACCGTCGCCGTCAACAGCATACCTATGTCTCGCTTTTTGACTCCGTCAAGGCGAGACAAAAATCTGTTAGAGAATTAAATATATAAGAGTTCATTAATGCCACTAGAGCTGCTCCACAAAATACTATGTCCACCCTGGGAAGGCACTTTTTTTACCCCGACCACCCATAGAAATTTATTCACTTTTGAGAGACCTACTACAGACTTTGAATCCAAAAAAAAACACAATCTGTTGACCAATAAAAGCAGTTTAAACAAAGTCCTAAGAAATGGTCCTGATTATGTTTGTCATTTTCCATGCTTTGACTAGAGTATTGATTCTTTGGTTGAATAATAATACTAGAGGTCCATTTATTATGTGTTGTAACGTTGTACTTATACTTGAGTGTCTTGTAAATACTGTACACTGAGAATTTTCAGAATAGCCTCCTACTTACAGACAAAGGGTTTTCTCCATTATCTGTGGATTTCACTTCAATCGTAAATTCTGTTAACTTTTCTGTTTCATAGTCAAAACTTCTAGATGCTATCAGCTTCCCATCTTTAATAGCAAATACACCACTGAGGTCATTTATCAGTTCGTAGGTGTGTGACTGGTCAACATCCTCGTCTTTTGTTACAATAGCAACAAGTTCATTTCCTGAAACACACACCAATGAGTGATCAATTCAGAACAAAATTACATATATTTACTCATTCCTTAAACAAATTCAATACATATTTTTTTTTGATCTGTTTGGACCATTAAGAAAAAGGTAAAAACAAAATTCTTTACAGTTGGAATAAGTGAAAAACTGAATTTCCATCTCAGAATCTAATTCAGTAGTTGATAATGCATATGTAGGAACAACTATATGATTACCTTAAATATGTTTAGGTTGGGCACAAGAATCTAAAATTTCAGGGGCCAATAATAGGAGTAATACCACCATTGTTTTTCCCCTATTAGTCTTTGTTAAACTGGCACTTTTCAAAAAATTGTACAGAATGTACCGTTGTTTCAGATAAAGAAATACTTGGTATGAGTAAAGTTTAATCCTGTCTAGTAATACAGACAAAATTTCACATGTTATTTCATAGCATATAAGATAATAACCATCACTGGAAGTTAACCTATCAAATTTTCACCCCTTTTTTCCTGTTTACAAGCTTTAGTAACCATGTAACCTCAAGTATCCAAAATATTTTATAGAAACATCAAATAAAAAAAGAATGGTGCTTTACAACACCCAAGATATATGTTTATGACTCAGAAATATTTTTTCTGCAATGAAATGCAGGGTTAACTTCCTACAACTGTCAAATTTAAGGGAATATTTTTTTCCAATTCTTTTTCATATGAAACCGGATGTGACGTACTATGATTTGGTGGTATTGTACCTAATAGATCAAATTAAAATTAAAAAAAGAAATGTATTGTCATAATTCATGGATTACACACCTGGTTGAACCCCCTCGAGGATATCAGAAGGCTCCAGTACAACTTCTGTTGGTTTGTCATTAACATCAGATAGATGTATATTTATGTCAAAATAAGCCTTCTCTCTAGGATTACCATCATCTCTGGCCATAACTGTAACAGTCCTTTTCTTACGTTTCTCTCTGTTTAACAAACAATATGTTCCGCCTTCTGTTGGACACTTTACTTTAGAGTCTTTGGCGACCTACAAAAAGTTAGAGATGATAATGAATTTGTGGAAGATAAAGATAAACTAAGTATTAACCAGAGAATGCATGATTTCAACATGATGAAACAAAATATAAGATTCTTAAAAATTTCCAACAAATCTATGGTGTGCATGAATTATTTCTTAATTCAATTGAAATTGTTCTCAATGCAGGTTGGTCTCCTGCAACTGATTCTTGAAGGTGTGGATTGAGTGACTGTATTCCATCATTATTTTCAGTGGACAACTGCTCTCATACAATATTCTCTTACCTGTAGAGTATTTAAATTTATGAATGAGTGTGTTACCTTTAAGCATGTTTGTCCATTCTCAATGTATGTTGCAAACATCTTGTAATTAGAGTTAACAAGGAGAAAGGACAATGTTTGATTTGGGTCATCATCCACACCAGAAAAACAGCCAACCCTCGTATTAATCATACTATTCTCAGGTATTGTATCAGGAGTCAGCTGAAATGGAGGAATAAATCTAAAAAATGTCTCTTCATATCTTTTTAATCATTTAAAAGAAATACTGGTCCCCTATCTTAGCTGTAAATCTATTTAAGAATAAAATATTTTAGAACATTTCTCGAATTAAAAACACTTTTGTCATTTCATTTTTTCTCTCTCATATACTACTTCATAAATACTTATAAACAGTGGAGAAATCTGAATTGAAAAAAAATCATTGAATCCTTTAATATCCCTATCAGAAGGCAATTAACCTAACAATGGAATATATCTACCAAAATATTTACATCTTTTGAGCAAAATGTGTTTGAAGCAATAAAAAATATGTCAAGAAACTTTGAAGACTCCTTTTGATTATGACAACACAACTAATTTTCAATAAACAGCAATACATTTTCTTTAACATTATTTTGTAGAACTATTGAATAAAAAAAATACATCAAGTAAAAAACCTAATCATTATTTCACATTTACACAATTATTTTTTGTTTCAAATAATCTTTTTACTGCTTCCAAGTAAACTTAGATAACAAATTCAGATCAATTGTTTATGTTTCCATATATCTAAATGTATACATACATAAGCTGCCTTTGGAGGGTCATTTGTATTCAAAATTTCAAACTCAAATATTTTGTCAAAGAAGGCTTTGTCTAAATCCGTGGTTCTAATTGTTATACTCCACCTGGGGAAATAAAGAAATACATGACAACATTATAAAGTGTATCTTCAGGAAGTTAAATGTCATCCAATACTGTATATGATATTACTGATTGATCATAAAATATTATCCTCTATAATGTTTAGTCTGTGTGTTAAAAAAAACTATAATCCCTATCTATACTGTGTGAATAACGTGTATCTGTGTGCAAAATAATAACCAAACAATTTAATGGAAGTTTTGTGTCATGATAAAAAGTGGAATATTTCTAAGCTGTCTGTTTGACACTTTATATATACTGTGGATTCATTTATTTTTGTAGTTTAAAAAAAAATCCTATTTTGATGGTACTTTAATTTTGTACTGTTATTATTTGCTCCTATCAAAGTAACTAAACTCAAGTATCAAAACAAGAGTGCACACCCTGAAATGTCTCACCTGTTTTACTTATGATTGAATTCATGTTGAAAGTCTGTAAAGTGAATGTTTTACTACAAGTATCACATATAAACTTAACATTATCAATGATCCATGAAAATGAAGTCACTGTCAAATGTACCCTGCCAGACAGTCATATACATTTGTGACAATCAATCCATACAACAGATATAGTGGTCCTATCTATTATAATACTTGAGAAACAGATCAGACCACAAAATCTTATGAAATCTGATGAACCATGAAAATAAAGTCAAGGTCATATGAAACCTGCATGCCAGACAAACATGTACACATTACAATTATTCCATACTCCAAATATACTTGACCTTTTACTTATATTATCTGAGAAATAGACCAAACAACAAAAACTAAACATTATTCAATGAACCTTGATAATGAGGTCAAGGTCAGATGATTCCTGCCAGTCAGACATGTACACCTTACAATCATTTCATATACCAAATATAATTGTTGATGATGATGATGAAAGGCTACTTATTGTCCAGCGGCAAATTTATATGCATATTCAGGACGAGAACATGTTAATGTAATATGAATATTAACGCTGCTTTGTACTAGACCGACACGCTGAGCCGGATTTTAACGTGCTAGTTCATAAGATAACAGTCCGCTGGAAGACATATTACCACAACTGGACACTCTGAGCCGACCAGTCTTTGCTCTTACTCGTTAATGCCGTGTCTGGTTTGATCGGCAGGGGTTGAAACCAACGACCTCCGCACTCGAGGTGAAAATGCTGAACCACAAGACCACCAAGGCAGTTAAATATAGTTGATATACTGCTTATAACATCTGAGATACAGACTTGACCACGTAACTTTAACCTTGATCACGGATCCATGAAATGAGGTCTAGGTCAGGTGAACCTTACCTGACAGACATGTAGAAATTGCAATGAACCCATATACCAAATATAGTTATCCGATTACTCATAATAAGAGAGTATTTCACTTTTTAAAAAAACTAAATTTTTTTTCAGGCAGTCACTGAACCATGAAAATGAGGTCAAGGACAATGAGCATATGACTGAAGGTAATTTCGTAACATAAGGTATCTGCATACAAGGTATGAAGCATTTTAGCTTCTGAATTATAAAGCTTTATACAAATAGTTTATGTCGCCACTGCTGCTGGAGTGTGATTCCTATGGCTCTCATTCTACGACAATACTTGCAAGTGAGACAAACACTTCATGATTAAAGCCTATCCACATAAACCACTGCTGCTGGAGTGTGATTCCTATGGCTCTCATTCTACGACAATACTCGCAAGTGAGACAAACACTTCATGATTAAAGCTTATCCACATAAACCACTGCTGCTGGAGTGTGATGCCTATGGCTCTCATTCTACGACAATACTTGCAAGTCAGAAAAAAACTTCATAATTAAAGCCTATCCACATAAACCACTGCTGCTGGAGTGTGATTCCTATGGCTCTCATTCTACGACAATACTTGCAAGTGGGACAAAAACTTCATGATTAAAGCCTATCCACATAAACCACTGCTGCTGGAGTGTGATTCCTATGGCTCTCATTCTACGACAATACTTGCAAGTGAGACAAAAACTTCATGATTAAAGCCTATCCACATAAACCACTGCTGCTGGAGTGTGATTCCTATGGCTCTCATTCTACGACAATACTTGCAAGTGAGACAAAAACTTCATGATTAAAGCCTATCCACATAAACCACTGCTGCTGGAGTGTGATTCCTATGACTCTCATTCTACGACAATACTTGCAAGTGAGACAAAAACTTCATGATTAAAGCCTATCCACATAAACCGTTGACATAGAGATATGTCTTACCTGAGTAAAAAAATTTTGAAAAAAGATAATCTGATGGACAGCTACATTAAATTCGAAGTTGCTGGAGCATGACATAGGGGGACAGGGCCTCGAATAATGACTCAACAAGTATACTGAAGTAGTTTAACATCTGCAAGAAAAAGTCTTGTATTAAAAGTGGAAATAAGTGGAAAATTGCCAAATAACAACTTACTTATTTGGTTGATCTTCAAAGTTAGCCTTGACTGTAAGACAAAGTCTGTGTTCTATTATTTGGAATCTGTTAGAGACATCACTGATGATTGTATATACATGGCTATCGTAGACATCATCAACAGTTTTCATGTAAATACAGTAACCAGCATCAGTATTCTCAGGAATCTTAGTCTTAGAAATGTCTATGTTAATCTACAATTCAAAAATATATAATTTTACAACATGCATAGTCTTTTTATGTCAAATAATAAGCAAGATGATAGTAAAACTTGGTCCAAAGAAATGTTCTGTAGTTTTGTAATCCAATTCAGAAATGTTTGGTTAATACAGGTATCTCTTATTTTCTGTTCTATGCTGCTTAACATACACAATAACAATATTTATAGGATAAAGTTTCTTCTTTTTACAGCTGACGAACCAGGAGAGATCAGAAATTTGCACCCCAACCTAAAATGCTAGATCAACATCTGTTCACATACATTTTTACTCCCATGTTATGTATTCGAAATTTTTCAAAATTAATTAAAAAAATTAAAAGAGAGGTACACATAGACGTATTTACACTTGTATGCAAATTTGTCCGCCATTACGTAAAATCACACAAGTTCCTGTAAAATTTGACATCACAATTTAAAAAGTTTGATGTCACAATTAAAAAGTGATTGTTGCTTGAAGTCAGAAGGTTATTCGGAGCAGATCTAAGGTCATTAAAAGACAAAATTCAGCTAAATACCAAAAGTGTAAATATGTTTATACCTTTAAAGGTTTAAACAAGGTTGTTTAAAACATTTATAATTGGGGAATTTTAAAATTATAATTTTCTATTGAAGCAGTCTGTTCAATTCTGTAAAAATAAGCTCAAAATCATTGCTGATGAATTATAAGCTTGCAAGTCAATAATTGAACCTCATTTGAATATCATTATTAAAGGATTGCACGTTCTTTACTGTGCACTCATATTTTATATTTATGTTTCAATCAGATCAAAGGTAATCAGCATTCTTGGGAGTCCATCTTGATGGTCAATTAAATGGTGTCTAGTCTTAAATACACACAATTTGCTGATACATCATAATGAGTCCATGCCATGTTAATTGTTTCTTTTGGACTTTTTGTAATTTTGCTATACTTTTTAGTATATTGTAAATCAAATAAGAGAATTTGAGTAAAATAGGTGAATAGGAATTTGACAGCTAATATGTCTTTTTAAAAACTGAAGATTGTGTATTTTTCCAAAGAAAGTTTCACTGAAATCCAGTTAAATAAATGGAGAATGTGTCCATGGGACACAGATGATGCCCCTATTTGCATATAACATTATAAAGGGACATAACCAGAAAACCAGATAACTGTAAAAGTGACACCACCAAAATTTGAACTTGATCTGTGTTTTATGGTAGTAAGCATTGTGTATAAGCTTCATAAAATTTGGTTGAGGCAAACTAAAGTTAGAAATCGGAAATCAATTTTGGGACGTACATACGTACAGACAGACGTAAGTACAGACGGACAAGGGTAACACTTAATGCCCCATTCACCTAGCGGCGGGGGCATAAAAATCTATTGCTTTAATGCATCCTTCTGGTTTATTAAATATCTTCATAATTAAAGAAGAAAATTTGGCCACTTATAAAATTCAGGTATACTTACATCTGTTGGTGGGTTGTTAAAAGGACTACAGAAGATTTTGGGTGTGGACCATTTGGAGTCCTTTTGACAGGTGACATAATTTATATTGTCTGGTTGAGAAATTATAGTCCAATCCCCTTTGCAAACTGGTATGCATGTTGAATTGTAACTCTGCAAATAAAGAAAAGTGTACAATCAAGTTAATCTGTGAGCTACTGCTCACTAATGATATCCCCGCCCCGCTAAAAGTAGAAGGTAAACATGAAGTTGTTGAGTGATGAATCTGAAAACGCATCACACGGTACAGCTGACTCATATAAACCCTGAAACCAAATTTCAGAAATCCTTGTATTGTAGTTCCTGAGAAAAATGTGACCAAAATTTCCAAATTGGCTATCGTGTGTAAAATGATACAAGTGTTCGGTAAACAGGAAGTTGTTGAGTGATGAATCTGAAAACACATCACACAGTATAGCGCACTTATATAAACCCTGAAACTAAATTTCAGAAATCCTTGTATTGTAGTTCCTGAGAAAAATGTGACCAAAATTTTCAACTTGGTTATCATGTGTAAAATGATACAAGTGTTTCGGTAAACAGGAAGTTGTTGAGTGATGAATCTGAAAGCGCATCACACGGTATAGCGGACTTATATAAACCCTGAAACCAAATTTCAGAAATCCTTGTATTGTAGTTCCTGAGAAAAATGTGACGAAAAATATTCATGGGACGGATGGACGGACTGACGGACTGACGTATGGATGGACAGACAGAGGTAAAACAGTATACCCCCACTTTTTTTAAGGGGGGGTATAATTATTTGTTTATAACTGAGGAATGAACGTTCAATTCATTTTATGTTCAATCATAATACATGTAAATTGAGAAAATATCTTCAACAACTCATTAGCCAATAATAAATCACCACTTTTGGCAAGCCGTGTTTATATCTATTCAATTTCAAGATATCTGATGAAGTAAATGAGATATCTTATCAACTTTATAAGATATTTTATTAACTTTATAAGATGTCTTTTAAACTAAATAAGATATCTTATATAGTTTATAAGATAACTTATATCTTTTTAAAGATATATTTAAACAAGTATTTTATGAGATATCAATTATAGTTTATAAAATATCTGTAAAAGTATATAAGATATTTTATTTACTTTATTACATATCTTATTAACTTTATCAGATATCTCATAGGCAATACATGATATCTTATTTAGTAAAAGTTCAAAGTAAGATTGCAATTTCCAAATTACATGCTAACTATTTTCCCAACCTTTAATTAGTAATTTTCTTGTTTATCATTCAATATCTTGAAACGAGATGGCTTTCTATGTGAATTTTTAAAACTCTTTTGAGAATAGTTGATTTTTTACGAAATTGTCAAATACATTGCTGATAAAAACCTTTCATATAAATATCATAAATATCTGGCAAAAATTATACACGTGAGAGCCCTTACAAGACTAAAAGGATGAACATCCGGTATTTCTGTCCCCTACAAAGCCACAGGCAGGGGACAAAAATGTTACTGCTGTGTCATAATTAACAAAAGGGACAGCAAAAGTGTACTGAGTGTTTGACATTACCTTGACAGTCATCTCCTCTAAGCCTGTATTCTGTCCCTTCAAACAGTCCTAGTATAGTTAATTTACTTACATAGGTACAGGCATTAAACACAGGATATTTGCAGCTTGACAAGTAATATCTGTTAGGTGGACAGTACTGTAAGACAGGTATTGGTGGACAATAGATAGGGTTACATGAGATACCATCAGTAGCTAGGTTCATGCCCTCTGGACATCCACATACGCCTTGGTTACAGTAGTCAGGATATTTACATGGTTCATGACAATGCTGCCAATCCTATAAATAGTAACAAATACATTCGAATAACTGAAATAATGTCAAACTACCTAAATAGTGTCAGGTCAAATCAAACTTTGATAGAAAAAAAACAACAAATGATACAATAACAGAGTTCAAAATTATTCCAGAATCAATTTATTCCTTGTTTCTATTTTCTATTATAAATGAAGAAAGCTAGCTATACATAAATCATAATAAAGTTCATACTAACACTTATTTCTCAAATGGTAGTATTACGCCAATGTGCCAACATAAATAAGAACTCAATTATATACTCATATTATTATGTGAATTAATATAACAGAAAGAATTAATTTAATAATCAATCCTTTAAAATTAAATTGGTCAATGATTATTTGAACTGGTTAACTCCTTTATGTCATTAAGTTTCTCAACATTGATAAAATCTTTCTAGGTAACAGATGTAGTTTGTAGTAATTATACATATATCTTTATCTATTATTATTATTTTAAACCAAATACAGTGTACAGCCTTTTTAATGTATTTCAACTTTTTAATTTTAAAAACAAATAATAAAAATAGTAAAATTCATACTAAGCAATTCAGCTTTGAAGAAAAAAAATAATTTTAGCAAAAAATATTGTGTGTACATTCTTACAATACATAAGCCAGTGCTCAAATTATTTTCATATTTTTGAAGGTCACTGAGACAAAGTTTTGTAGAGGTTTAATAAACAATATTTTCATCATGATAATGTGTATCTTTGATTTGATATTTAACTGACCCCTTAATATATAATTTTTGTTCAATACTAATTAACACCACATAAAATAAAAAGTATATATATTGTCTAAGAATGGATTTATAAGTGCTTATTTAAAACATCAATATGTAACACTCTCTACCTTTTTCTACAGACATCAATATACCTTTATTAAGTTCCTATTTGTCACATCTCAATAATACATAAAGTAAACTTTATAAATGCAATTTCTTAAAAGTACGTGAATTATTTTTTAATAGACACCTTCATACAATTATCCGGTCTAGTAAACAAGGCGGTGTCTGATCCTAAATAATTCTGAGGAATATATATTTTGTTTAATGAATTATTTCCCAGATGTTACCAAATAAGAAAGGACCTCTGGTACCCTCTATCCAGCAGGACAATCAATTGGAAGTTAAAAAGTGCCAATAAGAATTAGTATGTTTTCAAGGATATGAATGTAATAATTTTGTTTTTCATGCTAAACATGACATAGCAGGTTTCATGTGATAAAAAATAAATAGTTATTGCAATATATCATTGGCAAGATGAAATGATTGGGGTTACTTTGTATACACATCACTACATGTACTTTTAAAATGTGTATTAACATGAGTATTAATGTATGTGGAGAGAAGTATCTATCAAGGTAACAAATAATTGTTTTACGTCTAAGGTGACAAAAAATTGTGAAGTTTTGTCCATAATTGTATCACATCAACATCTTCTTATCCTGAATATGGTTGAAACATATCTGGGCATTTTAACATCCATCCGTCAAAACATGTTTAGTTACATTCAATCTGTTTATGCACTATACATAGTATATCAGACACATGGAATAAATAGTTTGATCTTGAATAAAATGCTTCAAAACGGATTGTTATTTGTTTTCACCATTCTAAGATAAGGCATAAACACCAACCACTAGATAATTAACATGGAATGAGTGGTCAAATTGACAGGAAAACAGGGTTTTCTGTATTTTGAAAGGAGCCATCAGGATATTTTGACCTGCCTCATTCTATGTCTATTTTCCCATCTGTTGAGATCCATAACTCCTGGACAGCAGAAGTGAAAATCATCAATATTGAACTTGACCTCCATTTTTTTGTCAGTAACAACATATTTCATTTTAAAAGCATTGGTCAAGTGGTTCATAAGTAATTGCACGGAAACAAACATAAAGTGCTATTTTCCAATAGATCAAGGACCTTAACTCCTGAACGGTAAAAGTGAAAATCATCAATTTTGAACATGACCTCTGTTTTGTCATCAGGAACAACATAATAAAATTTCAAAAGCATTGGTTGAATGGTTCATAATTAACTGCACAAAAACTGTTGGCAGCCACCCACCTGCCTGCTGTACTTTACCAATCTAATATCTGGATTTTTCCTGCGGAAATCCCAGTTAATAAAACCAAAACAGAAATTCTTTAAACATATTTTTCAAAAGAATATATGTCAATAGGGCACCATGCATCACTCACACAATCAAAGTTTTATGTTCTGTGAAATGAAAAATCTGGCATGTATTTATAAAATTAAACTTTATAATTTTGAAAGTGAACTTAGTTTCAAGTTGCTGTGGACACAACTTCATGGTTAACTACATATGTACCTTAAACCAAACTTAATCCAGATACAAAATGGGCAGGAACACACAGACCTGAAAACTTAATGCACCCCCCCCCCCCCCCCCACCACCACCTTTCTACCACAGGCAGACAGAAAAGTATTCATCAGTGCTATATCTAAACATACATATTGATGTTTTGTCTGTTGCAATTTTTTTCACACTGTTCATGCGGTATACATATTATATATCAGATGATTACATGTGGCCCCATGGCACTGTGGATTTACTTTGATACTTACAATAGATGATTTACATGTGGCCCCATGGCCCTGTGGATTTACTTTGATACTTACAATAGATGATTTACATGTGGCCCCATGGCACTGTGGATTTACATTGATACTTACAATAGATGATTTACATGTGGCCCCATGGCCCTGTGGATTTACTTTGATACTTACAATAGATGATATACATGTGGCCCCATGGCACTGTGGATTTACTTTGATACTTACAATAGATGATGTACATGTGGCCCCATGGCTCTGTGGATTTACTTTGATACTTACAATAGATGATTTACATGTGGCCCCATGACACTGTGGATTTACTTTGATACTTACAATAGATGATTTACATGTGGCCCCATGGCCCTGTGGATTTACTTTGATACTTACAATATATGATTTACATGTGGCCCCATGGCTCTGTGGATTTACTTTGATACTTACAATAGATGATTTACATGTGGCCCACTGGTCCTGTGGATTTACTTTGATACTTACAATAGATGATTTACATGTGGCCCCATGGCCCTGTGGATTTACTTTGATACTTACAATAGATGATTTACATGTGGCCCCATGGCATTGTGGATTTACTTTGATACTTACAATAGATGATTTACATGTGGCCCCATGGCCCTGTGGATTTACTTTGATACTTACAATAGATGATTTACATGTGGCGCCATGGCCCTGTGGATTTACTTTGATACTTACAATAGATGATATACATGTGGCCCCATGGCCCTGTGGATTTACTTTGATACTTACAATAGATGATTTACATGTGGCCCCATGGCCCTGTGGATTTACTTTGATACTTACAATAGATGATATACATGTGGCCCCATGGCCCTGTGGATTTACTTTGATACTTACAATAGATGATATACATGTGGCCCCATGGCCCTGTGGATTTACTTTGATACTTACAATAGATGATTTACATGTGGCCCCATGGCCCTGTGGATTTACTTGGATACTTACAATAGATGATTTACATGTGGCCCCATGACCCTGTGGATTTACTTTGATACTTACAATAGATGATTTACATGTGGCCCCATGGCCCTGTGTATTTACTTTGATACTTACAATAGATGATTTACATGTGGCCCCATGGCACTGTGGATTTACTTTGATACTTACAATAGATGATTTACATGTAGCCCCTTGGCACTGTGGATTTACTTTGATGTTCCGTTTACGGATTTGTATGCCTTTACTGCAATCTCTAATACAGTCTTCCCAAGGCTGCCATTCATCCATCTATATATAAGTAAAACATGTAAGGCTTGCATGCTAAAATGTGCTGAGATTATTTACTATGCTGAATTCATCAAACCAAATACACTGTATGTAAACAAAAGCTAAAATCAGGACATATTTCAATCCTGAAAATATTAAGGACTTTATAAGAAGCCAACATTCATTAAATTAAAACTCCACTAATTTGACGTTTGATTTTACATACATATTAACATTTATTCACAAAAAACTTTTTATTATGTAAACCTGAAAGGAAGAGTCAATACAACTGTGTTAACAATGTGGTGCACACAGAATAACCAGAGTAGCGGGTTATCTAAAAGTGTGCACCACATTTTTGAGGTTATTTCAAATAGACAGAAAAAATATTCCAGTCATTCCTTATATTTTAATTTAAAATTCCATATTTACGGAGTAAATCATGAAAAAACGTTGATGATGTCACGGTCACATGACAAACTTATGTCTATGAGCTGAAAGACAAAAAACTTTCAGCCAATCAGAAGATATGTTACATCCAAAATTAAATTATTCAGTAAAGCTGTACAAAAAATAATTTTTGAATAATTTAAAAGCTGTATTCAATATATTCACACCTTGTGCAAAATAGGGATTGTGAAGGTATGTGTGATTTAGTCTTGGTACATGTACAAGGCAGGACAAATGTTCAGACTCACTGTAAGCAGGGGACATAACTGTCCCATACAAACTTGGATTGTTGTAAATTGTTCAGTTTCTATACTGGATGCCGATATAACAGTAATGTATACAATCACCCTAAAATTCCCAATCATTAAATCTATATTCATGACCTTAAGGTAAACTTATTCTTTTTCATATAAGTATAAGTTAAAGTTTATTATGTTTGATTGTGGTTTGCTAAAGAACCATTTACAAATATTTCATGCTTATTCAAGACAAGAATAAATTAACAATTATAATACCTGGACGAAGGGTTGGAAACTGGACTCCCACTTGAAAAGAGTGTTATTGAAGACTGTCAGCACTTTAATGTGCAGAAAGGTGTATCCCCCTTACATGAAACATAAGATTAAACATCCCTATTTGGACAATATGTGGCTTTATATTATGAAAACATTCTGCAGTCAAACTTACCTCTTTAGCATAATACTTTAATGCCAGATAGGCATGGAGAAAATAAGTTGACCAAATTTTATTCCCCACATCATACTTGTTTATTTATTATCAGTTATGAATTAATAACAATAAAATCAGGAAAAAAAAGTTGCCTTTTCTGTTAAGGTTGCTTTCTTATTCAAAGTTTTATGCATTATTTGATAATATTCTACAGTGTTTTCCATATAATCATTGGAATCTTGCTTTCAAATTTTTTGAAATTATAATGCTTTGTAATGTTTTATTAAGTTAAAATGTAAAGTTCTTGATTTATTAAACAACAGAAAAGAACAAAACATTAAACATAAATACTTAATGCCTGGATTTTTCATATGTATTTTTATTCCAAAAGACAGTAATTCATGCAGTCAGTATTTCACACATAAAAACATTAAATATTCTTATAAACCATTATTTCAAATTGTAAATCTTCAGCACAATACAAACATTTGTGACATAAAAAAACCATCTGGAGATTGAAATCATAATTCCAATTCATCTTCCTAAACCATTGTATAAAATGTTTTCTTTTGTCCAGACAAAAATGATTACAATATAAATCCTTTGAATACAATGTACACATATGCATACCTGCCAACTGTCACTATTTGCAGGGGATTTCCCCCATGAAAGCTCCCAAATGGAAATTTTGAAAGAGCAACTTTGTCCACAATTTTAAACAAAACAATCAATTTACAATGGCTATAGGTTTGTAAAAGTATGAAGAAGCAAAAAAAAAACAACATTCAAATACATTTGAAGGTCCCCTTGAAGGTTTTGTAGGACTATAAGAACCATCTTGCACACAAAACCCCCATGGGCATTTTGAAATGTTGGCAGGTATGCATATGTTGTCTTGAAAATATTTTGTTTTGTTTTGAGAATATGATACATGAACCAATTTACACAGTTGTAATTCTTTTTAAGGAGTGTAATATATAGAGTTACTGATTACAAAGCTAGTGTAATGTATAGAGTTACTGATTACAAAGCTAGTGTAATATATAGGGTTACTGATTACAAAGCTAGTGTAATGTATAGAGTTACTGATTACAAAGCTAGTGTAATGTATAGAGTTACTGATTACAAAGCTAGTGTAATGTATAGAGTTACTGATGAAAAAAATTCCTTATTTCAAATTTTATCTTTTTCTTAATATGCCTTCCTTGAATAAAGAAAACTATTAAAAAAAACATGAGTTCAGTATGACGTCCATTATCACTGAACTAGTATACATATTTGTTATGGGGCCAGCTGAAGGACGCCTCCGGGTGCGGGAGTTTCTCGCTGCATTGAAGACCCATTGGTGGCCTTCGGCTGTTGTCTGCTCTATGGTCGGGTTGTTGTCTCTTTAACACATTCCCCATTTCCATTCTCAATTTTATGAAAAATGAAAATTTAAAAAAAAAAAAATTATTTCACTCAACAAAGTAGGTTTTACAAATTCATTTGAAATAGGAATTTGGTCATGAATCCATACATTCACCTACCCAGCCACCAATACACAAAAAACAAAAGGATTGTAGTATTAGAACATTATATACTATTTTCAGATCCAATTTTGAAACCAGGAATTTGAAGTTACCTTGCATTCTTAGTTAAACCTGACTAATTTTGCTGGACGCATTTCTGTTGATTGAATGAATGATTGACTTTTGTTTGCTTTATCTAAAGTTATGCTTTAAAATGCACATCCTATGGACCTTTAAATTGTTTCTGCAAGAGTTCTTTATTGGACAGAGGAGTGGTACAATCTTTTTATATTTTACATTGAATTTAATGTCACCATTCTGATTGATATTTGCTGGGTTTTCATACATGTATCAACCAGATTTAATTTTTTCTCTCTTGCATATGTCTTATTACTGCCAAACAGGAGAAATCCATTGAAATCTTTATTAACCAGTCATCCTTGAGGTTCCTACATTATGGGTAAAACCTAATAGACGTAGTTTTATGGCTCAGTATGTTGCGAGAGGTTCATCATTAGGGGAAGGTGTCAATCTATATTTTTCAGTCTCATTGGATATTGAAAGCACTTTAATAACAGATGTCATAATGTTTGTTTTATTTCTGTTTGTTTTTTGACATTTTTATTTTATGTTTTCATTGAGACAAATGCATTCCTTACCTCAACTTAATCTTTACCCGTAAAAGCCCATATTAAGCAGATACACCTTTTATGTATCTTTCGTTTTTGTACTTTATGCATGAATATATCTGAGTGTAGATGTTTTTCTAAATTAATTGTATATCACTTTTTAAACAGAGACTTATATATTACTATTATTGTCATTATTATCAAATACCTACCACACAATCAACACTTGCATTGTAACTCTCACAGGACTTGACATCTCTCAAGGTCATATTTTGACACTGCTGACCTCCACAGTATGCAGGGGTTAAAAGTTTTCTAGATCTGAAAGCACTTCCTACACCACAGTTGTTACTGCAATCTGACCATGATTCCCACTGGGACATCTGACAGTCTATCACCATGGTAACATTGCACACAGTGTTTTCTAGAAGTTCTGGACAAGATTCTCCCCCACAGGTATTTTGTGTTTCAACTGTTCTCTTTCTCACACTGTTTATGATTAAAAGATAAATAAAAAATAATTCAAATGGTCCAATGTAACATTATCTTTAATTGAATAGCACCACAAATTTCAGGGCATCAATTCCATCATTGATGGTCTGATATTGTACACACAAATGCAGATGCCATGTATTATATCATACAATGTCTGATATAAAGATATTTTCTTTCAGTTGCAGTAGAATTTAGAAAACAGAATAATATCTTATATTTAAGTATTGAAAGGCATCAATAGTCTATTTTATGGCCCCAAATCTTTAAACACAATACTTTTCCTCATATTGTTTATAGTAAATTGCAACAGACTCATCTTTGTAATTACTGACAAAAGAGTTAATCATTGAATACTTAATTTGCAGTGAATAATTTTTTCAAAAAGGTCAGATTGTGAAACATGAAATTTTATAAAATAAATACTGATATCAAACAATATATAATATGCAAGGGTATATACTGTAAAACAGCAAAATTCATCAATATTTATAAACCAAAATAGTAAATAAATTTTCATGAATTTTGCTGTTTTAATGAAACCATGAAAAGTTAACCACTATTAGTTACAAGTTTTTCATTAATTTGGACTCAGTTCAGTTTTAAAAAAAATAAAACTAAAATTTCCAAAATGACAGATTCTTTTTTTGAAGTAGTCAGTAAGTTTTTTTTAAATACTACCTGATCCCAGTACCACAATCAGATGAACACAGACCCCATTTTGACCACTGTGACACCAAACAATCTTGTTTACAACAGGGTCCGTAACATACTGTACTGTTGAACAGTTCTGGACATGGCTGGCCTTGACATTCAGCAGGCGTAGTTACAGATCTTGTACGATTTTTAAGTCCATCACCACAATATCCATTACCCAGTACACAAGACGTCCAAATGGACCACTGAGAAATCTAAAATTAAACACTTCATTTATCAAAAACTAGCAAAATAAAGGATCTAAACCCAACTTATGAAAGAATGCACTTACCTATAAAATCTTAGATTTTTGCTACTATACAGCTATGTGATTTGAATATGTCAATATCTGTATGTCCATGCTTCTGTTCCTTGCCTATGACTTTTATTTATCTACATGTTGATCTCCCTCCTAGGTCTTACCCAGCTGCACAGGTTTATCTACATGTTGATCTCCCTCCTAGGTCTTACCCAGCTGCACAGGTTTATTTACATGTTGATCTCCCTCCTAGGTCTTACCCAGCTGCACAGGTTTATCTACATGTTGATCTCCCTCCTAGGTCTTACCCAGCTGCACAGGTTTATTTACATGTTGATCTCCCTCCTAGGTCTTACCCAGCTGCACAGGTTTATTTACATGTTGATCTCCCTCCTAGGTCTTACCCAGCT